CTTCGAGCTTTTCTCCTTTGGACTCTCCGACTCCCACGCCTACCAGTCTCTACAGCCAAGGCTCAATGGCTTCACCCGGGTGGCACGAGCCTTCCCACTATCACCACAGCCTCCCAATGGAGCGTCGAACTTCGGCTACCCCATTGCGCAGCGCATTCCGAATGGCGGATCTCACCTCAGGTGAAGGCATGATGAATATGCCCTGCGGTAACATGGACCGACAGGAGCAGATGCCCCTTCCCGACTATCTTCCTGGATACGATGAGAACGTCGACCAACTCTGGATTCCTCAGGATATGCCAAAGACATACCAGGAGCCCCAGTTTCCTTACCAGGCCTCGATGCCTCAGTACAGCCAGATGGCTCGCAACTACTACCACCGTCCTCAACAGGCAGGATATCTGCCTGAATCGGCCTCCAACCCTTGCTTGTCTCGTCCAATCTTTAACCAACCCACCGAGCGGATGCCTAACTCCGCCTCAATGTCTAATATGATTCACTGGATGCCTTCCCACGAGTCGTTGGTACCTCAAACCATCACCCCTGCTCAGGTCCAGCCCTTCCCTTCAGGACCTGTGACTCCTCCTTCTTCCGCTTACTCCGACTTTCCCACCAACATCCCGACTTTCAAGTCCCACACTCCTTCAACTCCCCACCGATCTGTCTCCATGGGTACTCCCTCAGGGTCAGATACTCCGGTCAGTCGAATGTCCGGACACAATGATTACCAGGAAGAGTTCCAGCTCTCTCCTGTCTATCGCGAAGGCATGATGCAACGTCATCGTCAACCTTCGCGCAAATCCTCCAAGAAACAGCTCCTTCGTTCTAACCTGAGCCTTGAGAACTTGCCGTCAATCATTAAGCAAGTGCAATTCAAGTGCAAGGAGCCTGGCTGCAAGGGGCGTTTCAAGCGCCAGGAGCATCTCAAGCGCCACATGAAGAGCCACTCCAAGGAAAAGCCCCATGTCTGCTGGGTTCCTGGTTGCCACCGTGCCTTCTCTCGCAGCGACAACCTCAATGCCCACTATACCAAGACCCACAGCAAGCGAGGCGGTCGCAACCGCTACGTCGCGACCCTCGATGAGACCAGTCAAGATTTCGACCCCGACTTCCGTGGACAGCTTACCCCCGACGGTCGGCCTATCTATGGCAGCAAGCTTGAAGATTCCATGCCTGACTGTGGCGAGCTGAGCGTCGATGGCTGGGATGATTAATCGCACGATCACAGCAAAAAGCAAAAATCGAAAACCCCGAAAACCCCGAAAAGAAAAAAAACCACAACCAAATTCCATGCGAGTCTTCCAAAAGAAAATATGGAATTATAGAAACAGAAAACAGAAACGTGGCCCTCATTGGCCCTTATTGATACCCCGTCTATGGCGGATGGACTCCCATGAAATGGTAGAGGCATTATGGGCCAGATTGCTCTCTGGCCTGGCGTTGTACATGTCTCCTGGAGGATAGGAGACTTTTTTTTGATTTATTTATTTCCCTTTCCCTTTCTCTTGCATAATTTGTTTGGTGCTATAGGCTGGGAGGTATTTTTGAACATGGAATTTATGCGGCGTTGCATATGTCTTTTTTTATTTCCCTTTCTGGTTTGGAGGGGATCGCCAACTGGGATAATCATTTGGGAGGAAAACCCTCAGGGGTCGGGCGATCGTGTACAATCTGCTACAACGTGTTGTTGTTTTATTCTTTATTTATTTATCGTTTGTACTACCACCATTGTCGCACACTGGCATAATATTCACAAAAATCGAGATCTACATTGTTGCACTGCATTACTATTGCCTCAGCCCTCCTGTATACCACCCACCCTTTTGAGAACTTACCAACATCTCGGGCTGAACTCGTGTTACAACTTCCTGACTTCGCTTCTCGCACGGTTCCTGATCTCGGGGGAGTTGAGATATGCCCCAAAAATGTTACACATCACAACACTCGGGGCTCTAGATCCTTAGTTCCTGGATCTCTCCAAACCGATCTATCTGGTCGATGGAGTGGATCAAAGGTTGAACAAATCGGGCCTGCTGCAGACGTAGAGCATGGTCAAACTGTACCTGCTACTCGTCTCTCCTCAGAACTCTCCACACCTTCCACTCCTAAACATGGGCTTTCCCATTACCCCGTTTCAGAAACGCCATGTCATCATCTCTTCACCGCGGCTATGGGCATCGTTTACCCACTATCAAAATACTACTGTACTCTTTATGTGGAACACAGTGCCCCGAAATACGCATTGCAACACTACTGCAAACCACAATGGGCGAAGAGCTGATACTCCACTCCATGACCCGCGCCACTTTCGACAGCGCAATCACTATCGCTAGTAGCATGTATCAGACAGCCATGTGGAGCCCCATTCACCCGTTCTCGGTGAAGACCCAAACCCCAAACCTTGCCCTCCAACGTACTCCGTAGTTCTAAGTATAGCACAGAGCGCAGAAAAGCAAGTACGAAAACGAGACGGGAATGAGAAAAAGCAAAAAGAGAATTCAACATGCTACATTGTACTCCGTACATACTGCATGGCCAAGTCTCCACGGCCAAGAGCCGCGCTCCTACGTGCCTAGACTCTCGCCACCGTGGGTGTTCATGCGTCACCCCCCATTCCTCATTCCCAATTCCACGGGCATTAGCGCTTTCCGAGGAAAAGAACAGTGATCAAAGTCCTATTACAAACGTCCCCGTCGTCTTCCGGTCTTCCGGATAAAACCTTGGAGCCCATATTTGCTTTTTTTCACTAATGATCGGCGTGCATGGAATCTCTTACCGATCTTCAAACTTCAACGCACGGTTTTGGTAGGACTTTGTGACTTGCACATCTACTACCGGCATATACATTCTTTGCTCTCATCTATCACCCCAAAAAGTACAACATACACAGTACTGACCGCATTTATTTTCCGATATCAGCAGATATTTCACTAATACCAAACTGTATTCCCCAACTCCCCAAACCCAATCTCAGATTCCAAATCCCCATTCCAAATAGCCCCAGTCCACCGCTACACCGATGTTTGACACATTTTGCGGTGTGATTTCTAGGCATGACGTTAAATTAGCCCGATGCCCATGCCCTGCATGTACATAGGATACTGTTACACCGCGCTATGTATATGCCACGCCGTACAAATTGGGAATGGGAGTCCGGGCGCCCCAATGGCATGATATGCGGGAATGATATCCAAACGCCTTTCCATTCTATTGGTTTTCATTCCTTGATTTCGTCCTTTGACCATGCACAATAGTACCTATAAGGATTAACGTCTGGAGATGCACCCGCTCATCCGCTAATAGGCTATTGATCCTGTACAACGTATTTTTGTTTCCCCCGTAGACCATTCGTTCTATTTCTAGATTGCGTGCGGGAACGATCGGTGAACTGTGCCTGCTGCTTCGTGTTTGATCTGCTATGTATTCGGAGATCTCACTGCAGCGATCACGAAGTCTCTTATTTTTTTGCTTTTCTCCGTTAATTTTCCTATTTAGTATCAGATAAACACAATGCTTTATCAATGCAATGTACCTACTTATCACATTCCAGGGAGAAACTCTCCCGGCCAATTGGATGACTACCATTAACACACCGAATCGGTATGTCTGTGCGCGTGCACTTGGATATCGATGTAAAATGAAATGTAGTGGCGTGAGACATTATACAGAGTTTGGAACAGCATAACTATGGACCTTCCAGCATCCGAATCGAATGGTATCTATGTCGATGCAATGCCAATCTCACTTGGCGTTTATATGCGAGCAAACCTTTTCGATTGGCCCTGCATACACGCTATACAGATCTACACTACCTAATTGTGCGGGGGTTACGATGTACATGCCATTGGAATGTGATATTATAGCGACAATCAAGTCTGTTCTAGGCTTTGAGACTGGATTGTTTTAGTATGAGTTATTTTCTGGGGTGATTCTTTCTCTTGTATGCGATGCAACGTCAATATTATTATTCTCTCCATTCTGTGTTTATCAGTGGTAATGAAGATCTCTGGATATTCTGATTCGCTTGGCTTACTTGGTCCTCGGGTGATGTGCGGCGATCTTCATCCCTAGCTTGGGGTCTCGAATTGGCGGTCATCACATTAATCCATATATTTTCGTTGGTGCCTGATTTCCCGCCTTGCTTTAATCTCGTTGGGTGTAATTGTTTAATTTCGCCTACTTCTACCATATTATTGGTGATTCTCATTGCCATTTTTGAATGTAGTTTACAGGCCGGGCGAGTCCTCGAGCCAACAGTCCAACAGTCTTATAGTCTAGACCCCGCGCCATTATATCCACTTGGCTTCTTTATCAGGTGATAGCCCTTGCAAAACTACTAGTATTTTACTATTAAGATAACAAGAATAGCAGGCCGCTTATGCGCCCTTGTCAAGTACTTTTTTTGGAAGTCTTTTATTGTAGTCTTTTTAGATGTCTTTTTAGATGTCTGTTTCTATAGATATTTTCTCCTCCTTCTCAGTTTGTTAGCTAGACGGCGGAAAAAGGCTTAATTTACACTTTTCCATGTATAACCTTTGATAGAGGGATATTTACCTCTTTTATTATTCGTCACAGCGATTTCTAGCAACATAGCGACGGATGTTACCACTACTCCATAGATGAAGGACTAGAGAAGCGATGCCATCCCTCCTTTCGTGATAGCAACAGACAGAATAGGATTGTAGGGCGATGTCCCCATGAAAAACTGTTGCCTCATATTCATCCCCGACAACCGAGACAAACCAACTGCGTAAGGCCGCTGCACTGCCGGCTCCACAAACTAGGGACCCCACGGGACCCCATTCTCCGTTTCCATATGCATCTCCATGTTAAAGCAGATATGATACTCTTGAGCTCCGTTGGCCATAAAAAACCCTGCCACCAACATTGCGGGAAACTAAAAAGGGCATGTGCCTACAAGGGTCATGGTCTCGCGCTCAAAAATTGTGAGTTGGTCACTGCCCGTATCGTTTAGCATGCTGATCTGCATAACGGCGCCATCACCACCTTCCCATAGCGGAAGACGCATACGAGCTTTGAGCTAAAGCCAAAAGCGTGCTCAGATAATACCGAAAGCAAAAAGGACATACGAGAGAAAGGGATTACCTCGTATCCAAAGGTGTAAGGGCCATGTCCGTAGCTGGCTTTCTGTGCTAGTTGATGCCCGGTACGATTGCCCCGCTATTTTATGTTAGCGATAATAGATGAGATAAAAATAGAGACTAGAGTATGTATGTGTGTAGGTAAGCTAACCTCCCAGAAATATGGCTTTTTAGCTGCGATGCACTCTTCTCTGCTGGCGACGCGCCCGTCGACCACGAAGACCTCATCGTCGACCGTGATCATTCCTTTATTGTAAAGGTCAATTAAGGTGACGATATTCGTGGTTTGGTTTGGGAGGTAGAGGGAGTCATTGGGGTCAAGCACGCGCGTAAGAACGGCAACCCTCTCCTCGGTGGTGATTGGCGGGCGAGGCATAAAGGGTCACTCCTGATAGATAATAGGGGGTGGTTGCTCAGAATCCGGATCGGATATTGTGGGATTGGGGGTCGACAATTTAGATTGTGAAATGGAAAGGACATTGAACAAAAGAGAACCAAAGGAGGGATGGTAACTATGAGGTATTGTTGAAGATAACAAGTCATGTGGCTGTTCTCACAATTTAAGCCTTTTTCCGCCTTTTTATGCCGTCAACTTAGAAAACTTAGGGGAAGATATCTCAAAAAAAGTCTTCTTAAAAGACTTCTAAAACGACTACCATCGAGCTAGCTAGATCATGTCATTCTCAAGGACAGAGGCCGCAAACGCGGCCGCAAACGCGGCCGACTATTCTTGTGATACTTACACTTAATACTCGAATGCACTACTCGAATTTGATGCTCGAATTGGATACTTGAATTGGATACTTGAATTGGATACTTGAATTCTACTTAAATTCTACTCAAATTTTTACTAATTCACAGGTTTTGTACAGAGTAAGGGTGAGCTAGGCGGTCAAAACTTACTATGGGCAAAATCATGGCGGTAATGGATAGACTGCCGCCAGGTCGGCGGTCCCCTCGCTGACACATCATTTATGTAATCACACGATATAAAAACTCAGCGCTCAGATTTTCCATAGCTCCTTCACATAAAATCCGACATCTTTTGTCTGCTCGACTGTACAACAACATGCTTTGCAAAGCCATTGCTCAAGGGATTAATGTCTTCCCCTGGTCATTGGCTTTAGCTTTGCCTCTATATCCCCCCTCCATCTCGCGAGACAACTCTGGTCTCTCCTTACTATGATGATCACCATTTCTATTGACATGAACTTCTCCATGAATGTTTCAAAAATATCAAGCTCAACAGTCTGAGTACCGATTGACCAGAGAACAGTCTCAGCAAATGATGGCCGCTCATGGCGGTCTTGATTGTGTGATATATACTGACGATATCTTTTGATACCCCCCTTTTCTCCATAGCTCTTTGATACCCTATGTATCCAATTGAATACTCAATCATTTCCATGTGCCTCTCCTTCCCTTTCCCACACAGCTTTGCGGCTCATAGCACGGATGTCAAATTGCGATCCGGCCCTTTCATGGCCGCGGTCGCGCCGAAGAAGTGCTTATATCGAAATGGAGATTTATCTCCCTAGCCAGTGAGTACTAGATTTTTGTCCTACGGTTCGCCCGAGGTGTCAAACATCCATTGAAGATCTGGAACATCCCGTATCTCGTAGACTTTATTTATATATGGAATGAATTTATCACTTTGATTATGCTTCGTCTTGTCCTTTGCCTGTTTGAGAATGTAGATCTGGTTCGAGTAGTGATTCAAAGCAACATTGAATGCCTCGTGATGTCATACAAGACTAGCCGGCCGCGGCCTTGTGATGTCTGTTGGTAGTCTTTTTAGTAGTCTTTTTAGATGTCTTTCTAGATCTTTTTAGTTATCTTATCTCTCAAGTTTCATAGATAGACGGCGGAAAAAGACGGAAGAAGGCCTAATTTGTGAAACCGTCTTTTCTATGTATAATATTTAATTTGATGATAACAATGATCGAGATATGCGTAGTCCGATGCTGCAATCCGTCAACCTTGGAAGATGTCTGCCAGCGGACATGTAGGGTCGAGTACATTCAAACTATACTCAAGACTTGTAGACATACAAGACCAACATACGAATGTTTAGAAGGGCTTCAAACAGAATCCAGTTCTTCCATTTTGTGTTATCAAATTCGAGGTATTTCCACAATGCAATTTGCAATCCAAACCCCATAGTCGCGTCGTGATATCAAAATAACTCCTGTACAGAATGGTATCGAGTTTGATAAATCCCAGGGTTCCCACCGAAAGCCGCGCCCAAATAGTACAATCGAAAAAAAAGAATAAGAAAACAGAACAAGAAAAAAAAAATTTAACGCCGTCCCCTCCAATCTCCACGATGCCTGGTCCCTGTACAAAACCCCGGGATTTCAGAAAGAAAAAAAAAACCAAAAAAAAGGCCAAAAGAAGAGACAGTGAGTGGTTCCTAACCAAACACGCACTGCCGTTGGGTAAATGTTCGGCATAAATAACCTCTAGCCAGATTTTACACTGGTGAAATTGTAAATGTGGAAGAGCTTCTGTCCTCGCAGGATATCATCAATCTCGTATGTTGCCATGTTATATCAGTGCCAGCAAACAAACTAGCCTCAGTTGTTCATTCCACCCATACTGTGCATCGAGCCCTGCGCTTGCATTTGCTGGGCTTGCAACGCAGCCCGCTGTTGCTGTTGTTGCTGTCCACCATCCCGCTCACGTCGCATGACCTCGGAGACCCACGCTTTGGCGGTCTTTTCCAGCCCAGGGCCATACTGCTGCGCAATATTGGAAGGATACTGGTTTGGCGGGCCATACTGAGCCATGTAGCGTGTCGACATATCATGTCGCATGCGAAGCAGTCGCTGTTGGTAGAGCTGGGTGTATCTTTGTGCTTGGTTCATGGGCTGTCCGTTTTGACCCATTTGGCCGCCATTCGCCTGTGCAGCTGCCATCAGCATTTGCTGCTGTTGCTGGTTTGTTAACTGCTGATTGCCTTGGTGTGGCTGGGCTTGCTGGCCCTGCATTTGTGGGTGCTGGCCTTGCTGCTGTTGTTTGACTATTTGCATCTGCGCATATTGAGCACGCATGAGCTGAGCCTGGTATGCTTGCTGGCCTTGTTGAGTAACTTTAGGAACACCCTGATGGGTTTGTTGCTGTTGCTGTTGCTGTTGCTGCTGCTGCTGCTGCTGTTGCTGCTGTTGCTGCTGTAGCATTTGGTGTTGATGAGATTGGATATTTTGTTGGGCGTGGGCATTAGCTTGCAATTGGGCTAGCTGCTGTGGTGTGAACTGATTGTGCTGAATATGTCCTTGTTGTTGCGCCTGAAGAAGCGCTTGCTGTCGATGTTGCAGCATCATTTGCTGTTGGGGGGTGAAAGGCATGCCCCCGTTCATTTGCGGCGTGGCTGCCATGCCCTGATTCATCACCGGAGTCTGACCCATCGAGTGAGTTGGACTGCCATGGCCCATCCGCTGAGTAGGCGTAACATTACGCATGATTGGTGTGGCATGCGACATAGCTGGTGTGCCTTGAGTCATCTGTGGAGTACCATGTCGGCTTGGTCCTTGCTGGCTTCTCGAAGGTGCCATCGGGTGGCTCATAACATTCGGATGCGCATGCTGTAAAGAAGATGGAGGTCGCGGTGGACTGCCAGACCCAGATGCGGTCATGGTCATTGGAACCGCCTGCGGCATAATGTTACCAACTAGTGGTGATGAAGTGGCATGTGGGGTCTGGTTACGTACAACAGGCGAAGACTGTTGGCCTTGGCTGACGCCATTGGGCTGAGCCATAATGTGACGATTTTGCTGTTGCGCAGCGAGTTGGGCCTGCGCCTGCTGGGCAGCGAGTTGTTGTCTCCGCGATTCCTCTTTCGCGTGTTCCTCGGCTTGCCGCTGCTCGATCGCACGGCGCCGCTCTCTCTCCTGATCCTGCTGCTGTCTCTTGGCCAACTCTTGCTTCAGCTTCATTTCGTGTTCACGCTTAGCCTTCTCCTCATGTTGCATGCGAATCGTTTCAAGCGTCTTGAAACGAGAGAATCGGGGTTCGAATGGTGCCACGCCACCCGCGTCATCCACGGCAGCAGCCTTCGCAGCACCGCCAGGACCAGAAGCCGTGGGCTCCAGACGCTCGTCCATGATGAGCATGAATCTCTCCTCTTCGGCTGCCAAGGCTTCGTCCGCGGCAAGTTCGGCAACAGTTCTCTTTCGGCGCTTGGGCAACGGCAGCGGGTCGCAATGCAGTGGGCTTTCCAGGTGCTTAAACAGCTCTTGGGCAGCTTCGATACTATGCACAGGGTCCAAGAAGATAGGAGGCGCCAAGGCCTGTATCATCTTAGATTCGCATTCCAAAAGGTCCTCGGGCTCAACCAGCATTTTCTGTCTCTTTGTGACGTGACCACGATCTGGTTGGCTGCTTCCAGGGGTAGCTGAAGTACCAGAGGAGGTTGATTGCGCTGGTGCTTTGTTGGCTCTCGGGTCGGGAGTGGTGACCAGCAGTGTCAATTCTGCTTGCAAAGTTCGGGCAGTGGGATGGAGTACTGTGGTGAATACTCGAGGCTTCATGGGATCATTTTTCTGACTTGTGTTGCTGCTTTTGTCGTCCGTCTGCTCACCAATCGTCAGGTTATCTGTCTGTTGATTGGCAATCGGTGTCCCATCGGGCCTGGTGCCTTGTGTGGCCGACGTGAGTTGATTTTGCTTTGGGTATGGAACAAAAGCCGATGGGGTAACATGCTCGTTATAATTGTGTAGGGAGAATGGTGTGTTGTTCTCGTTGGATGAGGTAGTGGATACTTTTCTTGCTTGCGCCGAAGCAGACTTGTGATCGATGACACGGACGATGAGGCAACCTAATGATGTTAGCAGGGGGGTAATCTGACTACCTGTCGAAGCCTATAACTACCTTCATAGAACTGCACACCGCCTCGCAGTAGCTCCTCGATCAGATCATGCGGAACTGTCCCGGCACGAATGTGCTCGATGATGACCTTCATCTCGGAGTTGTAAGGGAAGCTACCATCTTGCTGTTCAAATCGAAAATGTGTAGGATGTAAATGCACAATGAGGGATGGGGGGCATTTCGAATATTTCTTGAGGATATAGGATGTAGTTTTCACTATGAGAAGAAAGTCAGTGATCGCGCATTCGCATTGCGAATGTTACGGAACTCCTTACCATATGGTTCAGGTGCTTTTTTCCCAACTCGGTATGCCTGATCTGTTGTAGCGGTCCTCGTTACTGGCCGGCCAGAGCGCGAGGACTGATCCATGGGTCTTTGCGACTGATTCCTGGTCCGATTAAGGGGGCCTTTAGTGGTGGAACTCGCCACATGGGCCACGCCATTTGTGAAATTGGAAGTTGCGTTGGCGGAGGCTCCCGTGGGAAGACGCTTTGCGGCGGATGTGGGCGAAGACGAGAGGTGCTGGCCCTTGACTCCATTGACCGCGGCCTGGCCGAAAGGCGGGGGCGGCCGCTTCATCTTCTGGGTATGGGAGGCCGGCTTGGAAATTGCGGTCGCCATCATGTCTGCGCCGGTTGCGCAACCTCGGCGTGACCAGTGAGTTAAGAATGCCACTTATCAGAATGCTGGTTTGATGATGTTGAATGAAAGCCGTTCTCGGGAAATGAGTGAGATGGCCGATGCGCGAGACATGTGGGGATAGGTAGGGCGACACCGGTCCGCAGCACAGCTGGAATCAATGCGAAGAATTGGCGGAGGTTGACCGAGTGGGATTAAAGAATGAAAGAAAGAAAGCACCCGTCCAATAATGCTGCTGGAAGGGGTGAATCGGAGAAGCCGCTGGACGAGGTCTTGCAGAGGTAGGTCAACTGATGATGCCAAGCCGTGGGTCAACGTGAAGTCGGTCACATGACCATTTCCGCATTGGGACTAGCTTTCAATGAATAGATTCAACAATGAGATACAACAACAATGGGGCCGATTGAATACATATTATGTAGGCAGAAGAATTAATGAATCAATGGCTGAATAGATTTGATATACTGCTGCATATTGTACTATCTTATGCCTAACGCTCTGTGAATGTTAGAGCTAAGTGAGCTGATTGTGAGTTATCATGTGGTAAATAGGCGCAACTTGCGGCAAAAGAAGCATACATTATTCTGTCAAAGGTGAATTGTATCAAAAGAAAGCAATAAATCTGAAAAGGCAGGGGAATAGGGTCAATCAGTCATAAGGGGGTTTAGCCAAAAAAAAAAAAAAATCAGGTATAGACAGGCAAGCAGACAAATATCAACATCAAAATCATGGGGCCATAACTTGATCTAACCTAGTCCAGACCACGCACTCGTCGTCGCCAGTCATCTCCGACTCGAACAACGTCAACCACGTCAATGCGCTTGCCGAGTCCTGTGACGCCCTCCTTTTGCCACCACTTCTCTCCTTTTTCACCAAGTGCTGACTCGTCGTCACTGTCGATAAGCCCGCCACGGCCACCCTCGTCTCCGACCACGACGATAACCTGGCGAACCCAACCAGCGATATGAACAGCAGGTTCACCCTTATCTCCAGTCAAGGACTCTTGGACATAAACAAGCTCTGGGAATAGGTGGCGGGCCAGGTGTACATAGCCACCAGGGGTACTGAAAGGCATGATCATGCTGTCCTTCTCAACAAGCGCCTGTGCCTGTGTGTATAAGGTTTTGAAGAAGCGAGATGTGCCTGCCAATTCGTCATCCTGGCGGGGCTCGACCGCAGTCAAGTCCCCAGGGGCCAGTTCCCCGACAGAAGCGCCTTCTTCGGTGCCAATGTTCGAATAAGACGAAGCCATAGAGGGTGAGGTGGGAGATGAGCCTCCCTTCTTGATGCCGTGTTTCAATTCCGGGGCATAGATCAACACAAAGATCTTGGAGGTTTCCAAATCGACATGTTCAGGGAGATGGGATAGAATGGACTGCGATTGTCAGAAAAGCCTGAAGTGGGTATCAAGGGCGAGGACTTCTTACCGCATGTTCAGAAGGAAATTCGTCGGAGTCAGCCGATGAAACCGAGGAGACAACAATTGCGACCACCTTCCTGTCCTTGCTAACGGTATTTGCTGGGCGGCTCGGCAATCCACCACTCATAGTCGGCGTAATGGCGCCTTGTTGGCCTCTCTCATGAGCTCTGGTTTGAGCCTCCTCCGACCATCTGGAGTGGTCCTCGTAGTCGCCCTCACCCTTGTTATCTTCACGAATTGAAGTGAGAGCGCCACCGACAAAGGCTCCTGCGGCAGTGACACCGGCCACAACTCTTTTGCTGGCGCCATCGAAGATCTGTTGAGGGCTAGGCGTGCGGCGCAAAGCACCTTGCATGCGAGCCATCATACTATGATCATAGGAAGCATCTCCAGGCAGGACTTCCGCTCCTGCACTTCGGGCATAATCCCCGGTAGCATAGGAAGGTGGAGGGTAGTCACTTCCAGGTCCAACAGGAGGCGGGTCAGGGCGGCCATCTCCGTGGGGGCGGTCGTCTTCGTCTTCGTCGTCATTTCGTTCACTCCAAATCCAAGCTGCAATGCTAATAGTTGCAATTCCAGCAGTCAAGGCCAAGGGGAGCCAGTATCCGATGGCAGTTCGTCCGCCAGTTGAGCTGAACCCAGTGCCGGCTCCGCCGCGGCGGCGCCGAGGGTCTTGAGGGAAGGACATTGCGATCGCGGGTGTTCAATTAGAGGTGGCACATTTAACGGTTATTATTCGCGGTCGCAATGACTCGCAGGTTGCATTTCAACACGTCGATTTGCAAAATAAGAGGTTGGGGAAAGGGGAAAGGAGGGAAAGGAGGCAGACGTCCCTCCTCGGATACTAGAAACATGTGGCTGGTGATTGCCGCGGGTGTTTACTCGTGTTTGTCCTGTTTGCGTCTTGTTAAATCTGGAGGCGGGTCAGAATCACGTGCCATCTCCGGTGTGCTTATGTAAGTGGTTTTTCTGACTCCTCCGAAGCAGGGCTTATCGGTTTTAGAGAAATATATGACTAGGTGTGAGGAATCGCAAGCGCATTGTTAGTTCAAGACATGCCTCACTCAGTATCCGTGCCACCAACGGGCCTGCAGGCCCTAATTCTTGTGAGCAAATAGTTTCTATATATATGTCCCTGAAGCAAAAGCTAACAAGCAAGCAAGTGTGGCCCTGGTGTATCGCTCAACACATTCACTTCGAACCCCGAGGAATACCCAAAATGCCTTATCCCTGTGGCCAACCGTCCGATGCTCTGGTACGCCCTAGACTGGTCGAAAAGGATGGGCATTACTGGTAAGGGCATTCCCACCATCGAAATAGCATGCGGGGCATTCCATGACGCCATGTGCTCTATCGCAAAACATCGGATGGAAGACTGACTATGCTAGATGTCACTTTGGTCACTCCTCCCTCTTCGCTCGCTCCCCTCCAGGCCGCTCTACGACAGAACCCACATCTTACCTCACTCCCTTCGCCATCAGTCATCGCACCGGCGGAACTCGAGATGACGACAGGCACAGCAGAGCTTCTTCGTCTGCCCGAGGTGCAGACCTGTATCAAATCAGACTTCCTTCTGTTGCCTTGTGATCTAGTTTGCGAAATACCCGGCGAGTCTCTACTTGAAGCATGGATGGTGTCTGGCGGCGAGAAAAATCGTCGGAATGGACTCAGCATGTACTATCAGACACAGGGTCGGGAGGAGAGTGTCAAGGGCGAAGCTACGGACTTTTTGGCAGTTGCACCACTTGAGCAGAACGAGGCTCCTACCGTGTCTCATGCCGCGCCTCGTTCCTCGCTCTCCAAGCTAGTCCTCTCCATGCCCATGGCCACATTGAAAGAGAAATTGGAAAATGATAAGGGCTTCCTTGTGCGCCACTCCCTGGTGGATACGCATGCGCAGGTGAAGTTGCTGACGACATACCGTGATGCGCATATCTACGTCCTACCTTACTGGGTCAAGGACATGGCTCGTTTGAATGAGCAGTTCCAGTCGGTCGGCGAAGACTTGGTTGGATGGTGGGCCAAATCGGAATGGCAGCAAGGCCTCAGCGACAAGCTGAAGATCAACGAAATCTTCCATCAGAAAAGCCGTCGCCAGAGCCACGGGCTCACTCTAGGCGAGAGTGAAAGCCATGACGATGAATCCCTCGAAGGTGAATCGCTGGAGGAAGAGATTGATCTACAGAGCATGAGCACTACCAAAGCCACCCCAGCCAAGTTCAGCACAGCCGCATCAGACCCCCAATTCGCCTCTCGTGTCAAGGGTCCCACCTCGCAAACTGTCAAGAGTTCCAAGTCAAATCTACCACCGATGCTCGCTTACGTTCAAAAGGGCACAGCACCTTTTGTTCGACGGGTTGATTCGTCCGCCGTACTTCTGTCTACCTCTCTCCGTCTTGCTAAGCTGGAGTCCATCGAAGAGGTTGGCCGAGTTGCTTCGTCGGCATTCGCGCACGCCTCCAAAGTGGCGAACACAGCTAGCATCGCGCAGCGTTGTACCGTCACGAGGAACGACTGTCTAGTGGATAATAACTCGACGGTTGAGGAGAAGTGTGTGATCAAGGAGACCATCATCGGTGCTAATTGCCATATCGCCAGCGGTGCTCGGTTGACTCGTTGTTTGATCATGGACGGTGCTGTTGTTGGCGAGCGCTGTCAATTAACGGGTACGATTGTTGGACGCCGCAGCAAGATCGGCCGGGAAACCGTGCTGAAGGATTGCGAGGTTCAAGATGGAAACGTTGTTCCTGATGAAACAGACGCCAAAAACGAGAAATTCATGATCTTTGAGGGTCTTGACGATCAAGATGATATGGATGCTTCGGAGGATGACCAAGATTATTGATTCGAGGTATATTTATCCTGGCTAAATGTTTATGAGATAAGATCCATGAGATCAAGATCAAAAAATAGAATTTTATACCCCTGCATCCACCAAGTTATGAAAGTTGAAAGCCCGACATGTGAGGCAGAGATGCACTCTAAACGGGTAACTAACTACTGTAATGAGACAACAATATCGGGCGTGATCCGAACAAGATAGGCTAAGAGGCTCATAAATACGACAGTACACCACCATGTGTAATGCCAATGGCCAATCCGCTCCACCTCGTGCTTCCCCGGATGCATACTAAAATTTAGTACTTACACCAACGCAATGCTGGTGCAAGCACGGGACCTTTTGGGACGTTATCTTGGCAGTGGAGATATTAGTACTTACTAGTACATTGACACACTGCATGAACTATACTCCGCACGAATGAGGAGTTTTGAATTCCTTTCTCCGGGACTCGTTGCATCCATATCCACCCATTAAAACATCAGACCATAGCGTGTGAATTCGGGATTTGGACGCGCTGTCACAAAGGCACCGTGTGGATACTTTGTACTGTCCGAGAAAAAAAGACTCGAGTGATCATCGGAGGCATAATAATAAGGTCCATGGATGAAAATTATTGTCTTCTCCGCATTTGTTTCGCGACGGTGGTCCTTGGCCTGTGCCCGAATTGCTACCCCTGATCAGCCACATAGCACCGTGCATATTATTGAGGATTACCCCCATTCCAAGGTGGAATAGGAGATTAGATTTCAGCGCACAGAGCCCTGGGGTAAATGAAACGGGGGCATCAGGATGCTTAACCCTCGATGATTTACAGTATCAGACATAGCCCCTTCCCCTCCGTACGCAATACAATATCTCTAATCTAAAATATACGCTAATTCCAAGCTCGGGAAAGGTCGGTGCCAACCCGGATGGAGCAGGAGATATGTAGATATGTTTTGGTATTCTCCACAAATGTATGGAGTATGTTGTACGGAGTTGATAAATGGTCTAAACGATTCGGGTGAGAAAAAAAGTGTATGCCGATCACGCGGGAAGTTGTCTTGTATGTGGATCGACGGATTGAGTGGTTTGCAGCAAGTGGGGAGGGGAAGCGGGACAATTTTGACGCGGAGATTTCGGATTGTACGAAGTACTCCGAAGAAGATAAGAATTTGCAAGCATATTATCATACTCTGTACTCTGTAAGCACACAGCGTATTATGAATATCTGCAGGTTTGCGAGGGGACTTGGATGTGAAGATTCAGCCCTGGAGTGGCGCCATGCCAATAAGCTGAACCGGGCACACGAACTTCGATATCAAAATAGTTGAGATCATTTTTAGCGAAGGCTTCGTCATTGTACATTTACCGTTAGAAGTTGAGATAAAGCTTATTTGGAACCAGCGGTAAGTATGTTGTTTATACGGAGTAGTTAGTTAGCAAGAGACCGAGAGAACTACGAAAATAAATTTAAGTTCCGCTAGACTCTACAACATAAATTTTCATAGACTCAGAGCCATAGATATGATCACGCCATGATATACGGCAGGAATTCAGCCTTATTACGGCGTGTGACATTGAACAAATGTTTCAGATATTGGTAAAAGATATACCTACATACATATGTAGGTATAAAACACTGATAGATTAGATTGAGTGGACCACAACATGTACAACCATGGAAACAGCTCGGTCTTTCCCAAACATCGGAGCTGTTAAGCGGGGAGGTTCGCTTTTTTATTCCACGTGAAATTGTCAGATTAGGGCTTAATACACAATAGAAAGTAAACAAAAAGTACAGATTAAATAAGTACAGTACACGTACTCCGTACTTTTTTAAGATGTTTTGAACACATGTGGATTGGAAAAGCCGAGATAGCGTCACACTTTAGTGCAGGCGCAAATCGCGGGACGCGGTGCCAGGCCGATCGGATCCCCAGCTATCTACTCCGTAGGTAGCTCGCTAATCCCTTCGCCCACGTTCTCTGCAGAAGGTTGCCTTGCGTCAGTTTTCAGTTTGACAACAATTTTGTGGTCAGGTACCGGGTGACATAGTACAAGTATAGAATACCTGGAAATAAGTGCACAAAATGCAAGATATTGTGTGTTTTTTTTTTGGAATATTTTGGCTTAGAATAGAATGAGTGGCTATGGAGATGTCTAAGAATATCAAGATGGAGCATTAAGGGGAGAGCTATGATTGGCACATAAATTTGGAGGTCGGGCCCCCTTTTATGAACGGCTTCAGGAGGTGAATTCAATGTTACAGTATTCAATGTTCCAAGAAGAAGTCAAAGTAGAAGTACATAGTATGTAGTATCGTAGATAGTATAGTAGATAGTACAGTAGATAGTATAGTATATATTAAAAGTAAATAGTAATAGACAGCATAGAGAATGGATTTGTAAGTCAATAATACGTCCATGGATAACGTTGTACTGCGGTATCATGCAAAGAGACGCATAAGCATAATTAGTTCAGAGATGACAGGTTTTCTCTTTTTTATTTTTCTTTCTGGTTATTGATTCTTTTACTTATTCTACTTGACTATTTTACTGATTCAAATTTCAATTTCAATTTCACTGGAGTGTACTTCCCGGACCTAATCTACCCCGTGTCTACCGTCTACCATCTCTCCGGAACAACCCCCCCCCCCTCCTATTTTCCCTCTCATCTTCTCCCCTTCCATTTTTCTCTTCCCACTGAAGTGAACAGGCACATTTGATTGTTGTCATTTGAAGGTTCTGGGGTTATTTCAGTTTACTCTCTCTCTCTCTTTTTTTTTCTTGTACATGGCTCTCTTATTCTAGAGACGTCTCATCATCCTGGGGATCTCTCCCTCTTTTTTTTGCTCATCTTACCTCCTTTCGTTTCTTCCAACTCGCCTGGTTTCGAGTTTCATTCTTCTGGCATCGAGCGTCCTTTTTTTTTAATCGTTGTACCACTATAGTCTATGTCCACGTTACTTAGAACAGGTATGGTTACCCCCTGGCTGACGCGGTCCCTTATCCCCCCCAACGTGCACAGCAAAAGAAAGAAAAAAAAAGAAGCAAAGCACGCCCCCTTTCCTTAACAAACTCCACCTTTCATACCGCATTGAACAACGTGAGGGTTCTTATTTTACTTGTGATGGATAGCTGACAGCTCCTTGGTCACAGCATCCCGTTTCGTTCCTCGGATCCCTATTTGACGCGAACACACCTCGGGCTCATATTTTATCTCTTTTTTGCGAGTTGCCTTAGATCACGACCCTGGACAACTCGTGATTCCTCTCCTTTTGACAATTTGCTGGAACAATATGGCTGCGTTGGTTCAAACAATTCCGCAACAGAGTGGTACGGTACCTGTGCTTCAGACGCGTCCTTCATCCTCATCAGGCACCTTCTCTTCACCAACCCAGAATCAAGGCTCTCGTATCCAGACTATGTCTTGGACATCATTCAATGCTGGTAATTCTGGGAGTTATCGAGCGGGCCACCCGGTTGTGGCTCCCTATGCCTACAACCCGAACATGGGCCAAGCCACCGTCCAAAACCGGCAGTCTTGGACACCACACCTCCGGCCAGAACATCGCACCTTTTCCGCACCTACTACCCCTCAAGTGCCGGTGAATCCGACATACACCGGTGCCAGCACCCGATCCCCCCATCTTGCAGCTGGTTCTGTATCCAATTCCTCCAACTCTTCCTCCCGTTCCTATGTTTCCAAGGACGATAGCGCACTTCCCTCGCGGCAACCGAGGAGCGACCAGCCGCTCCGTCCCCTGTCTACGGCCAACCTTCCTTCCCCCTCCATCGTGAACATCTCCTCCCCGAAACCCTCCCCGAATCGGTATCGTCGTACCCCTCAACGAGCGGAAGCTGCTGCCGCACCATCGGCCCCTGCTCCCTCTCCAATTCCGACCGTGATTGTTGATGATTTTGGTGGCCCTCAACCAGCTCGACAAAACGTTCACAATCGGGTCTCAAGTGTGGATGATTCATCTCATGTCGATAGGGCCCAGCCTGAACGATATCGACGACGAAGCCTGGGCAATATGGATGCCACGGCGTACCCTAATCTGTCGCTGGATTTCCCTACTTCAACTTCCTCTCAGCCTCAATCTCAACCGGGATCCTACGACTTCATCACATTTGATACCAATCAACGGCCTGCTTCCGCTCACTCTCAGCGGGACAGCGTGGGTAGCGTTCATTCGACACACTCGTCAGCCTCCTCGGTAGGATCATCTTACAAGGACTCATGGAATTAATGCGGAAGCTAACGGTGTCTATTTCACAGGCACGAGATGGGACGCCATCGGAGTCCAACTCCGTCACTAGCAAGACTGGCAAGGCAGAAGAAAAACGTACGAGCAAGCCATCGCCATTATCGCAACCAGTATCGACAGAACCCGAAGCCCCCAAACCCAGCCCTCCAGCCGAGTCTCAGAAGAAGCCAACACCGCCTACACTGGATTCCCCCGCCGCGAAGCGTCTCAACGATTTGAAAAATGACTCGAAGCGCCCCGGGAAATCACGCTTGAGACGGGCTTTCTCGTTCGGCAGTGCCTCCGAGCTCTTAAAGACATCTGCACAAAGCAATGCTGCCAAGCGGGAAGCATTTGCCGCAGAACAGGCGCGCCGTGAAGCTCTGAGGGAACAACTTGGCCCGGAACAGGCCGCAATTGCTGAGCAGCAGGAACTGAGCGGACTAGGTGAAAGCATCTACTCCCATCAAGGCCACTTCTTCACCGGGTCTACCGATAACCTGTCAGTATCATCGACCGCTTCATCGGCGTCGATGATGCTTCGCAAGATGGGCAAGGGTATGAAGCGCTCCACTCGCTCATTGGTTGGCATGTTCCGTCCCAAATCTGTGGCCAGCATCAATTCCATGGAGGGTGCGGGCCCCGAAGTTCCACCCCCGCAGATCACCGTGGTGAACGTCGAGGCAGAACGGGAGAGCGTCGCTGTCAACCCTGACCCCATAGATTTACCCCGTGGGGCTACTGTGTTCCCCAAGGTCGAGGGCAATGCGGCGGAGATCAGACGATCCGCTTCCATTCGGGAAAGAGCCGCATCGGAGAACTCCCAGTCGCGTAAGAGCATCGTGGGAGGAGACCGAGAACGGGCGGAGATCCTGGCGGCCGTCCGGAAGGGTATCTTGAAGAGTGCGTATCTCCACACAAATGCACTTGACGTTCTTGGCATACTAACTGACCTTTTTAGAAACTCACTCGGACTTGGGCGTTTCTTCGCCTGCACACGCACTGGCCGGTGGTGACTCGCCGCACTCCAGTGCTCCTCCGACGCCCGATGAGTCTTCACGATCCCCAGCCCACCAAAATGATCCGGTGAAGATTGCCGGCGAGGACTACTTCCTCTCGAACGCAGGGCGGTTCTCATCTTCTGAAGCGAAGAGTGCACCCATCACCCCGTCAGCTGTTGGTGGTAGAAATATCGTCTTCAGTCCTCGCATCCAGTTTCACGAAACCTGGCCCAGCGGTGAGTATGATCGACGTGGAGAAATTGCGACCTGCAACCGTCTCACCCCCCTGCTTGCTCAGCAGATTCGGGAGGAGATCAATAACTTTAAGATGGTGAGTTGCTTGCATTGTTCTTAAATTCAATTGTGCCATTACTAACAACAGTTACAGGAGATGGAAGTTCATGAGAATTCCAAGATCTACACGCATTTCATTTAAGTTTTGGGCGGGAGTCTCTTGCATCGCTTAGTGACCCGAACTCTGGCCATCTATGGCCAGGGTTCTATGCACTGAGCCTGCATTCTTGTCTAGACATGCATCAATTCCGGCGAAATAAGGTGTTTGATGATTTCTTCATCGCATGAACAGAAGCTGTGCTGTCCGGGCGGATCTTAATTGATTCTATGGATTGTTGTACGCTCTATTCAGGGCGATTTGACCAATACAATCGTGCTTCCGGCGGATATTCCGCCAACCCAAAAATGGGGCGGCGTTTCTTGAAAAACTCTCGGTCTCTAGACAGGCGCTGCTAGCGCCAGTCCATCCAAAGCCTAAGAGATTCCTCTTCCACTCGAGGATTTTATCTTCGGCGTTGATCTAATGAATGTTCCTCCTACCATCTAATCGGTGTGGCGGTGCATATTCCTCACTTGTTCTCTGTCATCATCTTCTTTTTCAATTCTGTTTTCTTTTTCCTGCATCGTGTGCATCTGAGTCATTGTCATTGAGTATTATTGGGAGCGTGGGTTACTGGACTGTTTTTGTTCTTTCATTTTATTTCCGTTTTCTCTCTTTGTTCTCCTGTCCTTCTAGCACATCGTTCCTCATGGTCAACTCTAGGCCCATTTCATATCTATCACTCACTAAGCTCTGAATTCAATGTCTAAGCCTTGTTGCATTCTGTCTTGACAATCTCATTTTTGGTATCTCTTCGGCTGCTGTGTTGGGTAACTGTGTTTAATGGGCGGTTCTTGTTGTCTGCACAGATTCAGATTATGTCGTTGTTCCTCGGTGACTATCTTCTACTGCTATTGTAGTTCGTAGGGTTTGTTCTTGATACTTTGGGGAATAGGAGTAGATACACGAGCTTCGTATTGGTTTAAGGTAGTTGAGAGGGTTGCAGGTCATAATTGTGTTAAAAACATGGATTTTCTTTCTCCAACCTCTCGAGATTTTGCTGCTCGCCAGGACGCCAGGTTGCCTGGTGACATAGGCAAAGCTACGATCATGATAGCATCAAAATGCAAGCAGAATATACAAGAGTCTATCAAGAAAATGTCTGAACATTTTTGACTTGCCACATAGACAAGTGGTACATCTAGTATCGGTTCTTACTAGCAGGAACCAGAAGATGACTTGACCCTTCACGATCAAAACATCAAAACTCTCGAATTTTTTCGAGGTCGTCAGGTTGTCAGGTGAGTTATAATATGCAGTGAAATTCTACTAGTAAACCATACTGATTACTAGTCGCGGTTGAGACTAGATCTTCAAAGCTCTCGAATTTTTTTCACTGTCAGGTTGTCAGGTCACTTAGGATATTATGTTTTTAGTAGTTACTAGTAGCTACTAGGGAGATTTTCAATATTGAAGAGCAGAAATCGAAAAGTTCTGAACAAGGTTAACTCTTAATTGGACAGGAGGTACCCTAGTGGCGCGACCTCGCAAATAGTAATTACTAGTAGAAATTGAAATGTGATCCAAAGTATACATTGGCACTTGAATCGTCAATTTCCAAATTTTTAGCTTGAAGGGTTGTAGGGCGAATGATACAAACCTCAAGCAGAACGTAGCATTTTGATGACCTATGGAGGGCCACTATAACCGTTTTTATATTACTCGCAACTCGCGCATTATCCAACCTCCGTAGAAACATGGCAGTGATACGAAGAGCCACTAGTAACCTAAATAGCCAGCAGTAAATCCCGGGGAAGAAACAAAGAATTGATCGTGGGGGCAGCCAATCCAGGAAATCCCAGAGCATCCGACGGTTGGTCACGGAAAGGCACGGCAGCCATTTCCCCCCCTCCTCATCCCTTCCGTGTTATGACCAATAACACAGATGAGAGATGTCTGATCTTAGAAACCAGCCTATTCCCAGGCTGTGTCAGTCACAAATCCATAGAAAGGAATCACATCAGAACTGCAACTTTGTGGTCACCGAGCCCGCTTCTGTCTATATGATCTCGCCTAGTATTCCCTCTTTTAGTTGAGCCATTCTTGGTCTGGATCTTCCGAATAAAGGAATTATTTATTCTAAAAGTCTATGAGTGGAGAGAGGTTGAGGTTGAGTCGCCATCGGCTAATCTACGGCTTTAGGTAAGGTTTCTGATAATGACCTCTAAGGCTGTTGCATTATTCACAGTTATTAGCTACCATATATTTCTACATTCTCTGTTCAGGCCGGAATGTCTTTTCGGTCCGAAATGAAGAAAAGACCCGAAAGGAATGAAGGGATCGGGAAACCGAGAATATTGGGATCGGAACCTAGGATGATAAGAGGAATCTTGGCTTTCCATACTATTTACAACATAGTATCTCGTGATGGGAAATGGGAACAGCATACTTCTATTAGAATGCGTGGGAGTCGAATGTAGTACTGAATCAGAGTTGATATTGGATTCTCCACCTTTTGAATCCGATAAAGCTTAACATCTGAATACATTGCTACTACGTAATGACTTCTATACACCTCTAGATGTGTTCGGTTAAAATGAATGGATAAGAAGGTCTTGACATTGATTATTGAAACATGCTGCTCATAATAGCCACAGAATATTATCGGCTACTATAAAACACTGCTTTTGGTATTGTTTCCGTAGCCCTAACTTTGACTGGGAGAACCAGGCAAAGACACAAGAATAATAACCATATCCCCAACCTCAGATACTTCCTACGTATCCCCTCGCTTTAAAATGCCAGAAAAGAAATCAAGAAATCACGCATATTGGACTGAGATACACCCCCACGCCGGGGTGATACCAAGGTTGGGCTAGCCCTTAAATACGCTTAAATACGAGTAAGCATCCCCCACGCGGGGAGATGATCTTTTCTACATGCAACCTCATCCCCTGTCGCTTCTCCCCACAAAAGGCTGGTAAAGGATGGTATGATCGGGATAAGTCCGGGGTCTGGCATTTCCCCAGTCTTTTCCAAGTTTTCTGCGGGGAACGATGTTTGGTTGTCCCGTCCTACCTACATATGTAGGGATATCATGGATTTGATTGGTATGGGCATTTATAGCCCGGCAAGTTTGGGATACTACTCTCTCGGGCGAATAGACATCAACGCCACATATCTCACCCCTGTAGAAGAGGATTCCAAACTCACAATTCGCAACTCGCCCCGACTTGCCGAGTCTCACTTTCCACGTGTGTTTTCTTTTCTTCCCCATTCTTATACCCCTTGCTTCCTCTGGTATCTTCTTATTGACTTTGGCTTAGACTCACATATTAAGTTAGCTGGTGTGGTCTTGCTACTTATTTCAATCCTTCTCTCATCTTCCTAATACCTTCGTCCTTTCTCACACCGGCAAAGCAAACAACGATGTCGCCCAGAAACTCAGAGATCGAAGTGGGAGATATCGACAAGTCTCACAGCGACAATGTCGAAATTGTCGCCAATGCCGATAGGCCCAACCCTCAGAAAGAAGCTCCGGCCTACGTTGCCAACCTGACGCCCGAAGAACGCGCGAAAGCCGAGAAAGCTCTCGTCCGAAAGATCGACCTGCGTCTACTACCCATGATCATCATCATGTATATTCTCAATTATTTGGATCGCAATAACATCGCTTCTGCTAGACTAGCAGGCCTCGAGGAAGACCTAGGTCTTGTGGGCAATCAGTTTGCGACCTGCGTCAGCATATTGTTCGTCGGTTATCTGTTGATGCAGATCCCATCCAACCTGATGTTAAACAAATTCGGCAAGCCAGCCCTCTACCTCCCTATTGCGATGATTCTCTGGGGTATCATTTCCACCGCTACAGCCGCTGCTCAAAGCTACGCCAGTCTCGTGGTCATCCGCTTCTTCCTAGGTTTCGTCGAGGCTGCCTACTTCCCAGGATGCTTGTACTTCCTGAGTGTTTGGTACACCCGTAAGGAGCTGGGTTTCCGCACGGCGGCGCTGTACTCTGGGTCCTTGCTCTCGGGTGCTTTCTCGGGTCTGATCGCAGCAGGCATTACTAGAAACATGGACAACGTGCTAGGCCTGCGCGCTTGGCGATGGTTATTCATCATCGAAGGTGCCGTCACTATTGCGGTTGCTTTTATCGCAATCTTCGTTCTCCCCAACTTCCCTCGCACAACTAGCTGGCTTTCGGAGGAAGAGAAGCAACTGGCCGTGTGGCGTCTAGAAGAAGACATCGGCGAAGATGACTGGGTCGACAGCGAGCAGCAGACCTTCCTGCACGGAGCCAAGCTCGCCTTTGCAGACATCAAGACCTGGGTCCTGATGCTCATGATCCTCTGTATTGTCTCCTCGGCCTCAGTCACCAACTTCTTCCCGACAGTCGTCAAAACACTCAAATACGGCAACATCGAGACTCTACTCCTGACAGCCCCACCCTACTGCCTAGCCGTTATCTGCGCCTTTGCCAACGCATGGCATGCAGACCGCACGGGGGAGCGGTACTTCCACGTCACCGCACCGCTATACATTTCCGTCGTGGCATTCATCATTGCTGCTACTACCACAGCTACTGCACCCCGCTATGTGGCAATGATGCTCATGGTGCCGTCGTTCTACTCGGGCTATGTTGTCGCTCTCGGCTGGATCTCAAATACCCTGCCTCGTCCGGCTGCGAAGCGTGCCGCTGCTCTGGCTGCTATTAATTGTGTTAGCAATGCCAGCAGTATATATGCTAGCTATATGTATCCTAATTCTCATGCTCCAAGATTTGGTATGTATTTCTCTACCGCTGGTTTTGTTTCTATCAATCTAAACTAAATCTCATCTAGTGCCTGCCATGGCTGTCAACTGCGCAACGGCTTTCATCGCCATTGTCGCTGCAACGGTACTCCGATTTATGCTCGTACGCCTCAATAAGAAGCTTGATCGCGGTGAGGAGGTCGAGGGTGCTGTTCCTGGCGAAGGAAGCCGTCGTGGTTTCCGCTTCTTGGTTTAAGATTATATCATTTTAGATTTGGGCATTATGGCGTGGGAATATATTCATCAAGGGTTTTGGCTCATGATTATAATGTGCTTCTTGGTCTCGATGGCTATCTGGCTATATATAGTATGCCTGCTAGTCTAGGATCTCAAGTATATGTCGAAAATGCCACAAAATGCCTATGTAAGATATTCATAATATGTACTAGAACTATATAACACGTAGAATACTAGATGCTAGATCTAAATCATTTCGCCACAGCCACCTTTTAAGCTACTGAACTCAAGCATATTTAACCCTCTCCTCAGTCCACCCGGGCCTCAAATCCTTAGTATCCAACGAAGCAACATCCAACGAACTATCAGCAAGATAATTGACCCGCCAGTCAATGCCAATACTAGCCCCTTCCTCACTTTGCGCCCAAACAGCCACACCGATGGTGTTCTCCCCCGTGTAATCCAAAATTCCGACAGGAACAGGATAAACAACCTGATTCCCAATATAAGGATTATACCTTCCATACTGATACCCATTAACAAACAACTGAGCGCGATACTTCGTCGTCACACCAGCCGGAGTTGAAAGAACAAACGAAATCGACACATCAGTGTGCGCAGGGATAGCAAGGGGAATGGTAGTCCGGAAGAATCGAACCGTCGCACCCTCGAAGCTAAGGACAGACGTTGTCTCCTTAGTAGTGGGTTCCTCTCCTCCCCAGGCTGAGTCGTCAAAGCCGGGTAGATGCCATCCAACTCGCTCGGCAAATAGTCCGTCCTCGTTGTACACGCCGCGCACCGGGTCTACGTCTGACTCTCCGCCTGCGGTTCCGGCTAGACGCCAGTGTGTGAAGCCTGAGTCCGAGCCGAGCAGGTTTGCGTCCATGATGCCGCGTGGGTTGAGGGCGCCGGTTGTTTGGTCGTGGCCTGTGTCGTCGTGGATGATTAAGAGGACGTTTGGTGTGTTCGCGTGCAGGGTTGCGTTTGTGAATGATAGGGTTAGGTTCGCTTGGGATGTGGTGGCGGTGCCGAGGTGGGAGGCGAGGAATTCGCCGTTTAGCCAGGCGGACCAGCCGCTGCAAATCGCAGGTCAGTATCATGTTGGTTCAATGTGGTGGTGGTTGTGGAACTTACAATGCAGATCCTCCCTGGACATTGATGAAGGCTCCCGTCGCCGTTCCGTTGAAGTATCCGCGCCACAGACGGACGCCGTTGTGGAATCCGTATTGATCGGCGTAGAGGACGGGTAGACTTGTCGGGGTTCTCGGGTTTAGCGTCGTCGTATGGTTGGCATCTGCGAAGATCAGCTATTTTTGCTCGAGTCGTGTTCATATACCAGTAACTTACCAACCCACGCCACACCAGAATCATCATAATCTGTGAATCGCTCTGGCAGACTGTCTTTCGATTTCCATGAAGTCAAAGCCGGCAGCTTGATAGATTTCGGGGCATCCAGCGAGCCCTTGAGACTGCCGTACTCGGTCGAATGGATGGGAACCTTCCTTCCATTCCAGGTCACGGACTTGACACCCTTTGGTGCAAAGATGTCCAGCGTTGTTGCGTTGACGACGTCGCCAGTTATCTCAAGCTTGGATCCGGACAGCTTAGCGTTGCGGACGAGATACGGACCCTGGACGAGAACTGCAGCAATGATTAGTATTGTGAGCATGAGAGAAATAATAATGAGAACATACCACTCTCTGTCTCCGGCACGAATGGATCATTTGTGACTGCAGGAGCCCAGAAGTCATACGCCGACTTTCTGTCAAGCACGATAACTCTAACACCATCATCGAATTCCAGAACGGTCGTGCCAGTGGATTGCGTGAAGGAGGTCGTCAGACCGCCATGTTCCTTGATGAACTTGACCCGCGAACATCCCTGGCATTTCTTGATAGAACCCTTCTTGGATCCCTTGATAGAGAACTCGCCAGACTCGCCAGTCGGAACCCAGAGAACCAGGGTTGGCTTCTTATCGAAGATAGTATATGTCAGCACCTCGGCTGTGGAGTACAGCAGAGTCTTCGAGCCGAAGGTGAAGTCCGTCACGATGATCTTCGACTGGTGCCCATTCAAGCGAATGGTGCTGGCATATTTAGGGACAGTCAGAGCACCCACAGAAGTATTAACCTTCAAGTGGAACGGCTCGTTCGTCGAGATGGAAGTGTTCGAGTGGAAAGTAGCATAGAACGCAGCATTAGTCTCTGGATTCCGAAGCTCATAGGCCCTCACAGCGGGGTTATCAGTGTACTGCGTGCCATTACCAACCAACTCCGTCATTGTCAGATCCTTGGCAGAACGAGTGAACAATGCCAACAATTTGGTCTCATGGTATTTCGACCAAATAGACCGGTCCTCTGAGATCGGCGCCGAGTAGTCGTAGCTGGTAGCCGTGACCGGCGCAGCCATGGCACCGTGGTTTTGACCACCGAACATCATGTACAGGGACATTGCTGTCACACGCTGCCCGATGTTCCAGCGGTAGAACAGGTTGGCAAAGTCATCACCAATATCACCGGGGCAGCCACCTTCTGGTCCACCCCAGGGATTGTATGAGCCGCCCTGGAACTCGGGCATGAAACCGGGCATGCTGGGCTGGGATTCTTGGAAGTAATCGTGGTATTCCAGGACCTGGAAGGGCACGTATGCACCATTGGTGGAGGTGCATTGGGTGATATCGCAGGTCCAACACTGTTATACAAGGTAATTAGTTTTTGTTGCTCTTTCTTTTCTATTCACATCTTGTTTCCCACTGTATAGATGGAAATGCACATACCGAAGGATACGAGTCCACACCGGCAACATCAACATTCCCACCCGCATCAGACCAGTCCTTCCCCCACGAGTGGGTAGCCATATTAGGATCATTCACAGTCAGCGGTAGCGTAATACCATTCTTACGAGCATTGGCCTCGAGCAGCTCCATGTAAGCAATTGCCGTCTCATTCGGCACGCGCAAGGAAGGATCACCCAGCCACTGATTTCCGTACTCATTCTCGATCTGATAAACGATGGAGTTATGGCCATCAGTCACTTGGTAGCGACTAGTGATCTCTGTCACTTCGGTAAAGTACGGCGTCCAGGCATTCGTATAGCGGGTATCATCATTGCGGAGGGTACCATACTCACCCGTAGTCAGCCACAACGGGAAGCCACCAGCATTGGCTTCAGCGTTGACGTACGGGCCGGGCCGGACGATGATGTACAGCCCCAATTCCTTAGCGAGCTCGAAGATGGGGGTGATATCGCGGGCGCCGGTTGAGAAATCCACTGTTGCGTTGTTCGGTGCGTGGTACGCCCAACTGGAGTAGAAGGCGAAGGCTGTGAAGCCGGCTGCTTTGATTTTCTCGAGGATGTCGCGCCATAGAGCTGGGACGGGGATGCGCCAGTAGTGGAATTCGCCGGAGAAGATGAAGATGCGTTCACCGTTTACTTGGAAGCTGTAGTGGTCCCATTGCACGACGGTGCTGAGGCCGTTATCTTGCAGTGGCCATTGCGTGACGGCTTGGTCATCTGCTTTGGTCGAAGCTCCGAGACAAGCTAGGAGGACTAGCAAGCAATTGAAGATGCGCGTCATTTTGGGCCGTGGACCGCTCTTTGACTGCGCGAATGCTTTGGAACATTCCCGGGGTGGCCATGATTAATTTATATTTGTTTCTCACTCAGCCACTGGATTTAGAGTAAATGCGGCGTTCGACAGGGTCAAGCAAGGTAACGGATGTTAATTTTCCCTTTCAGGTGGATTTGGTGGAATCTCCGGTGTTTGGCCGGTGGTTTTTCCTCCATTCACGTTACGGGATTACTCCGGATGTGGAGGACAATACATTAGTTACATATGTAACATGTGGTCATGTCTGGGAGGTTTCATAAATACACCGTCTTCTCATTACACAATAAACGGATGATAAAGATATACAAAATAATATATGCTCAAACAGCGAATGAAAAAGGCTGGAAATACAAAAGACGCTATAAAAGCAAATCCACCGTTCCTCAAGTCACCAGTCTATACAACTCGGATAGCCGAGTCTGGGGCCTGGGGAAGAAAGAGTCCGGAGAGAAGGCTTTTCCCCGGATATTCCCCCCACCGGGGGCCATGACTCGAATGCATACACCGGGCCGGATCGGCAAGTGTAGGGGACCCAGGCTTGCGGGGAAGTCCTGAATGGCGAGTGAAAGCACCAAAGCAAAGCTATTGAATATCATAGCCGAGCATCAAATCATTTTTTAAAAACCCAAAAACTCCAAATTTATGCGGTATAGGAATATGCTACCAATTCCAAGGTTGCATTTAGGCATTGTTATCCAATACCCCGAATGGGTTCTCGCCCTTTGTGCTCGGGCTGGAGGAAGACTGCTTCTCGGCTTTTTGCTTCTTAGCCCCCTTCTTGACGGGGACCTTAGCGAACCCCTCTTCAGACTCCGACCGACTGACCGATGCCGAGGCAGTCTTGGCCTTTGAGGCAGCGGCCGAGCGGGTGCGGACCGGCGAGTCAGCGATAACCTTCTCGGCGATCTTCTGGACCTGAGCCTTGAGGACCTCATCATCGGTGGTAACCTCGCTGTTCTCGCCCTCAATGGCAGCCTTGCGGATCTCGCGGCTCAGACTCTTCAGAGCATCCAAGCCGGCCTTCTCAGCCGCCTCCATGTGCGTGGGCTGCTTCACTCCTGGGTCCTTGCGGTTCAGGTAGGAGCGGACAAAGAAGCGCGCAAAGAGGTAGGTAAGGGGAAGGAGGTAAGAGACGTTCAGCCAGATGGCGAATGCCTGTCCGGTGGTGTCCGCACAGGTCATCATCTGCTGGGAGTAGCCGGATTGCTGGACAGGGGCGGCGGTGAAAGAAGTGCCCACGTTCTCAGCAAGTCCTTCTGCGCCCGCAGCCCGGAATGCCAGCTTCTTCAACCAGGTGATCGAACCAACCTCGGCGGTGGCGGCGGTAGCAGCATTGGTCAGCTGTTGCAGGGCGGCGCTACCGGACGGGTATGGGATAGTGTAGTGAACGAATAGGTAGGCGGCGGCCATGTTGGTTCCGAAGACGAACTGGGTGATTTGCATGGTGGTCAAGCTACGCTTGATGGCGTTAGGGACGCGAATGCGGAGAGCCGTGAGGGTGTAGTAGGTGTACTAAAGCGTAGAAAAAAAGTTAGTAACTTCGTTTAACAAATCAAAAACAAGGCGATTGCCCGACTTACCATCATAGCGTGAATGGCCGAGTTAACCAGACAGAAGATCCAAATGGGAGCTGCCATGTAGCGGATACCAGCCCACATGCACATCATAGCTCCTGCGTGGTGGTAGGTCTGTAGGGTGGAGCTCTTCTTGCCCTTGGCCAGAATGATCGCGGTGTCGACAACCTCGTAGAACTTGGACAGATAGAAGAACCAGCCGAAGTAAGCCAAGCCCTGGTTCCACAGACGGCCAGCATCCGTGGGGTCGGGCATGCCGTTGGTAAGGTGGAAGGCGGGGTTGGGGATCGACCACTCGTCGGTGATGGGGCTATAGATAGCGGCATTGCCATAACCGCGGGGTCCATTGATCTTGCACAGCGAGTCCACAACTCCAACCAGTCCGTGAGGGTCATCGCTATCCGGGAAAGAGCTTCTGAATGCGAGTAACATGCCCACGAAGGTCCATGCGGAGTACACAGCTAGGAAGACATTGTGGAGAACGACGAACAGCTTGAACAAGCGGGTGTTGCTGAACGCATATGGCTTATACCCGCGGCGCTTGTTGATGCGATTGAGCAGGACCACAGTGATCGCATAGACACTGGCGACTATGATTGGTAGCCGGACGTCCAGCACCTGGTTGTAGAGATCGTTCGGGATGTTGAAGGGCTGCTTCCATGTCGGGGAGTCGACGTGAGGCGCGGGGATGGTCACTGGAAGCTCATGAGGAGGGAAGGCAAGGAGAGAGGCGGGAGGGAAGGCAATGCGAACAATGGCCTGGCCAAACTCGGTGGGCACGTTGAAGTCGTGCATGGTTATCGCCACGCGGAAGGCGTTCAATTCAGCGCGTCAACAAAGGTGATAAGAAAGAATATAGGAGAAAAGATATGTGATTTCTAAAGAATAAAGAAAGTAAAAAAAAAAAAGAAAAAGAAAACGGTTGAAGTGTTGAAGTCGAGTGGATCCAGATAAACTAACTGCCCTTTAAATTTCTCAACAAGGGCAATCTCCGACGATCTCGATCCGCCCGCGCTTAGTTTGTTGGGAATTCCAAGGCTTGGCCAAACGTGCCGAGGTTAGTATCGCCACTTGCCTATTAAGGGTTACATCTAGTTAGTTAGTTAGATATGTACAACGATGTACATGTATAGAAGAGTGTAACAGTGAATCAATTCTGTTTCTCAATTCGAGAAATTGATCTTCCATCGGGGGGGGGGGGGGGCGAAACTGTAAATGAATTGAACTGCCAATGATTAGGATAATCCTCCAATGCTTTTAAAAATTGGAAACCGTGGGCAAGTCGGTACTCTGGACCGATGGTCGTATAAAATCTGGATACCTCCAGGGCTGTATGTTGTACTTTGCAGGTTGCGCAGCCCTACCGAGGAAGGGGCCACCTGGACAGCCCAGGAGGGAAATCCCGCTGAGTCAGCTAGACAAAGTTCCAAGGTTCCGAGTTCCCCGGGAACATTTTCAAGGTTTTGGCCTTGGAAAGTTAAGCCGACAAAAAGCTTGGAAGCTTTGAAACCTTCCGAGGTAGGAATGTGCCCAGGTGGTGACCTCAGACTATCGGGATCAGCTGCTTGTTGGGATGACCACATGTGCACTATAATCGTCCCAACAAGTTGCCAACAAGTTGGGGATATGCAATCAAATATAAAACAGCCTAATCGGATCACATGCAGCCTCGGTCTTACTGTATGTTGAAAATGCGTAAAACGTGAAAGCATGAGACTCACCGGGATAGACAGGACTATGATGTACCTACAACTGTTGTACAACATACATCGTACAGGGTAGATAGATCTGCAAACATCGTCATCATGACAAAATTGTTCGATTTCCATCCTGTTTAGGTTGTAAAGAAAAACACCAATCAACGCCAGGAATGCACAACATACACATATACACGGTTGATAGTAAAATCCTTAGCGGGGCTTGGTATTATGGGGAACGGGAGGAGGCCCCAGAGGTGATGGTGACGAAGCGTCAACGGGAGACGCACGAAATTCAGCCCGCTTGGGTGGAGGTGGCGGCGGGGCCTTCTTGCGTTGGGCTTGAGTCTGGATATCGGGCTCTGTGGGTGACACCGCTGCAGAGTTCGACTGGGCCATGGACATGGGACGAGACGGTGGGCGTGGAACCCGTTTGTTGGCTTCGGCGGAGAACTTGCGGTCCTCCACAAATGTGTTGAAACGCGATGTGACTCCACCCCACTTCTCTTTACCCATGTCGATTTTGTCCGCATGGCGTTCACGGAAATCTTGCACAGAGGAGGTGCCCCGCGCGGGCTCCGCCGGTTCCAAGTTCATATTAGAAGTATTCGACGCGGGCCGGGCCGGTGGGCTAGGCGCTGCGGGAGAAGAGCCAGTGAATCGTGACGCATAACCACTCAACTTCTGTTTGCCTGAATCGATTGAGTCCGCGTGACGCTCACGGAAATCACCGTATTTCTGCTTTCCTGAGTCAATGGTATCTGCATGACGCTCACGGAAGTCACCGTATTTCTGTTTTCCCGAGTCGATCGAGTCCGCGTGGCGCTCACGGAAATCACCATATTTCTGCTTTCCTGAATCGATGGAGTCTGCGTGGCGCTCGCGCAAGTTCTGGAAAGAAGATGTGCTGCTCGCGGACTGCGCCTCGATGTTCGTCGAGGCTCGAGCAGGCGGGGTGGGTGCCGATGGAGATCCCGAGGTGTTCATCTGGGAGAAGCGTGACTGCAGCTCATTGACAGGCGTATGTGAAGGCGACGAAGATTTCTCCTGGCCGATTCCAAATCCAGGAACCGAGACACCCGCGTTTGCTAGGCGGGATGTAGCATCTTGATTGATATAATCGTGGGAGAGTACCGGTTCAGGAGAATAAGCGGGGGGCGGGTCGGCGCTGGGGGATCCATTGCGGGCAGGAAGGCGTGGCGGGGGCTTTGGTGGCTTTGGCTTTGAGATTGAGCTTGTTGAGGCGGAACTTGCTGAGTCCAGTCGCCGCACTGGTGGTGGAGGGAGATTGTCTGTAGAAAGGCCGCTTGTGTCGACGCGATACGGGACCGGAGGCGGAGCGGGCTTTTGGAACTGTTCCTCCTCTGCTTCGGCTACTTGCTGTCGATGGAAATTCTGCGCGTCTATCTGATCCTGGGACAGCGGAGCTCCTACACCCCGGCGGTCGGGTGTTGTCTGATTTGGCACCGCGGCTGCTCCATGGTAATTGATATGTTTGGGAGGGGGCCCGAAGGTAGATGGGTCTTTTAATGCTGACAATGGTCGTGAGACATGATCAGAGCGGTTAGAGTTGGGTTCGTTGCCCTTTCCCATCCAGCCAGCCTAAAAGCGAGCAAAGGTTAACACTAATGGCTGAGTCGTGAATACACGAAGGGTCAACTTACCACTTGGCCCCTGATACCCCCCTGTGATGAGGAGCCCTGTCCAGAGCCGGAGGAGTCACCCTCCTTGCCCTTTCCCATCCACCCAGCCTAGTAGCAAGTCAGCATCAATGGTCGAGGTGCGAGTGAGTTCGAGAGGGGTAAGTAGAGAGCTTACCACTGAGCCTCTGATACCCCCTTGTGGTTCAGAGGACTGTCCAGAGCCAGATCCAGAGCCAGAGGAGTCACCTTCCTTACCTTTTCCCATCCACCCAGCCTAATAGCAATGATAAGTCAGCATCAATCGCCGCCCGAGTTGCGAGTCGAGAGGAGCGAGAGGTAAGCTTACCACTTGGTTAATGCCTTTGAAATCACCACGCCAGCTTTCCTTTCCACCTTCCTTGCCTTCTGGGTGCCAGCCACCCTTCATAGTATTGCGTAAACCACTCATTATGCTGCAGACCTGGGGAGTGCGGGGATGACAGTGCTAAGTGGTTGGGGAAGCCGTGACGACAATATCTCCACTTGGTCACGTGAGCGCTTGATTTAGTAATTGATCTATATAAGTGGGTACCACACAAGCATCCCGTATACATATTGCATGATAGTGAATATATGATCATTGAAGATTCTAAGAAGAACAATTCAGTCAATTTTACAAGTTCCTGCTTCAAAATATCCATGGATTTGATTGTCAACCAAGTAGGCGGTCTGACCAGATTCTGCTATCATGTTCCATCACCGCCATGCTATCGCCAAAGCAGGTAGGCGGTACAATTCTGCCCAAAACAGGGGTTATATTAAACTTTAAGGATGCTCCTTTCGCACTTCGGGGCATATGGTCAACTGAGAATATACAGAGAAGATTAGCATGGCTCCTGCATTAAGGATGACACGCATAATCAAAGAGAAGCACCTTTTTTTTATATTCCTTCGCCGTCCTATATTGAGGTTCCTCCATGGATGTAATTGGTCCAACGGCATATGGAAATCACGTGATATTCTGCCAATTCAAATTTCATTGGTCGGATTTTGGACGTGGGTCCCGCGGTTCCGTCATTCTTTTATTAGGTGGTCCAATGGGAGAATATCGAGTGGAGATTCCTGTGTCCTGTTGTGAAGAAGAAATGGAACTTACCCTGGTTTTACGTATTAGAACTACCCTTTACGAGACCAGGATCCGCTATCTGCCTATGGACCCGAGAATTTGAGCAAGCTCAGATCGGTTGCGAAGCAAATTGACCCCCATGGTGTTTTCAAAAAGTTGTACAATGATGGATGACTGCTTTCCAAGACTGCATAATGGGAAACTGGAGGCTAGCTTACGGTGAAAGAAAAGAGATGAATATATTAAGTATATGTATTTACATAGTTGGGAAATGACAAGTGGGATCGGAATTAATTAACAAACGTCTTTAGTCAAGACTTTCTTGGAGAAATCGTCGAGTAAGATCATTCTCAATCCATTGCTCAATTAGGCCAACACTGTCTCCGACAAGGTGGTCGTAGTTTGCACCCTGTGGGATAAACATAGACTGATGTGCCACGACTTCGTCCATGTCCTCCATTAATATCGGCTCCCAATGGGAGTTATCGTTGTGCCTCCAATGATGTGACGGTAAGAGGATGAACTTGCGAAGGTGTTGTTTATTAGGGTCTGAGGACTCTGTGGTTGTAATGGAGCCATTCTCAGTTGAGAGGGAAATGCTTCCTGAGAGGGACTGGCTCTCTATTTGGTCGATTGAGCTTGAATTAGACAGTGCGGTACTTGTATGATCCGCCAGCGAAGTATTCTTGTCATCGTTGGTTATTTTGGTTGCCAGGGAAGAATGAGAAGTGGCGGACTTCAAGGGCTTTCTTTTTATTGTCATGTTGTTCATGGAGGTGGTTACTTCAGTTTCTTCGGAACCACTTGGCGTATCTGGGTTTTCGTGCGAATGCATTTTCGTTGCATATTCATTCAGGTCAATTTTGACCTCCCTTGCGGACTCTTCGTCTTCCTTTGTAGAGTTCTTGGCTTTCTTTTTGGCTTCCTTTTCGGTTTCCTTTTCGGCTTTCTTTTCGGCTTTCGTCTTGGATTCTCGTGGTTTGCGGCCAGTGCTCGCGGTATAGTAATTGACAAATCGTACTCTCCAGGGACTGGACTCAGCAGCTTCCAGCTCCATCAAGTGCCGGTACCGCCCACGAAGTTCGGAGTAATTGTTGACACAACCAGCAAATTTGAAAGGTGATACGACGCGATCGAAGATAGATCGTGAGAGATTGTCGGTATTTTTGTTGACAAAATGCATAATACCCTTGAGAAAGCCACGGTCAACCAGACGCACATCGTTCATGAATGGTGGGTCAAAGTTTGGATTGAAAGAGGCGGGTTTAAAGGCTGGTTCCAAGCCCAGAGATTCTTGTTCTCTCGCAAGATTCTCTTCATCTGCCGGGTCTTTCTTGGGTATTAAGCCCATGGTTCCTGTTGCTATTACGCGGGGATGGATGCCCAGAAAGGGGACATCGAATCCCACTACACCCAAAATTCGATGCTTTGGTTGCCCGTCTTGTTGTAAGCGAGCAACGTCTGCAGCTAGGATTCCGCCGAGACTATGTCCCAGCAAGATAACATCGAGGTCATCTGCCTCATGTGGTGATAGCCTGCAGGTATCTCCATTAGCATATGTACCTCGTTAAAAATCTAGGAAAAACGAGCTTCCTGTGGTGTGATCGCATACCAGGCACTGAATTGATCCACAGCCGTTTGTATCTCGCCTTGAGACTTGTATCTGGGATACATGCGGGTGTACACCACGTGTGACTCGGTCAACGAGGCCGTTAACAGATCATGAACATGCAGCGGAAGATCATGAAAGCTAGCTTCTGATCCCATGAAGCCATGGATATAAATCAGTAATAGCCTGCGCTTTTCTGTGGTCTGGTATCCTCCGGGCCGAGGCAGCGACAGGGTGGAATGAGATCCATCGGCGCAAGTACGAATATTCCCCTCCATCTCCATCTCCATCGCCAAATGAGCCACCAAAGAGAGAAGCTGAGATAGGAAAATGAACAACAGAATTCCCTTCTTGGGACTCCCCAACCTTGGAACCTTTCAAGGTTGGAATGCGGGGGGCTTCAGATTGCCACCGAAGCTTACTAAGTCAAGCGGTTGGCTCCAGGAGATCATATCCACATGGGGTAGCCCTGAGGAGAGGAAAAAGATCGAACAGAGTGTGATAATTATTTGAAGTTCTTTCAGGCCATTCGTGTCTTTCCACATTTCTAAAGTATTAAAATCTCTGCTGCTTGGTTATCAGTGTATTATTAGCTTGGCCCACATGGACTCGTACTCGTATTCCTTGCCATCTAAGCCAAATCAACGCATCCATGGATTGTACAAACAAGCTTAATTTTTACATTTCACACTATACTACTACCCTAGGTAGGTATGAGGCCCCGGGGGTTACCTTTGAATTTTCATAATATAAACCCCTCATGCCACCCGTATCAAACAACAGCTTCATCTCACATTGTTCAGGGTATTCGGCTTATCAGTCAGATATATCAACTCTCTCATAGCGCATCCATATGCTATGTACAGCCATATCCCTCCACCTGATATGTAATCTTCGCAAAACGTCTATACCGCTTCATGCCCAATATCATGGCTCGAGATAGTCACAGGAGTACCCTGCACTCCCCACTCCCCTCCTTCAATTTCTTGCGCGTAGAATCGAACCAGGAGACCGACGGTAACTGGGCCAATGATGGTATTCAAAAGAATAGCCCAGACGCCAGTTATGAAACCTTCGTCACTGACGTACGGAGTTTCGTTGTGTCCGATTTCGATTATCAAAAGCCCAATCTCACCGCGTGCTACCATGGCAGATCCTAAAAGTGTTGCGGCGAGCCAGGCCCGGTTCCACCTCTTCCCCTTCTCTTGTTCACTTTGTTCTTCGTGGCTTGTGTTGTTGTCCTCGGTTTTTGGTTGTCCCTGTCTTTTCTGCTCTTCAAGTGACTCTTTTTTAGGAGATTTACCCCCCAAAACGAGTTGCCATATGGGGATCCAGATTCCGACAATACACTAGATAAATTCATTAGCTCAATTGCTGAGAAACGATTTGGATACCTGTATACCTTTGCAAACGCCATCAGGAGGGTGTAAACCACCCCTCTCCAAATGCGTTTTCCCGTCCACAGCTTCAAGAACGGAATTGCAAATCCGATACTTGCGAAGAACAAAGGTTCCATCAAGTACTGCTGAGGTCCTAACAAATATTTCTCAAAGGTATGAATGAAAGTGGGACTTTTATCCGCCTCGCGCTCGCCTTCCTCACGACTCATGACAACAAATGGTCCTTCGGGGTGCTTGCTCGGTATGTATGTGAGAAATACGCCCGCTAGAAAGGCACCAAACAAGACGGATGTACCAGTAAAGCCAGCAATCGCAATAAAAGCCGAAAGAACAAGTGTCATGAGGATGATGTTGGAGATATGGTCGAAGCGCGCAAAGCGGTATTCAATGAACTTGCGGAAAAAAGGCGCAAAGACCCATTTGGTGACGATGGGCGTTACGACGGCCATGCCTATCGATGCCACTATGGGACGCCCAATAAGCCAACCCAGATTGACATTATTGCCATCGTCTGAAAGTTTGCCTAAGTCGCCAATGACACTATGTAGCTAGTCAGCTTGATGAATTAACCACACACCTTACTCCAGCTCAAATAAGTACGCACCTTAACATAACAAGTCCTACAACATCGTCGATGACAGCAGCGCTCACCAGAACCGACCCCACTCGAGTCTCGGCGAGATTGACCGAGCTAGACGCAGAGCTGATCACAGCAAAGGTGGTCCCTAATATTTATCAGCAACTGAAACGAAATCAAATGAGAACTTCCGAGGAAGGATAGTTTACCGAGTGAGGTAGCGGAAAGGGATGCGCCGATAATGAAGGTCTCCACCGCACCTGGCCCACATTAGCTTTGACTATACGAATTGGGGCAAGTAAAACCAACCATATCCAAAACCAAGATAGAGTAAAAGGTATGAAAGACCAATAGGAAATAAAACGCCAGTTGCAGCGCCAACCATACTCAAAGTGAAGTTCTGCTTAAGCAAGTCCACACGAGTGCCAAGACCACCTAGAATGGATGACATCAGTATCCGATGAAGCCAAGCAGCCAAGCCAAGGTGAAAACTTTCTCCCACTTACCTTCGAAAATGATCAAAATCAGACCGACATATCCTAGAGTGATAAAAGTCTCTTGCCAGCCATGTTCAAGGATATTGGCCAACGGTACACCGTAGATGATGCCGACGGCGATTTGACCTATAATTCCGGCCTGGATCACCTTCGCGGAGACCCATCTTGCAAGGGAAAGGAAAAAGAAGAAAGAAACGATGATGAGGATGTCGACAGCTGCGATAATTAATCAGTGAGGAAATGAGCAGAGATCAATTGGGATATGCTTGGGTACATACTTCCAGGTTCGTGGTATGGGAGGAATCCATTGGCCATGCTCGAGTTTTGTCTTTAACCTTGTAAGCCGCAAGACTGAAGAATAAGATTAAAGAGCGAGGGAACTCCCAGCAGTAAAGTACCTAGTAAGTGTGAAAACCCGTGTGTGGTCCTCACAGTCTGGGGAGCCTGGGCAGTCTGGGCATGTGTGGATTCGAAGCAGCGTAGACATTGGACCAAATCAACTCAGCCCTAGAGCTCTCTTCTGCGACATGTGCGACTAGTGGAGGAGCCATCCATGGATACAATCACTCATTACGTCGTAATAGTTACCTCATACACTATCTATCCCGAGGTCTGGTTAAGTACTTCGACCTACTAGCCTGAAATCCTAGGAATTCATCTCCACATTATTCTCACATTCTTAATCAACTTAGCATCATCTGAATTAGTCTTGAAAAACACCACGTTTATCCCCACTTTTACTGATTCTAGCTGTCTTGAGCAATTCTGGTGATTTACTTCGACTTCTGAAAACTGATTCTACCTAGGTAGTCCGGAACTAGGTTATATCAGCCGACGTTATCAACTTACATTATATTGCGCGGCAATACTCGAGACCTACAGTATACCACCTAAAAATAAGTTGAAAATATATACTTCATATCACCTGAGCTTTTGGAGGACACCCTAACGAACTTATACAATCAGATTACGAATATGAATCAAGAGATCATAGCTTGAAATTTGTTATTCTATGCGATCTACGACTAAATCACATTTGGGGTTAGTACAATTTGCAAATCTCGAATTATCACCGTACACCGCACAGTCTTGGGTTAGTGATTGGTCTAATTTTAGCAGTATCGTGCTCCCAATTCTGATGTCTACTAGTTCTATGGGCAATTCATACCAACGATGTGTTTGGCCTAACATTAAGTATGAATTGTTTGTAGCCTGATAGTTGAGCTATGGCCTACTCATTTGCATAATTTTATGTAGATTATACGGCCCCGAGAGTAGAAACTGGAAGCTGTACTCTCGATTTTAAACGAATTCTTGTTAAGCATAGGCATTTACTATTGGCTCCCTCATTTAAATGCACATGCCACTCCTGTCAGCATCGGCGTCAAAGGAATAATCCAATAATAAAATCCCCCATAAAATGTAGGCCTATGTTGTTCGAACTCACCCGCCTAGAAACTAAACAGAAAGCAGTTAGGGCTCGTGCTGATCCTACGTGGCCCCATTTTAGCGCGAACGTCGTAAAAATAGAATCTATGAGCCTCATGAATTTCAAGTTTCAATGATTTGTATATCTTAATATCCTAATAATTATTTGTGCGATTGATATTTTCTTTGAAAGGCAAGTGTGTTAGTTCAAAGGGATCAGAGTAATGTGAACTTTCATTGACGCCGAGTCTAGTGATGCATGTCGAAGCGCTTCTTTGTTAGAGCGTCTCATCTTGAGGGCAGTGCTTCAACCCCCACTCGGGGGCTGTTGGGTCTGTACATTATTTGTGAATGTTCGTTTTTATTCTTCCAAAGATCCTTTGGAGCTTCGCATTTCCTGTTACCTTCCAACTACTCTGTTCTCGAATCTGGGCATATTTAATTATTTTATACAAAGACATCGGGGAGTTGCCTAAAGCGGTTATTGAAAGGGATAATTCTAGCGCCAGTGTCTTTTGTACCATCTTTCGTGGCGGTTCTTTGTATTCGCTTTGGAGCCTTCACATAAGACAAAAGTGCCCCGAGAATCCAACTTCAACCTACCATATCTGCTATGGGAAGATTCTTGGGATTCTTGCCATTTGCAATGTTGGGCACTGGACTTGATGATGCAAATACCATTAGATCGGAATATCCTCCAATCGCGCCGGTGGCATCAGCGGGCCGGGATGTGGTGCTCACGACCGCACCCGGCGGAAACAACAAGAATCTTGCAGAATCGTCAAGCTGGGTAGATCCAGCAGTGCCGGTGACAGGTATCTTTCCTGGAACCGTTTCATGGCCCTCTGTCAGCGAGTTGACCACACAACCAGCACCAAGTGAGACATCGACTGTCAATGGTATCAGTTCAGAAGCGAGTCCAACCAGCCTACTGGATACAACTTCATATACTCCATCACCAACACAAACACAAACACCCTCGACCACACCGTCAATTTCAAACCTATCCGCTCTCGCATCCGCCCCAACAACAACCACAATCTCAGCCTCATCCTCAGAAACAACCTCAGCAACCAGCGACCCAACCGCTTTCTCCGGTGGTCCATCAAAAACAACAAAAATCGCCATAGCAGTTCCAGTATCAGTAATCGGCCTAGCTCTAATCCTAGCGCTCGTATTCTTCCTCTCCCGACGACGACGCCGGGAAAAGGAACGGAACACCCTGCCACCACCCTACGACATAGCAACAGGCCATCGAAGCGGAGTATCAACACAAGAGCTAATGATATCTCCTAAATCCTCGACACCAGAACCAAGACGTTCACTTTGCACCCCGGCAATGTCCTCAGCGGCCACGTCCATGCCCATGCTCATGCCCCGGATCCCGATTATCAGCATCTCGCCCTCGACGGAAAGTCGGGGCCGAACGCCCAGTCCCCGTCCTAGTCCTGGCTCGAGCTCCGTGCACCGCACATCTATGGCGCCTGGACCTGGTGATTCTGAGGCGGAACTTGGGGTTGCGGTTGCTGTTTCGATGGATCAGAGGCGGAGTGCTACGGAGCAGGATTTTAGGAGTCGGGTTGGGTCTGTTACGTCGTCGTCGAGGGGACCGTCGCGGTTGGCTAGGATGCCGTTTGAGGATTTCTCGGATGATGAGGTTGGTATTGGCATTGCTGTTGGTGGTTCGGATGATGATGATGACGCTGTTTCTGATGTGTCTGATTTGGACGGGCGGAGGAGGGAGAGGGACCTTGATGAGGTTTCTGTGGTGTCGTCTTTTGATGAGGTGTCGCCGATAGGTGAGCAGGAGAGGAGGCGGTTTCGGGGAGTTTGAGGGTGTCGGTAAGATGATATGATATAATGAGGCTAAGCTTGGTCTGGAGCTTCTTTTACGTGATTTTCTTTTGGTTCTCTGGCGTTTTGGGCGAGTTCAGTGAGGTCTTCATTGTAATAGGGTACAAGTTGTGTATTTCAGACTATTTACTTGAATATGACTGGAATGATATCCTGACCATAGTAGTAGTCATAGCATTGGGCATTTCGAGGTCATGTACAGGGATGATAAGTGTTGGTGCTGATTCTTATTCCGATTATCTTCCACCGAATTCAGCCTTGTGGGCTGTGGCCTTTCCGTGCGTCAATTCCCGAAGAGCCATGGTGGCGTACTGGCTGGATCCCAACTGGAATTTCAAAACAACAGCCAGCTTATCAGCTGCGGTCTCATCGGCCTTGGTGGTATCGGCATTCTCATCCTCAGGCTCCAGCTTTTGCAGCTCCGTCTTAACGAACTGCTCATCGTCCTTGGAATAAAGCTTCACGTCGAAAGAGTAGTTGTCTCCCACCATGCGGCTGAAAACCTTGCGGTAGCTGCCGCTAAGGCTGATGTCCTTCCACTTGCGGCGCATGTTGGACGGGTCAAGGCCACCACCCTGCTCGCTTTCCATGAAGCGACGATAGAATTCCTTCATTTCGTTTTCGGGATAGATAATGTCATATCCAGGCTGGGGAAGCACCAGGTCAAAGATGGTATATTTGCCACTGGCTGCCTCTTCGGCCGTCAAGGCACGTGCCCGCATGAACATGTCCTCAGCCGCAACGGCACTGTCCTCGCCCTGAGGAACAACAATAATTTCACCGTCAGCATCGACAGTCTCGGCAGCCTCAACAGCAGAGGCGGGTTCCTTCTCGCGGTGCTCTTGGATAATGATGAGATCGCCTTCCACCACCCTGTCGCCGTAGAGGCGCCAGCGCTCACTTAAAGCAAAGTTCCAGACAAGTGACTGGTATGCGTGCACGTACATCAACCGCAAGTTCCGGGGGATAGTCTGCAGCGCACCCAAATAATCCTTGCTGTTCCTTCCGAGGTGGCGGATTAGATTGTTTTCAGCGGAGAACTTGCGCGGCATCTTTTGCAGAGCGTCGTTGACGCTACCGCCAGACTGGAAAATATTAATGGCCATGGCGCGATCCTTGTCATCATTGCCGATGTTAGCAGTAGACATTTTACCCTCCATTGCCGCCTGAAGAGATTCAGGAGCAAACTGCAGAATAGCATCGCATGCGCCCTTGAAATCTCCCTGGAGCATCTTGACACCGACTATGTCCGTCCGGGTTGCGAAGGTTCCAAATCGCTGGAGACCGTAGTAGTTGAAGTATCCTCGCTGGTAGAGGTTCTTCAAAGAGGTATTGACGACCTCTGACGCCTTGGCAATCGCGGCCTGAGGATCACTCAGGCTCACGCCGGCAATTTCAACGTCGCGCAGAGTAATCACGAACTCATTGCCCTGCAAATCTCCAAGCTCCAGGCCTTGCTTGCGGTACTCAAAGTCTCCGATATAAGCATTGCGAAGTTCCGAGTTCACTTGTGCAAGGCGATTGACGTGAACGCGCAGAGCACAGGCACGCTGCACGGTCACACCCCGCCTATCCTTGGTTCCAGCGAATTGTAAGGCCTTGGGGTTCATCTTCAATGAGCGAGCAATGTAGCCGATGACTTCCATTGTGTCCTTGTTCTCCTTGTAGATGGTGAAATGCAGGTATGGCCCGCCGAGTTCTTCCCAGTTTGTTCGGTGGCCCTGGATCCGGCCATTGGCTCGCCCTGCGGTCGCGCCGCGCTTGAAACGGTTGTTCGCCGCGGTGATTGCCATATTTCCCTCTGCATCGGTAGAAGACTCTAGCTGAGAGTTGAAGATGCGACGGATGGCCTGGTGGATCTTGGTGCGAAGGTCGCGATCAGACACGGCAACGGTGACGTTTCCAAATTCACTGGGCCGACCCTTTGGCTTAGCCATAGCGATCTTGTGGAGCGCAATGATTTCGGCAGCATTTTGAGCGCCAAAGTATTCCTCCAGAAGAGTGTGGTCCTCTTCCGAAACCTTGAACTCGGCTGGTGTTTCCGCCTGCTTGGCCGGGGTAGCCTCAGTTTTCTCTGTAGCCTGGGTTTCCACCTCAGGGGCTTTTGGCTCTGTCGTAGTAGGCGCGGACTTTTCGGGCTTGCTGGGCGTATCGAGGCTTCGGAGGTGGACGACTTCGCCGGTGGTCATGATCTCATTGACCATGAAATCTGTGTATCTGCGGATGATTATTAGCAGAATCCTCAAGTAGAGGAACAGAATATCTCACCTCTTTTTCAGGATACCAGAGAATCCCTCGGTATCGTTGCTCACAAACTCTGTGATACCAACCTCGACTTCCTTCAGAGCCTGCGCATCTGAGACTGCGGTGCTCGGAGTCTTCGTTGCGCCATTAACGGCGATAGCAACCTCATTTGAGCCCACATCTTCGGTCTTCTGTCGCTTGCGCGGAGACTCCACGATATCTGGCTTCTCCATGTTGTGTCAATCGTTCGTAATGGGTGGGGTTGAATGGAGAAGGTTGAACTTCAGGAACTTTTCCTTACCGATTGGGTTTAGCGCGGCAGGGCCAAGTGTGGATCAGCCCTACTTACCGCATTGGAACGGGGAGCCTTATACTTACACTTCTATATTCACTCATTCAATGCTTGACTCTTTCAATAAACAATAGATCCCATTCGGAGTTGTCTGACCAGATATTTTCTTATCTAAAACATAGCTGTGCAAATACAAACTAACATATTCCCGATACCTTCAGTGCCTTGAATGGAATTCACGTGTTACAGCAGTGGTGTGACAATTGGCCGTCAACAAACAGATAGAAAGAACACAAAATGCAAAAGCTAAGGCCTTTACGGGTGGAGATTGTTGCGAGCTGTTATAAAATGATCTCACGTGGACACTTCCGATGCAATTACTATCATGTAAACCGAGTCTCGCGTTTTAATATCATCTTCAACTAGACCGTTCTCATCATGTACAGGTCTGCTGCCCCAATTTATGTCTCAGACCATTGGGATAAGGTTTATAGTTGATGAGGAATTTGGTAGATTGCCAAGGACGATGATATCTTCGAGTCATTGGAAACTAGTTATAAAGGAGGCCAATCGTCTCACAGACTCCTCTATCCCATCTTATTACATGTGAGAGATTGTCGATCTAACATTCTATAGATTCTCCTCCAGAAGAATGGCCAGGTCTAAGCCGAACAAGCTGTACAGGCTTACCTCATATCGGATCGAGCTTTCCAAAGTAGCCAGACGAATTTGAAAGCAGATCTGATTTCTTCTAGAGGTTTAGGCGGACTATACTTAGTAACTCTGTACTAGCTCCTTTCCTGTTAAACAAAGCCAAATACAAACCATAGATCAAGACAGAAGGGAACATGTGCCAGTTTAAAGAGCTGAAGCATATATTGTAATCGAAGGTAGACAGCAACCCCCAAAAACTCAACACCCAGCATCACTCAAGTGAGCAGCATCAAAATCTTCAGGATGCAGGTAAAAGCACTACCCGCCAGAACCAGGACAGCCACGAATTGTAAATCAGACGCTCCGACAGCACAAATCACTGGATGCTGCACATGCAACGTACCGAAGAAATCCTCCCAATCTCCGAACCGAGCTGAAAAGTCTAGCTGATCAGTCTTGTACTCTGAAAGGAAGACGAAGTCGAACCTCAAGCTATAAAATGGAGGTATTCGCCCGCTGTTCTGGATATCAGTTCTATAGGAATCAACCTTCCCTCTCTACCAAGCTTAGCCTCTAAAGTCATTCGGTGAGACTCATTACCATCTCGCTTCTATCACATGCGGCAATTGAGCTAATCATTGACTGTCATTGCCCATTAGCTCGATCTAAAAAAATGAAGTCCAACTTCCTCATCGCGCTCTTCAGCTTGGCTCTGGCCGCTATTGCTGCCCCTACCGGTATGTTATATGACACTAGCCATTCCGGCGCTTTCCAATTTGGTTGGGGCACTTCTAATTGAATGGTCATAATAGGTCCTGGCGGACTTGGCGGCGGCGGCGGTGGCGGCGGCTCAATCGGCGGAGGCCTCGGTGGTGGCTTTGGAGGTGGCTTCGGCGCTGGTTCTGGAGCCGGTGCTGGTCTTGGTGCTGGTGCTGGCGAGGGGAACTAAAAGGATCTTTCAAGGTTGGACTAATGCGCTTGGCATTGTGTAGTCCGGTGAAGTGGTCTTCTGATAGGATGATAGGATGATAGGATGATAGGATGATAGGACTGGCAATGACAGTTTCAGCCCTACTTGATTTGCATCCATGAATTTGTAGAGCTCGGATGGTTTCTACAGCGATTGGCTGTGGAGTAGAGGTCTTTATAGTACAAGAAAATAGAGGGACCAGAGACAATAAAACTGCTAACGCTCAGCCCAAACTCCATTATGGTTCTTTTTCTATCTTCCAGGATGTAGTGTGTGTGCATGATACATGGGTTGCGTTAGAATGAAATGCTCTGTACGAGTCAAGAGTGAAAAAAGGGAAACAAATGTAAAATGCATAGTGGAAAGGAACAAGGGGATGGTTATTTTACAGCTCATCTTTGGGAAGATCCTCCTTTTCCTTGGGCTGGTCCTTGCCCTTACCCTTGCTCTTCTCGGCCTCGGGCTTCTTCTTTTCCTTGGACCCCTTCTTACCGCTGCTGCTGCTCTTCTTCTGCTGGCCAGCATTTGCAGTCATCCTCTCGTACATGCGGTTAAGGATGCGCTCGAACTCGCGCAGCCGCGAGTCGACCTCCAAAACGGTCAAAGCCGGGTCATCAGACTCGGTAAGCGTCTCCTGCAGACCGAGCTGGGTTTCGAGCCAGGGGTTGGTGGACTCGTAGGCCTGGGTGATGGCCGTGAGGTCGGCGGGAGTGAATAGGGAGTACTTGGGGCCTGTGGGCTTGGCCGCAGCAGTACTCTTAGTAGATGTGGTCGAAGATGAAGAAGCGGAGTATGCGTCTTCATCGAGATCATCGAGACCCTCGTCAGAAGCGGCGGGGGCTGGGGTCGATGAGCTGGTCTCGGTGGAGGTGGAGGTGGAGGTGGAGGTGGAGGAAGCGCTTGAGGCCGAGAGGGAAGAGGAGTAGATCTGCTCGTCGTTGTCGATCTGGTTCTTGATCAATTCCTTCATTGACTCGGCGTTCTTGAGCATGTCCTTGAGCAACTGCACGCGTGCTGGGCGAGAAGAGCTCTCCTTCATCCGCTTCAGTGCAGGGTTGACGATGGCCTTCAGGTCCTTGAGCTTCGTCTGGAAATCGGCAGTCTTCGCGTTATCGCCCTCTTCGTACAGCCAGTCGCTGGCCTTAGAGACTCTCTCGGAGAGAACAATGAGTTGATCCGGCTTGACTGCCTTGATGAACTCCTCGTTCTCGGCGAGGTCTCGGCTACGGTAGATGAAAGATTCCAATTCATTAAGAGCCTCTTCGCGCAGGATGCGGTCACGGTCCGAATTATCGAAAGCAAGGAGACGGCCGTTAATGCGACTGAGCTCTGCGACTGATGGCGCTGGAGTTCCAAGCGCGACAGACTTCAAGCTGATCGGGATAACTTCAAGCTTGACCTGAGGAGTAGCCTTTGCGTCCTTCTTTGCGTCCTTGGTGGAGGTGGTGGTGGTCTTGGAACTGGCAGAGGATGCAGTGGAGGACTCCGTCTCAGGCTCGAGGGTAATCGATTCACGAGGTTCGCCATCTTCGCCGAGGGGCTCCTGCTCGTCTTTCTTGCCAAGGCCGAAGAAGCCCTTGACGTCTTCGACAATTCCCTTCTTCTCGGATTCCACCTCGCAGCTGACGGTACCAGCCACAACCTCAGGAAGACCGTCCACAGGGCTGAGGCGGATGGTGAACTTCGTGGTAATGTTCGCAGTGGTGCAGCCAAAGTTATCCTTGAGCTTGGCAACCGACGCAGTAAGGTTCTGGGTCTGGACACTGAGGATAGGCTGTTCTTTATCCTTGGAAACATGCTGGGCGAAGCTGAATTCGAAATCCTCCAGGTTTTTCACAGTGACTTGCTTCTCAGGACCGACCTGGGAAGTGGCGGTGAATAGCTTCTGATTTCTTTGCTTGCCGTCTGAGTTCCACTTCAAGGAGATGGGGTACGAAGCGGCGTCACCGGTGCGAATATCCTTAACACGGAAACTGGGGCTCAGAGCAGCTCCCTTGAAGGCAGCACCAAACACAGCCGCCTCATCAGCGTTGACGTTGGTTCTGATCTTCTTAGAAGAGCCAGCGAAGTCCTCCAATTGCTTCTGGACGAATGGAGTCCGGATCGCTCCACCGTGAAGTACAACAGATTCGACATCGCTCAATTGAAGGCCGGCCGCTGTCAAAGCCTGCTCCACTGGGGCTCCAATGCGGGCGACATACTCAGCAGCCATCTTCTCAAAGTTGGCACGGCTCAGCTTGTACTTGAAGTTGACATTCTCGTCGAACAGTCCCTCGAAGCTTGTCGAAGCCTCGGTGTTGGCGCTCAGAACCTGTCGGAGCTTCTCTGAATCCTTCCAGAGTCTGGACATAGTCTTTCCGTGTGCCTTGATTTCAGCTGGAGTAACCTTATCCTTGAGCTTCTTGTCCTCAACCAAGTGGGCGACCATGTCGTTCACAATGAGGTCGTTCAGGGAGTCGCCTCCAAGTGACTTGTCCCAACCAGATCCAACAACATGAACTTCCTGGATGGTCTTGTTGAATTTGCCAATATCCTTAACCTTGCGGCTCTGGAATCGCAAAACACTCGCGGTCGTAGATCCAGCACCCATGTCATACACGATGTGGTATTCAGGCTTCTCGCCATCAGAAACACTGGGGAAAGTACGGCTGGTGGCGTAGTTCAAACCGACAGCCAATCCATCACTGACAAGAGCCTGGATCTTCAGACCCGCCAGCTCAGCCGCCAACTCGAGGCTGCGCTTCTCCTCCGCGGTGTAGAACACAGGGTAGGTAATGACGACATCGCGGACATCGGATCCCTTTCCAGCCAACGTATCGGCATTGGCCTTGATCTGCTTCAACTGCATTGCCAAAATCTCTTCAACCAAGAAGGCCTCCCTCTTCTGCACCTCTCCTAACCGGTTACTGCGGAGAGCAACAGAGCCGCGGCCATCGGGGGCGGACTCCAATTTCAACGCGGGGAACCTGCTCCAATATGCCTCGACTGCCTCCTCATCGCCATCATTGAACGGAACGCCCAAAAGAGTCTTCAAGTTGATGTAAATGTCGTCCGGGTACCGAGCCGCGAGGGCGAGCGCATCACCACCATAGAATCGTTCGGGAAAAAGCGCATCGCTCTCTCTTGTGGGCTTGAAAGCGACAGCAGCGGACTCCTTGCGCTTCGAATCTTTAGTGAGGACGATCTCGAGCGGAATGCCGGGTTTGACGAGAGCGGCCTTGAAATATTCCGTGCCGATGTCAAGGCCCAGAACGGCCGATCCGGCGGCAGAAGCTGGCCCAGCGAAGCTGAGGAGGAATATGAGGAATGGGAGGACCACGAGGGATAGCATTGGCGAGCTGGATAATTGTCGGCGATTTAAGAACGCCATGATCTATGTGTAGGCTCCGGGCTGCGGGAGTCAGCCAAATCGCTGATTTAGGGAGTTGCTTGTAATTTCAACAGGGAAATTTTACCCTTGTGCGCACATATATAGACAAATTGACAGATATTCAATCACTCTACCGGTTTGCCGAATAGTGTGTCGGGGTTCGGGCTAGCTTTGCGCCAGATGGATGATCGGATGGAGCTATGGATAGCTCGAGATTGTGTTGGGCTGGGTGATGGGGAGTGGGGGATGATGAACAAGAAAAGAAAATCTGGAAAATGACTCAAAAATTAGGCCATTTGAAAGCAAAGGGATACTGTGGCCACTTGGCAGTAACGTAACTTGAAGCCTAAAAGAGCTGTTGGATGAGGACACGGGTCATCATGCAAACACACCGGCTAATGTTTGATGTTTGCACTTCTTATCGTTATCACATTATGTCACAGCCCTAATTTCGAATAGGGCTGAATTGTATACCAGATGACTTGTGAAGTCTCTAATTTTCTAATTTTGTATGGGTGTATGGGAAACGTGGGTAATTAATAGAAATCAATATCAATTCGTAAACTAACATATATATGACTAGAATTAGGGTTCCATAATCATGGATAAGGAGCGTCAAGTCGTCAAGTAACCCATTAATAACCGTCATCCTGGTGTCCTTCAAGACTGGATATGCCGAATACAATGTTTTTGGATATTTTAGTAATGCCTTTTTTTTCGTGCGTAAAATCCATCGTCCAGTTTCTCACCAACTGCCCAGAGCCATGGCATCATATCTCGTCTGACAGATCAACTTCCGTATAGATCAATTAGAGCAGGGCAAACAGAAGAGCCAGGCCAGGAATGAAGGCCGCAGCAGACTTCTGGAGAGCTGTAGCACTGTTAAAAGCAGGCGAGGAGGAAGCAGGGGGGGCGGAGGTGGAAGAAGTGACGGGGCTCGACTGTGCCGGTGCAGTAGGCTCAGTAGCTGGGACACTGGTCTCGGTAGCTGGAACACTAGACTCAGTAGCGGGAGGAGGCACCACGACAGAGGTTGTGGAAACAACAGGGGGAATCGTGGGCTTGGTGGGAGTGGTTGTGGGCTGAGTGCAACCTTCAGTGCAGGTGGAGACAGACGTCACGGTGATCGTGCTTGTCTGGGTCACGGGGTGAGTGAAGGTTGATGTGCCGCTTGTAACGGTGCTGTAGGTCACTGATTTTATGAGCAATTGTAATTGATGGAATAGTCAGATCTTTACTTACCTGGGCAGGTGGTAGTGGTGTAGGTGGTGGTCACGATAACCGGAGGAGGAGTGCCAGTAGGGGTCTCAGTCTCGCAAGGAGTGGTGGAAGCGGGAGGAGGGGTTTCGGTCTTGCTAGGCGTAGTGCTAGCAGGAGGAGGCGAAGTGGGAGTATCGGTCTCGCAGGGAGTCGAGCTCGCAGGAGGAGGCGAAGTGGGAGTATCAGTCTCGCATGGAGTTGAGCTCGCAGGAGGAGGCGAAGTGGGAGTATCAGTCTCGCATGGAGTTGAGCTCGCAGGAGGAGGAGAAGTGGGAGTGTCTGTCTCGCAGGGAGTCGAGCTCGCAGGAGGAGGCGAAGTGGGAGTATCAGTCTCGCATGGAGTCGAGCTCGCAGGAGGAGGAGAAGTGGGAGTGTCTGTCTCGCAGGGAGTCGAGCTCGCAGGAGGAGGCGAAGTGGGAGTATCAGTCTCGCATGGAGTTGAGCTTGCAGGAGGAGGAGAAGTGGGAGTGTCGGTCTCGCATGGAGTCGAGCTCGCAGGAGGAGGAGAAGTGGGAGTGTCGGTCTCGCATGGAGTCGAGCTCGCAGGAGGAGGAGAAGTGGGAGTGTCGGTCTCGCATGGAGTCGAGCTCGCAGGAGGAGGAGAAGTGGGAGTGTCGGTCTCGCAAGGAGTCGAGGTTGGTATCACAACCGGGGGCGTAGTAGACGTCACAACTGGGGGAACAGTAGGTGTGTCGGTCTCGCACGGCGTAGAGCTCTCAACAGGCGGGGGAGTAGTAGGTGTCACAACTGGGGGAACAGTAGGCGTGTCGGTCTCACACGGAGTGGAGGTCTCGACAGGCGGGGGGAGTAGTAGGCGTCACAACCGGGGGAGCAGTAGGGGTGTCCGTCTCGCACGGAGTGGAGGTCTCAACAGGCGGGGGAGTCTCGACAGGCGGAGGAGTCTCAGTCTCGCAGGGAGTGGTCTCTTCTGGGGGGCCACCACCGCCATGGCCACCATCGCCGTGATCTCCGTGGTCACCACCCCACCAAGGACCACCGCCGTCGTGGTCCTCACCACCGCCGCGGACAGCAATGTGAGCCTCACCAGCATGTCTGGGAGTAATGACCATGCCGGACGCCAAGGTCGCGGCGTAGAGCAGAACGATTGGAGCGCCCCGCATATTGACTAGCAAACGAATGGTTGTTATGTACTGGAATAGCTAGGGCTGATATGTTCCTTGAAACGAAGGACGATAGGAACCGTAGCGAGAGAGTTCCTAAACGGGCAATATAGACAATTGAAATATTTCTAGGACCGAGGCTGGGATCAAACGGGGAAATAGGGCAAGTTTATATGTCCCCCTGGGGTGAGGTACCCTCAGAGCCATAATTCCTGTTTGGCTGGTTCATTTGATAGCTCCGTTGTGTTGGCCTTCAGGCTAGTGTGGACCAACCGAAACCATATTGGGCACTCAAAAGAGAAAGTCAGAAAAAAAAGTGGCGCTCATATTCTAACTCCAACCAGAACTGACATGAACGACTAGTATTCAGCAGTCGACCCGCTTATTTCCAGCGAAGAGGCTGGTCATAGTGTATGGTGTACCAGAACCCAGACGTAGAGGTGAGTGCTAGCGCATGTACAAAGTACACGGGCCCGGTTGACTAGACGACCAGGTACTAGGGTTGAGCCAATGATAACTTGACGAGGTCTCAGATACTGGTGTTTGGTTTGCCGACCTCGAAAACCTGTTGGAATATGCCAAGGTCAAAGTGTTCAGAGCCCGATGCATGAGCAGATCAGCCAATTGACTCCAATGATGCAGGTGGCTTCTTGGCAAATGCGGGAGATAGTTCTAGGATTTTCCATCACAGTACCCATATTCGGTTAGATTTTGCGGGCTGTTTTTTGGTTGCCTCTTTTCTTTTAACTTGATACTCCATACGGAGTAGTGATATGAAGTCTGGTATGAAAATGTCTCTTCCCCACGTCATGAGACCGAGCTATGAATAGCTCTTAAGTTCGGTCCACGTCCCCATGTGTCCAGATAAAAGTGTGGGGAAACCTCACGAATGACAGACGTGGAAAATTTGGAACCCTTGAGACTCTGGTAAGGCATAAAAAAATTGGAGAGCCCGGTATCGGTAATACCCGTCTGAAGTCTGGACTTGGGTCAGGGTCTGTTCCCAGATGATCACAATATGCTGATCGGTTTTCTGTGGATCAGTGTTAGTTGAATGTGTGTAGACTGTGTTGGTGCGGAGTACGGAGCAGTCACAACGCAGTGCCCCTGGAAAAAGTGTCTAATGCAGGTGACGTTATGCAGTATATGCCCCAACAGTTGAAAGTCTCCTCGCAATGGGCCCTACAAAGTAAGCCGACGCAGGACAGTGGACCCTTGTGGGACAGGCCCTGGCCTTTTTTCCCTTTCCACTGAAAAACATAGGAAGTTCCCGAGACCCCCGCGATTGGCGAGATATGGATATGTACTTGCCGATGTCAATGTGTTGAATGTGTTGTCCTTGTTTTCCCTTTTTTTGTTTTCTGTCTTTTTTTCTTTTTTTTCCTGTTTTTCTCGGTTTTCCTTTTTTGACGGTGTTGGTTTTATTTACCCTAGTATCTTCCCAATCCTCTTTTTAGTGTTCATTCCCTACAATCTGACACATACAATACTCATGGAACTAGCGGAACTCGGGGGACTGCCCTCTTACTCCACGGCCTCTGTATCATAAGAAGTCTATCCATTCCAATATTTTCACAGTCCACACTATTGGAAATTTCAATTGGACTGATGACGCTCTCAATCTTGTTTTGACAAAAAAGAAGAATAATGGCGGGGTAGACGAGCTGTTGGGCTTTGAGAACAAACCTACATGTCTGCCCCTGTTACTGTACAATATACACTGCATAGGCGTTGTACCCGTGGACGTGCACTTACATTATTGCACGGTAGTCACATAGTCACAAAATAAGAAGCCTTCGTAGTCCTTGGAATTATTGCCAGCCTTCTTACAGAGTTTTTTTGTTTTATTTGCCATACAGAGTATAAGATGTGCTGGTTCTAAATCAGGTATGTTGTAGTCATAATAAGTCCATAAGTAAATCAATTAAAATATTTAAATTGTCATAAATGACAGGAACGAGGGACTCGTCCACGGCTCGGAAAATGCGGGGGCATTGTTACCAAGGGAACATCTCATATGTCTTCAAATGTTTCCAAGGTTGAAGTATCCAGAATTGGGATATATGTCTTAAACTCTCCACGCCTTAGGGTCTTGGAAAAGTATGATCCGGGAAGTTTCCAGCCTTCTAAATTGCGGAGTGTGTGAGCTTAGGAGGCTGGGTGTACATGGTCGCATTCCCGTCCAATGCCCAGGTGGCGCACATATCCTAGTCATCACATCCGAAGAGATAACAGTGAAAGCTACTACATGTGGGGTAATACTTTATACAAAGTGGGCCTTAAGCCACAGAATTCTTCCAGGTCTTTTCTCGGGGAACAATTACTCCGTACACAGTGGTGGTATTGCATCCTCCATATATTGGACCTGCATAATGGGAGGCAAGTATCGCCCGAAACCGGCTATATACCCTGTCATTTTTTAGATTGCGATGATATCAACAAGCATAGTCTTATCCCATGAGTGTGTCTAGTCGTCCTCATCGTCCGAGCCACTACTCCATCCGATCTCGTAGTACTCTCGAATCTCGCCGAGTCCGTTTACCAAGGCCTCACGCTCATCAACTGAGACCAGACGTGCGGCAGTTGCCGAGATAGCCTTGATCCTCTGAGCCGTCCGTGTCGAGGCGGTCAATGCGGTAAACACATTTACTCCAGTACCTGCCTTGGGGGTGGGGAACATGTCATGCGGGAAACTGTCAAGAATAGGCATGCTGAGTGGCGTGTGGAAACTATAATAGTGGTATAGAATGTGAGCATCCTGGCTGAGACAGTGAAAGTAAATGCACAAATTGAAAAAGTGAAAAACCGACCTTTGTAGCATCGACTCTGAGTTGTATCTTCTGAGTTTGCGTAGGTGCCCAACATCACTGTCCTCGGTGGACTCACCGTCCCTTTCCGGTTCATCTCCACGGGTTACCTGGACCTGGTTGAAAATGTGAGCGCCCTTGTTGTACTCGCCGTCATAGGCGAAGTCAATGTCAAATTCAATTTCGGCTTTCGTCGGCCCATCTTCATTGGAGGCTTCCTTGGTTTGACCACCATTGATTTTGATTTTATTGATGGAAGATTGCAATTCGAAGATGGTGTGCGTACCATCTTCCCCAGCAAGAGAGGCCTCGAAATGCTGATATGGCCGCAATCGGGAAGGCAGTGTGACGGTCTCAATTGCAGAGGCTAACAGGGCGGTTTTCTGCCATTCTGATTGGCGATCAACGTTGAGATAGCCGGGCAGCTTATGCGGAACGTCGATAATTGGAGAATAGAGCGATGCCAGTGGGGCGATCGCGTAAAGTGACCTGGCCTTGTTCGTATCCTTCTTGAACTGGTGATGCTATACAAAGTTCGAAACTTAGCCAACCGAGCTCGCGATTCTTCGAAATGGCAGCACTGTGTCACTTACCCGCTGTGTCTTGGTGCCGTCTTCAATGGCCCACACCCAGATACTTTTCTTTCCGAATTCATCTCTCAGTCTTTCCATATACTGGGCAGCGAATCCGCCCCAGGCATCATCTGACCCGGAGAACAGTTGCAGCGCCCGCAAGTGGTCACATTCTTCAAGGAGAGGTCTCAGATCACGGTCTAGCAGATCATGCTCCTTATCAAGGTCTTTGAATAACTCTTCCCCGACATTCCAATCCTCAAAGGGCATGGTCTGGGAGTTTAGGTCATATTCATTTAACTGAACAATGGACCTTGGATGATAGTACACTCTGTTGTAGTCTGACCAGTAGCGTACGGACTCTGAGGTCAGGCGTGGGGCTGGAGTGCCCAAATCCAAGCTTTTCTGATATTCACTTTGTTGAATTGGGGTTTGCTTTTGGACTATCTCTCGTCCATCCCTGCCAGACGTTAATTTGAAAGACTTGTCCATCAATTTGAACCGCATACCATAATCCTTGGCCTGCTGTGGAGTCTTCACTCAGCTCGTAAAGTGCATTGTATCTGCGCAATGTTCCGAATCCGCCCTTCAGATCATAGATTACTGTGCGTGGGGTGTAAGTCTCAGAACCATCTGCTCCAACACCCGGTCGAAAGTGAACATCATGATCAACATCAGACTGTTCTCCATCGTTATATGTAAAGTATGATTCCTACTTATATATCAGACCGAAGTTCATATCTGACCGTGGATGACAGTACCTGCAGATTCCAAAAATGTGTTGCTAGATAGTTAGCCCGCTGGCCAAGCTGAAGTGTAACAATTTCATGCATATTGATGGATGGAAATGACACTCGCAGTGTGGCCCCTCAGTAAATTTCGATATCGACAACGCCCGCCCAAAGACGCACAGACATAACCAAAATATGACGCTAGTCCCGATGTGGGGAAGTACCGCACGTGAGTGTCTAACCATATCTGGGAAGGTGCAGAGAGTCACCAGGGCAACAGTCACATGATCCTTCCAAAGAGGGCAATAAACATGTTTCTGTGGGTGCGTCACCACCCTAACTCCACAATGGTGATTTTCCCTCGTGAATCTCCTTATTCCTGTGATGATTATTTGACCTTGTGATATTTATCGGCTGGATCCATTACTTGTCACGAAGCATCTGCGATGGAGTCTCCAACACGTCCCATCCTGAGCCCCTCAAAAGCACTGCATCCGGTTTCGCCGGAACGCATGAATCAACAAACCATACCCGCCTCTCCCTCATTACCTTCCGATCTCCTCACACTACACCACAAGAGCACCCGAGGTGTTTCAGAAGTCCAAGCCAAAGTGGCGTTCCTAAACGGTCTATCTCGAGGAGGCAGCCCTGCCAACTCTGCAGCAAACAATGCCGCTCTACAACGCGCCATCTTGGGCCGTGAGGAAGCCGAATCCGCCCTAGCCACCGCACAAGAAGATTTATCCGAAGCACAGATGCGAGAACGCCGGATCAGTGAACGCCTCGAATCATTGCTGGAGGAGCTACACGGAGCAAAAGAACGCCAGGCCCACGAACGATCAATCTTCGAAAAGGAAATCCGAAAAGCCCGCAAAGAAGCTTTTCGGGCCGGATCGACCTTGGTAAAGCTTCAAGAAGAATTGAAGCACGCGAAATCAGAGGTCAGAGCACTGAAAGATGAAGTGGCAGCAGAACGCGAGACGAAGGACAAGGCCAAACAGGAGGCATTCGAGCGCGCCTATGCTCTCGCTGGTCTCACAGAGGAACTTGAAGTCCTGAAAGAGAAATTCCGTGCCCTCGAGACAGACAACCACTCGAGCACCCTCGAAGTTCGCGCCCATGAGATTCGGAAAGAAGACTTCGGAAGACTGTCAATAGCAGAAGGTGACCTCGCCTTTTTGGCCTCCCCACGCAGACCGAAACGAGCCGCTGCGGGATCTGTTCGATCCCCAGTTCCGGCACGCGAAGACGATCACGCAGAAGCCACTCCTCCCAAACGCCCACGTTTGTCGGACTGCGCACCAAAGACAGAGAGTGAACAACCTGCATCCGAGACTGAACTGGACGAGGATCTGTTGGAGGGGATTAAGGAAGAGCTAGACTTTGAGCGTCGTCGCAGAGTCGCAGCCGAAGATATGGTGCATTTCCTGAACATTGAGTGCCAGTTCGAACGCTGCTCTTGTAGGCTTGCTGAGAGCCAAGGTCGTCGCTACATCTACGACGCTGAGTATTATAATAAATTCCAAAAGCCTCAGATTGAGGCGGAAGAGAAAGCTCGTGCTGAGCAATCCAGCATTCAACAAGCCAGCATCCAGCAAGCTAGTGTGCACCAAACCCATCCTCACCCAGCCACCACCCCCGAGGCCAGCCCTCCCCCTCCACCCCCCGTCCACCGATCTCCAGTTCACCAGGCCGCCACTCCCCAGGTGAGATCTCCTCAACACGGCGTCCATCAGGAAGAACCCGAGCCAAGCCGTACCCCTCTGGCCGCGCCACCTGTTCCTGTTCACCAGCACGCCGCGCCTGCCGTAAAGGCCGAACCTACGGATCTCCCCAAGATGCAGATGCCAGCCGAGCCCCTGGTTACATTTTCTCCAGAGACCGGCACATTCACGACATTCCCATCTCCTCTCCGAGATAATGTTAGACCTCTACGATTGGATTTCTTTGACACACCCGATCTCGCCGAGCCTCAGCCAGATGTACACACATGTCGTATCGATCCCTCTGCATCACCCGACCAACAGGTTGACTCGTTCACGCCCTCTGGGGAGCCGGTTGTGGCCAGAATGACCCGTCCCACCCCATCAGATGGTGCCGCTGAACACTCGCGTGCACCACTGTCCGTGGAAGCAAGACCGTCGAGACGTGTCGAGAGAGATCACCATGGATACCGACAGCCCATCAACCCCCCAAAGAGAGCTCCTTCCCGACAAGAGCCACAGTCACAGCGCACTTCGCACCCTAGCGTTCCCGATACACCCATCGACCGCGAACAAGCACTCGCACAAATCAGGGCGCGACGAGGCCGTACCCACAGCAAGCAGCGATCAGTCAGTGCCAGCGAGCCCGGTCGCGCAGCTCGCGCCTCGGCGGGATTCAACCCGACCCCTGCTCGGGGACCTCGACGCCTTCCCAACCCCAATCTTCGGGCTGATTCGAGGACCGAGAACGAACTTGGCGAACGCCGAGATATGAGTGCTCCTGTTCGGATGTTCCGACGTTAATGAATGCCCTGGGATGTATGTCTCATGATGCATATTTATGTCTTTCTTTTGCATGGTCTGCCGGTGCTTGTCGTTTCCTCTAATACCCCCCGGCGCTGCATCAATTTGTCTTTATTTCATTTGCATGGCGATTGGAAGCAATATGTTTTGTTTGTTTTGTGTTTGGATCTTTTAGCTCCGATGTCATGAGCCTCAGTATACTATGGATTTAATTTTCCCAACTGCATGTCCTTCCTTTGACGCAATTTCGGCTTCACTGTCTGTCCCTCTTTTCACATTTCCTATGTCTCATTTTCTTCTTCTGTACATAGATTCTGATTGTTAAGAGTGAATGCTATTTTACCATTTCTCGGTCCTTATCCAGCCAGAATTGGAATCACTTGAACTATAAACCACACGCACACACACACGTCAAAGGCCAAAGGTTATACCTAGGTACATAGTGTCTTTTTACCGCTTTCATATACACCTAAGAAGACATAAAAAAAGACATAAAAAGAACATCCAAAAAGCCTTTCGGAGGGTTCTTACATATAACGTCTCTAATACCATCTTGGTCCAAATAGATCATTGTTAAGGTCTTAGCTCACCAACGGCAGAGGCCGTATAAGCGGCCGACTATTCTCGTTGAGATATAATTATGAAAAGATGTATATTGACCTACAATGTATAATATATGCCTAACAAGAAACAAGATCTCCCCATGAAGATCTTCCGAGATCTCAGAGATAAAACAGAGAACCAGCCTCTACAAAACCGAGATCCCACAACATCTAATCCTCGCACTATCAACCTTCGCACCACGACCCCACCACAAAGAAACCAACTCCTCAACAAAGATCCGGTCCGTAGCACTCCACACATCAAGGCCCATCTCCGCCATATCTGCCACCGTAATCGTGACAACGTCATGCGCACCGCTGTCCCGGTGACCAGCTCTCGACCCATGACTCGCAGACCCGCTCACACTCGACCGCTGCCGAAGCAAAGGCGAACTCCCCTCGTCGCCATGGATAGACTGACGAGACATTGAGAGCGAAGCATCGGTATCATAATCTTCATCGATATACGGCGCATCATTATAGGCATCGTCGTCGAGGTCGCTATCATAGCGGGCGATGGCGCCAGCCAACGTAACGAAGATCTGCGACGTCAGGCGGCGGAAGTATGCGACGAGCGCGACTTCAGCCGGCTGCTGGTCTTCCTGGAGGGGATTGCGGGGTGGGTCGGAGTGGGAGATTGAGTTGTAGGGAGGGCGGACGAGACTCTCGACGCTTGCCAGAAGGCGGGAGTCTTGTTCTATCTGCTGTTCTTCTTCTTCCTCTGATAGGCCGTCGCGGTTCTCGCCGGCGGAGGCCCACCAGATGAAGGATGTGTAGGCGAGGCGGGTCCAGGAGATAGGCTCGACGACGGGGCTGGAGGAGTAAGTTGAGTCTGTGTCTGAGGAATCTTGTTCTGGGGATGTGGGGCAGTCGTTGGAGAATTGGCGGAGTCCGCGGCGGAGCATTGAGTAGCGGCGGGCGTCGCGCTGCGTTGCTTTTAGCTGGATTTGTTGGGTTTGGTTGGGTTTGCCGCCTGTGTTATGAACTAGGGAGATTTTGGGGAAGGTTCGCTCAGCGGTTTGTTGTGAATATGGTGCGGGGAGGGTGACGAGGACGTCGAAGAGGTCGGGTTTCATGGTTAAGACGGTGTCGGTGGAGCACGCGATCCAGCTTGGGTCTGTTTCGAGGTCTATGATGCTGCGCAATGGATCGAAGGAGGAGAGGTAGGGAATATCATGGATGCCGACGTTGAAGAGGGGGCGGGGGCGTAGTGGTGGTATGCGATCGTCGGGGAGTAGCTGCAGGAGGGAGTTGGGCAATGAGGCTAAGAGAGATAGATCATATACTGGATCTGAATTAGCAGTAGATCAAGTACAATGGGCATAGGAGCGTACCGTAGTTGCAAGATGTGTGTACAGGAGCCTCGCCCATGAAGAGAATCCGCTTGCGCAGCAAAGCTGCTCTGTAGAGGGGGAAGATCAGAGGTCCGAAGCATTCCGTGAAATCTGGAAGCGATGAAGCGGGATGGAAGGGCGTCAAGGCCGGCCTGAACGTTTCCAGTACCATTGCATCGCTGAAGGCGCGGTTGCGACTCGAGTGATCTGGTCGCTCGCCAGGTCTGAATCGAAGACTAAGAGGCGAGTCGATGGGGGATTCAGGCGCTGAAGAATCGGTCCCTCCTATCCTATATGTCTCCCAGTAATCAGACAGATGCTGCATATCTGACATGTTCTCGGCGTATTTCCTATCAAGTACCAGTGTCAGTCGGGATCTCGTCCATGGCGGGTGCCTGGAGATACGAACAGCGTCAGTTCCTTGAGCCTTGGAGCGTGTCGCCAGCTCTTCCCAAGTCTTCCGGTGCTGAGGGGCACCAGAACTCCGATCGCAAACATATTCGCATTGCGTTCGGCCTCCGTGGCGGGATGATTGAGGAACGCGCTGATACCGGCATACTGTTCATGGACGAAGTACCTACATGAGCGCATCAGCAAAAATCGGATCCAAAGCTTTGGGGAACCTTGAAAAACATACACCAGGTCTTCAGTCACATTGTGCAGCCCAGAGGGTAGTGATTTGTATTCCACAACCCCTTCAACCTCAACTATTCACTCGGGAGTTAGTATCGATTGTAGCCTCGGCTAGATAATTGATTGCTCACCTCCCGGCACAGTTTGCTTCCACGAGACCACATATCTATTGTCGCAGAATGTCAGCGATAGGTTCCCGAGCTTGAGAGATGCGATGCCCAGTGGAAGGAGTAGGACCTACCCGGCCCTGATGTCGAAGCTGATGACGAATAAGGCGGCAATGGCTGGTGGCGACTCCATAGTGGAATGTGAGACGTCAATGCCCAAAGGCCTAGGAGATTCAGATACCATTGTGAAGGAGAATCATGGAGTGCGACGTTATTCAAGTAGTGTCGGGGAATCACGGTAAGTTGAGGGGTGAGCCTCGTCCCTGGCTATGCGGAGGTGGTGCCTGAGGCAGAATTTCGGGATAACGTGGCCGACCCATGAGAGGTTAATTATGTTGTATATAGTATTAGTATGTAGTTAGAGGTGCTATATATAAAAGATCTGTCTCGATGTTAGGTGTATATTAGTACAATAGTGGTACAATAGTGGTACAATACCTACATATGTATATATCCACGGATAATGAGTACACGCATCACATAACTAGAGATCATATCATTACAATGTATTTATATAGCCAATATTCTTTTCCGCTATACTCACGTCCTATTTCTGCAACCCTTTCGTCTACATCGACCCTTTCGAGAATCCCATCCGCACTTGGGTAGCTAAATATTTACATCTTGCTTCAACCATGGCCCCCGAGTTCCACATTCAGACCAGAGAACTTCCATTTCCGTGCAAGTCAGACCAGAGAACTTCCATTTCCGTACAAGGATACGATACCTGCCTTGCAACAGTCCCATCTTCCCACCTAAGCATGAATATTTTGTCGAGGTGAACAAATATGCTGGATTTGCAGGTGTATGGCTTCACCATAAGGGCTAGCCGGAAGAAAGCATTCAGCAGTGGAGCGAAGCCTGCCAGAAAGACTTTGAATTGCCAGGTTTAGCCGAGGGGTGTTCTCCAAAAGAGCGGGGGTACCTCCTTCAACTGACAATTCTACGTGAAAATGTCAAAGCAAACCTTTAGAGTCGCTTGCAGCTAGCAGTATGGTATATGGCTAAATCGAAATTCTCGCTCTTATATTTCATTATCAGAGACCGCGTAGATGGATGAAAATAACGGGAATGTCGCTGGATAATGTGAGTGTCCATAGTCCTTTCCTATATAAAAAGCAATAGCAGCCACGATATCAAAAGAGTGCAAATTCATGTTTCCTTCATATTCTCAATAAATTATGAGTCAAGTCCAGAGGACCTATTGATTACATCCAAAATTTCGAGAAGTACGCAGCATGATTTCTACCATAAAGATGGCCTCCCGATCCCCCATAATTATTCGTTATCTTCACGGAGACGCGCCAGTTCCTCCTGGTCAAAGATACTTTTAGGACCCGTAAGTTCGTTTTTCAATGTTGAGATAGAAGGAACAAAGAAGTATTCGCCTCCTTTTTGAACAACCCAGCTTTCCAGCGGCATGCGGGCCTCGGTGGGGAATTTTCCATCAGGAAGACCGATAGAGCGAGGCGGGTGGTGATCCAATCTCTGGCCCACGAAGGCATCAATACCCGGACCTTCACCACCAACGAAGTTAGTCTTGCGGTCGGGGAAGTGGTGGTTGCTTGCCCAGCCTGGAAACATCAAACGTTAGTGAGGAGCCCTTTGTCACACATTATGCATGAGTTCAAGTTGCGAGTACTTACGGGTAGTCAAGAAGTTGAATCCATTTCGGATGTCGCTCTGGTAGCAGGCGAACAGAAGCCCACGTTCCTTTTCCGCAGATGACTTTCGATCAGTCATTTCATCGGCCGAGACTTCCTCGCCATACGGAATGCCACGACGGATGATAACAGCATGGTCGTGCTCTAAGTCAGCTCGGGGTCTCATTTTGCGGGTGTGTGCCGCAAAGGGGCACTTGTTGTGCTCCGTGACGGGGTGGTAATCGAAATTGTTTGATGAGAACAGATTTTCGTCAGCGTCATCATGAGGAGACTCATCCACAGGGGTTCCTTGATATTGATTGAATCAGCAAATTGTAAATCTTCAGCATTCTTAATTGGCGACGAACCGTTCTTCCATCTGCCCATCAAGTATGCAGCAAGCTTTTCGGCTGGCTTGGGATGGTCTTGAGTGAAAGGGGCGTGCTTGGCATTTTCCTCCATGAACCTATACACTTGGTCAATACCAAATAGGAAACAATGAAACAATCAGAGGTTACTCACTCCTCAAATTCAGGAACAAGTTGCTGGAGGTCACGGAAAACAAGGAAACTGCCATCTTTGGCCCAAGCTGGTTGGCCCATTGGGTCGCCCTCATGCCCGCAAAAGATCATTCTGCATTTCATCAGTCTGCCAGTCCTTTATTCAATGACGGTGAGCACACTTACCCTGGCTCTGCGGCTGGAGGTTCCTTGCCCACGGGTTGTCTTTCATCCCAACCTTTAATGATAGGCTGACTGATGCCATCCTTGAATCCAAAGCTGAATATAAAGGTAAGTTTGGCTCGTAAAGACTCCCAGGCGTTTGGTAAGTACTTACTGCTCTTTTCCTTTCATAGCGCCCGGGCGAACATTTCCTTCTCTGACCAGGGTCAACTCTATAGAAGGGTTCTGGCTGAGTACATATGTGTCCGGGTTGAGAGGTGCTTTTTCGTCGGCCAGGAAATGTTGCTTCACCTCGCTGACCTTGGTATCCAAATCACGCTTCAGACTTGCGGTCACCATAATCACACCATCAATGGATCTCTCATTATCACTGGTGGGCTGGTATTCCTTTCGAAGCTCCTGGGGGTTGTCCCACCCCTCGCCCACGAGATCTGCATACATGCCCTTTTCGAACAGTCCACCCTTCAGTTGTTGCTTCCGGAAGACTGGAGATAGCTGGCTGTCCATTTTAACGAGTTTCTGATCATTGGCATTCACAAATGCTCCGAGCTATGAGTAGTCACTTATCAGTCTTTGTTCGATGCCAGTGAAAACAGTTGGGATGACAACTTACTGCTTCAAGACCGGTCGAGGTAAAGGCAATGTTGATACCCGGCAAGCCTTGAAGCCTAGCTGATCTCTTTGCCAGTTCGGCCTCCTTCTTTGCCTGCTTAATGGTCTCGCTCATCTGACAGGCATCTTGACCCGTGGTGATCTTGGGAATAAATGTCTTCAGACGGTTCTTGAAAGCAACTTGGTCTCGAACGCGAAAGAAGAGAAAGGTTTGAAATCTTTTGGGGAGACCAGGCCTGATGATGATAAGTATTTTTGAAAGACCATGCCGATATATGAACATTTGGGAACATGGGAAACTTACCAAACATCTCCCTGGATATTTGCCTTGATGGCCGAAGTAAGACTCATGATGGAAAGCTAAACTCTTAAGAGAGTGCACGATCCAATGTCAATGAAGGCTACTGTCGAACCACAAGGGCTGACCTGAGGGGATGGTATAAATATATGAAAAAGATGGGTGGCACGCAATCTTCTGACCCAGCAACAATTCCATTTCCAAATCAAAAAGCAAAGGAAGGAGGCGGGGCAGCGCAGGCCTGCGATTGAACCGCACGTAGCATCCAGCTACTGGATCAGATCGCCCAATTAGATATGAGGCATATTCGATACCGACATTAGTATCGAGTGAGCTCCAATAGCAATAATCGATTACAGCCACATTCAGCTGTATGGGCATCTCTGGAGCAAGAGGGGAAGGCCATACTCCATTACGCTTTGACTAGTATTGACTTGAGTGTGCGAACTCATTGCCCCACAGCGCATAAATCGAATGGATTCCTAATACAGAGATGATCATAGGGTCGCATTTCTTCCAATACTAGAGATCAACATAGCCCAATTTCCAGTCACATTTGACGGGTGGGTCACCTTCAAGCAAATGAGACGAGACATTTTAGAATATCACGAACATCACGGTTCCCTACAACAGTTGTACTCCGTAGTTCTCCGTATATTCAACACGCTGGTTGCAGTAGTGGAGACCTCGGAATATCTATATCTGGCAAGGTAAGATGTAATCGATGTACATCGCACAGACCTAGATCTCTAAGCTTCGGCCGCGATCTACCTAGCTGCATCTGAATGATGGGACATTCATGTCAACCCAACATTCTGGTCGATAAGAGGGGATCGAACATGTCACGACTATCAATTGTTCTGGTATGGATGTAACATTGTATCCATGGATGCAGGAACGCAGCAGTCTGAAATAACCGCAGGAAAACCATCAAGTTGAGGGATGTGGGGCTGACAGCTTTCAGCTTTCAGCTTTCAGCTTTCAGCTTTCCACTTTCCACAAATTATGGGTCCACATTCCACTCCGTATGTAGCTCATTTCTGCCAGGAGCGACATATCCAACTCACATCTGCAAAAAGCTAGTGCACAGAGCAGAATAGCGCCGATGCCCATAAATAAAGGCTCAGCTGAACTGGACTTCCACCTACAACATACGTGAGATTACGACTGTGAGAGTAGATCGCTCAAGATTAGCGCTTCTTCAATCCATGGACGTCAGCGGAAGCGGGCCGGGCTCCACCCAATTGCCGCTAGCACGAACTATCTACCCGGGGACATGTACCATCACATATTGTGGTTCCTCTTCCAACCATGATCGACATGCGGTAATTTCGCAGCACCAAATCCCCGATCGCCAATTGGTTAATCTTCGATTGCCGAGTCATGACGCCAAGTTTTGCGCCATACAACCTTGGAAGCCCCACCTTTAATATGCAAGCTAGGAATAGCCTCACGCAGCTGAACTATCCAGCTCGTAGTGGGTTTGCATGCCGTGTCTTCTGCAGGAGACGCTGATCTTTCACCTGTCGCCGAGCATCGCCGATCGGGTCTGATTTTTGGAGACTTTTCTTCACCGATCTAAAATGGAGTGCCCAGTCACGTCGTACTACGCAAGGTGGGCCCAGGCAATCACTGACGTCTGTCTCTCATGTTGATATTCAGCAATGCCGAGATATACACCTGACTGGTGGAAAGCAGCCCCACCTGCCCTCCAACGAGATCGGGCTAGACTGTTATAGTTTGCGTAATATTGGCGTAGGCTATTGCCGATGTTGTATTCCGTGCTGAAAATAACTTGGATCCTGAATGAGAGTAGCGCTCCACTCCAGGTGGAGTATGCCGAGTACTGCACTTATATGTATGTGCCCTTGGTCACGTCAAGAATTTTTTTTCGCATAGGTGAAGTGAGCTTCTCTTTCCCCTTCTTCACATTCTCTTCACTCTCCAATAAACTTCGCCCAATATGAAGCTTCAATGGGCCGGGCTCCTCTTTGGGGTTTCCATTGGCGGAGTCAATGGTATGGCTGAATACATGCACGAGGCTATGAGAGGAGAGCGTGTCTCTGGCTATGGCAAATCCGACAACAACCCCCAATGGGTACCGGAGTTCAAAGATGAATCTCCTCCATACCAAAGCTACCGAATCCCCCGTCAAGACTGGACCTTGACATGCAGCAGCTCTGCTGCTCGCTACCCATGCAAATATGCCATCGATGGCAAGAACACTACTTCCTGGCGCAGCGACCCCTCCAACAATGGACATACTCTTATTGTTGATCTTGGAGCGTGGTACCAAGTGAGCGCCGTCGTTGTCCTTCCTCCAACTGATACGGGCACGGAAGGCCTCATTACCCAGCACAAGATCTGGGTCAGCGAAGATCATGAGAAGTGGGCGGAGCCTGTTGCATATGGAATGTGGCCCAATACAAACAGACAGCGAATGTCTGCGTTTGAACCATCATCTACCCGATACTTGAGAATCACGGCCGATGCCGACCGTGAGAATCCTTGGGTCGGTATCGCTGAACTGAACATTTATGGAACTCTGTACACCATTCCTCGTGACCCTGCTCTCGGTGTCTGGGGGCCAACTCTTGATTTCCCTATTGTGCCTGTCTCCGGTGCTCAGGAGGGATCTGGCAGGCTTGCTCTCTGGTCCTCGTGGGCCGACGACCAATTCCACTCGACTCCGGGAGGCAAGACCGTTATGACCCGATGGAACCCATTGACCGACGAGGTCTCTAAACGCACTGTCAGCGAAACCCACCACGACATGTTCTGCCCGGGCATTTCTTATGATGGCACCGGCATGATGGTTGTTACTGGTGGCAATGATGCCTCGGAGACTAGTCTCTACGATTCTGCCAATGATAAATGGATTCGCGCAACCGAAATGAAACTCCGTCGTGGATACCAGGCGTCTACAACTCTCTCCGATGGACGTGTCTTCGTCATCGGAGGTTCATGGGCTGGAGGTTCGAATGTTGCTAAGGATGCCGAGGTTTACGACCCTGCTACCCGAAACTGGACTATGCTTCCTGAAGCCAAGGTCAGCCACATGTTGACTAAGGATATGGAAGGTCCTTGGCGAGCGGACAACCATGGCTGGCTCTTCGGCTGGAAGGACCTGAGTATCTTCCAAGCCGGGCCTAGCAAGCAGATGAACTGGTACTCCGCTCATCACAATGGAGGTGTTAAGGAGGCAGGGCTTCGTATGGACGATGAGGATTCTATGTCCGGCAACGCAATCATGTTCGATGCCGTGAAGGGCAAGATCCTCACGCTCGGTGGCTCTCCTGACTATGATAAATCGCCGGCCACGAACGCCGCCCACATTATCACGATCGGCGAACCGGGTCAGAAGCCGAAGGTTGAACCGGCCGGAGGAGGCACTATGCACACTAAGCGTGTCTTCCACACTACTGTCGTTCTCCCCGATGGAAAAGTCGCCATCTTCGGCGGCCAGACGTTCGGCGTTGCATTTAATGAGGAAAACGTCCAATTCGTCCCGGAAATCTATGACCCTAAAACCAACACTTTCACGAAGTTGCAGCAGAACAATCTTGTGAGAGTATACCACACCGTGTCAATCCTCCTCCCGGACGCCCGGGTGTTGAACGCAGGCGGTGGTCTTTGTGGCAATTGCACAGCCAACCACTATGATGGCCAGATCTTTACCCCTCCCTACCTCCTGACTCCTTCAGGTCAGCCCCGGCGCCGTCCTAAGATCATCTCAGGACTGAAAGATTATGCCTCGGTGGGCAGTACCTTGACATTCGAAACCGATGATGATATCTCCACAGCTTCCCTGGTCCGTCTGGGTACCGCCACCCACACTGTTAACACTGATCAACGCCGCATTCCACTTGATGTTACTCGTGACTGGCGCTTCTGGAAGTCGATCTGGAAAACTACCCTGCCAAAAGATTCGGGTATTCTAATTCCTGGATACTGGATGCTGTTCGTTATGGACCGGAATGGCGTGCCTAGCATCGCGAAGATCATGATGATTGGCTTGGACAGCACGAAGACCATCGATGCTGCGCAGGATCCGTTAGGCATGATGGAGGCTCAGAACAGTAAGCATGAATCACTGCAACCCTTTTGGAAAACTTAGAACCTAACGCTGAATTTACAGATCTTGACTCGTTTATGAGGATCGAGTTGCTGAAAAGAAAGTGGTTTTGAGGCAAGCTGGTATTTTGGAAGAGTCCGAAATTTGATATAGCGTCATTTTAGGTCTCTTGCAGTAAATACAGTGTTGAGGACTTTCACATAGGTGTAAGGAGTAGAATCTAAAAACTTACCTCAAAAAAGCCACCCCAAGCTTGAAATATGGTTTTGCCATAGCCTTAAGGATAGAGGAAGGGTATCACCACATAAGTAGTCTACCTGGTATGGATGTTTTCTGGCATCGTTTCTATGTAGGTCTAATTTTGGATGAGTCTATCTCTTTTGGATACATACATAAATAACTAATTTTCTCTAGCCAATGCAACCTCTACAGGATCAGAAACACAGAACAGATTAATACAGTTGTATTGGATGCTAAAATGGCACACTGGGGAGAGAAGGAAGAAGGGAGAGGAGCTCTCTTCCTGACAAACAACAATCTTAGGACCCTAGCCTAATTTGAATAGACAAGTATGGGGCAGGAATCGTGTATCGGTGAGCAATATACGGAGTAAATGGTACTTACCTGAAGTCTACATATGCACATGCAATACAATATGCAATAAAATATGCAGTAAGTGAACATTGTGTTATGGACTTTCAGTACACTACATAGCCCACATTCCTTAGACACCAGTATAGAAGAGAATGCACGGTGCCACTTTAACTCCCCGGTGCGGTGGAGGACTGGCTCTGCATGGAGTATATATAGTATTGCCGAGTGCTGCTATACCAAGAAAATAAGACTGTTACACTGGAGTGCTAGAAAATAATCCCCACCCTCAGCTTACAGCAACCGTCTCAGAAAATGGCCATCCAAGAAGTTGATTTTGAGAGCATTCCCATTATTGACTTGTGCACATTGAATAGTCCCTGTATCCATCAGCGCCACCAACTCAGGAGAGAAATCGCTCAGGCCTGTACCCAGGTTGGCTTCTTTGACATCAAGGTGCAAGGGGTTTCACTCCCAACCCATCAACCTTTACGTTAACTCTAATCAAATCTCGTTCGAACAGAGTCATGGAATTTCCGATGTGCTGATCAATCGTACCTACAAAGCCGCCCATCAGTTATTCTCCCTCAGCGAAGAACATAAGATGGCATGCTATCTGGCGACGTCTGAAGTGCGTGTCGCATACTAGAGCCAGCGATCTGTGAAGGTGGTGGGACTAACTAACCACGTTGACACCAGTACTTCCGAGGCTATAGCCCCTTGTATGGAAAGAAATCGTCGAATACCGACCTTGAGGGAGCCACTCAAGACAAGCCCCTTGGGTCTCTTTCCGAGGCATTCGACATCGGCTATGAGCTCTCAGGAGATCTGCAAAAAGGTCCCGATGATTCGCCACCTTCAGATAGGTACGGTTTACATGGAGAAAACTAGTGGCTAGAAGAAAGCCTCCTCCCAGGCTTCCGGGCGACGTACCTTCAATATTTTGCCGAAGTCCTCGAGCTTGCCCGAGGATTGATGAGGATCTTTGCGCTGGCGTTGGACCAGGACGAGGGTTATTTCCAATCGATGGTGAAGTATCCAGGGGTCGCATCGAGGATGATGCATTATCCACCTCCGCCCGTGAAGGGGCAGGAGACCCCGGGGCTAGCGGCTCATACGGTAGACAGAGTCATTTTTAGACTCGATGTGGACATAATAATGCATGCTTACATTCTGGAAGGACTATCAATGCTTCACAGGCCCTAGACCACGTTCCAGCTCTGCAGGTCCTCAACCCTCATGGGAAGTGGGTAGCGGCACCGCCGATCCAGGAACATTAATTGTGAACATTTCGGATTGCTTCGCCTTCTGGTATGGGATAAGATTTCATCTCAAATCGGTGCCAACATATACTAACCAGCTCTTAGGACAAACAACAAATTCAAGTCGACCATTCACCGCGTGGCCAATTCGACCGGAGAGGAACGGCATTCAATACCATTCTTTGGCGTTGACTATGATACAACTATTTCCGTATTGAAAAAAAAAAAAAAACAGATTTCAGAGAATAACCCTCCTTGCAAAAAACCATTCAAGGTCGGAGAGGTGAGTCATAACATCTGTCTCATAATCTCCTCAGGTGAACAACTGAATGTGAGCACTTGCAGTATATACGCGACAAGCTTTCACTATCTTATGTTGGACATGATGGTGAGGCTGCTGGTGACCGCATTAAGCTTTAATTTGTCCTTGGCCATTTTACCCTTTGCTATTGGATGTCAGACAGTCGCGTGAGACAGTATACCCGGCTCGTTAGACAAAGCTGGCTTCTTAAGCCCAACTCATTTATCCACATGGGCTTCACCGCTAGATGATTTGACATTATGGCCGTTTCCCAGGTGATTCTAGAGGGAACCGTAGTACGCGAGTATAACTTTTCTCTGAATCAATATAATACGAACAAGGCAGAGAAACTAGAGCTCATAGCATAGGAACAGTCAGTCCTTGACCCAGATCAATCAATGCAAATTTGAGTTATGAAATCGAATGACTGAAAAGAATTTCCTTGAGCCTACTAGCTCCCACCTATCGGGCTTGTTTGCTTACTCTATCACTTCTCAACATTGTCCCTGACTAAGTCCACTGTTGCGCAGTGAAAAGAGCCACCAATACTATTCACATGTTTGAAGGGGCATGGAATACATTTCATTCCCCATGATTCATACAGCTGTGTTGTCTGGAGGTCACTAGCCTCGACCACGACTCTTTTTCCATCCAAAACCAAAGCATTGAGGCATAACCATGGGCTGGTCATGTAAAGCGGCGGACCATCTGATTCAGTTGGAATAAAGGGGTAGGCTCGGAGATCCCAATCCGCCAGAACCTCATGCTTGCGAAGCGCGGCCTCGGTGACCTTTGTCGGGTTGTAAACCAATAGTCCATTGCGGAGCGGCAGGATTGTGGCATCAATGTGCATGGCGCTCGGGTCGTTAACTTCAAGCAATTCAATTTTATACCCCCCAGGCAAATGCTGCTGGACATAGTCGATACCAGCCTGGTTGGTTACGTGGCTGAACTGCCCGAGGATAGTCTTGCCAAACCGCATAAAGTCCGCCGTATCAAAGGCAGGGCGGGTGTTGTTGATTACCCACTGACTAGTGGCATTTCCGGCAGCATCGCCAGTCTGAGGGAAGTCGTCAAGCAAGGAGTTGGCAAAGGAGTGCGGAGGGCGCCGCACGATGGTCACACCGCTGTCCTGCGCCAGCTCGTCAAGGATCGGCGTAAAGGCAATTTCAATCTCCCGATCACGGCAGTTCCAGGCAAAACAGGCTTCAATCAATGTATTCTTGACGCTCATAAGCCCGTCACGAGGCATGGCACCAGTGTACCCACCAACGTCTAGCCAGTTGATCCCTGCCGGCGGCCGATAGACCCGAACACCCTCAGACTCGAGAAGTCGAGCGAGATAGTTCAGTTCTGCCTCCGCTTTGACTATCAGAAGCTTGTCAAACGGGGATCGCGGCCTAAATAGAGGCACGTGGGCCGACGGCATCGTTGCTTCGATCATTTCAGGGGGGGGCGCTGGGAAAGCATGCCTGCCCTGCTCGGCCCACGATAACTGACTTGAGGGGAGACCATTCATCATCTGCATTGATAGAAGGCACAGGAAAGGCAGCCATTGTGGAATGTCAATAAGAACAGGAAGTAGATAGTTTGGTGGTTGATTTCAAAATGATGATAGTTAAAAGAAAACTCAGGGCTACTTGGACCTGCTACATGTACTCCGTAGCTCGTAACCTTTGCTGCATGTGTAAATTAAGTACTTATGTAATTTGTACTCCATGCATCAATAGCCTTAAATGGGTTTAATTGTATTGTTCTTAAAGAAGAGGCACATAGGGCGATCGCCGTCCGCTAGGACTTGACGGCCTCGACACTAACTTGATATTGGCGCTGTTACCAAGACTGGGGCTTCGGAAAGTGGGTCGTACTCCATTGTTTGGTGTTTCAATCCACTGAACGTTATTTGACACAATAACGGTCTTTCCCAGGGAATGGGGCAGATTATCGTCTGTGCAGACGGGCCAATTTGAGGATAGATGGGGCCGAAATGGTCCCAAAACAGGGGGCCAATGCCGACCCACAAATTCAATAGATTATCGAACATAAAATCATACCTGGCCACACTAAACCGAAACAAAACTCATTGTTTTGCCCCCTGTTGTTCACATATCTATATTCATCCTGTCGTCTAGCCGATCATCTGCAAAATGAATGTGCCAGAAGCGCCTATCTTTCCCCTCCTTGAAGGTAAGGTCGCCATCATTACAGGTGCCGCCCAGGGCATGGGCAAGGCTACCGCGTCTGTGTTTCTCCGCGCGGGGGCTAAGGTAGTCATTGCCGATGTGAAGGCAGAGCAGGGAGCCCAAGTTGCAGAGGAGCTTTCTGCCTTGGGAGAAGTTCGTTTCGTGGGGACCGATATCTCGAAGTCAGAGGATGTACAAAACCTCATTAAGCAGACAGTTAGCGCCTTCGGCAAATTGGACGTGGCAATCAACAATGCGGCCATGTCTCCGGATCAGACTCCCCTGATTGACTTTGACGAGTCATATTGGCGCAGATTGATGGATGTCAGTTTGACTGGTACCGCACTGTGCTGTAAATACCAGATGCAGCAAATGGAAAAGCAGGGCTCTAAGGGCTCTATTGTCAATATTGCTTCAATCAACGCCTATTCACCACAACCGAATATGCCAGCATATACGGCGGCTAAGCATGCACTCTTGGGCTTGACCAAGCATGCGGCGACTGAAGGTGGCCCTAAGGGCATCCGAGTTAATGCCATTGCGCCTGGGGCGATATTTGTATGTTTTCCCGTCTTGAATTCGAAGAGGGTCTAATAATAGCAGAGTGAAATGTCGGCCGCAGCGTTGGAGATTATGGGCACTACACATGAGGAGTTTGCGCCCAAGGTTAGCAGCCTAAACAGGTTCGGACAGGCTCATGAGGTAGCGCAGGGGTCACTTTGGCTTGCATCTGAGTGTTCGTCATACATAAACGGAATTTGTCTGCCCATCGATGGAGGATTCCTGGCCAAATGGTAGTTACATAGTTTTTTAATTGAGCTATGGAAATATTTCTCTCACGTGGGACCCGTGGAGTGGACAAACCCTTAGCTCACCTAAGCGCGGGGCAACCCCCAGGCCGTAGACACTAGTCCCTTTTCTTTCTCGTTCCAACGTGAGGTTCATCCAGACCTGGGGAGATCCGTCTGTACCAATTACCGGTTCTAATCAAAACGTGTATTGATGCAAAGGAATCATGTGCGTCCAGAGCCAGTCACTTTGGACGGTTGCGAAATCCAAACTCGACGACGTTGACCGGGACCTGCTGGCCTTCGATAGCGACAATGATATCAAGAGAACTGGACAAAACGAGCTTGAGATATTGGAGAGACTTGAGCAAACTACTCGGGAAGCATACGATACATGCATCCATAAGAGATGGAAAATCACCATCCCAGGAAAAGGGAAGAAAGTTATAATTCGTGACCTACTGAGCAAAGTCGTGCGCTGGATTGAGCTATTCAAATCAGTGGGCGATCAATTTGTGCAGTATGACCCGGGCCACGCTGCCTTACCATGGGCCGGAGCTCGGTTCTTGTTGCAGATTGTTATCAACGATTTCAGCAAATTCGATTTCGTTGTGCAGGGTGCCGAAAGAATTGCCAAAATGACCGCACGATATAGAATCATCGAGAAGATTTACATCCAAAAACGTTCAGCTACCTCGGAACAGCTTGAGCAGGCGGTGGTGAGGGTGTATGGCTCAATCCTCAAATATCTCGTTGAAGCCAAGCGCTATTTTGAACATAAAACAGGAGGTGAGCTTATATTGCCAAGTTCGATGGTAGCTGGAGAAAGCTCACAATCTTTAGTGCGACTTTTGAAAAGTGGGCTCCTTGGCCAGGATGATTTCCAGGAGCTTTTGGACAAAATGGAAGCGGACGAGAAATTGGTAGACCGATGTGCGAGTTTGGTTCAAGGTGAGAGTAAGTATTCCATTCGCCTTGTTTTGGTTGAGCCATGGTTGATCAGTCGATCATAATAGTGAACAATAATATTGCCTCTCATCTTGCGACCTTGTCGTTAGGTAAGGAGACGACTCAAACCACGAGCACAAATGCCCACCACTAATGGTTTTGTAGAGATGGAGACCTTTCATTCACTGCGAGATACGCTCAGTCGGATGGAACAGCCACTCTCACAGGTGTTCTTCCACTTGAACAAGGTCGAGGATCATTTGGACAGTAAGTTTCCCTCTTTAACCGATCGGAGCAATCTAACGTGTCCTTCAGGTATACAGCGACGACAGATGTTGGACTGGTTGTCTACTCAGCCGTATCTTGACTACCACACCACGATCAAATTTAGAGTCCTGGACGGAACATGCCAATGGGTTCTGCAACATCCAAGTTTCACTGAATGGAAAGGCGAGAGCACAAATTCGCTGCTCTGGCTTCATGGTGCTCAGGGTGCGGGCAAAAGCTGCTTAGCATCGATGGTCATTGATGATGGCATGAATGTCTCCTGTCAGATTGAAGACTTTGCTCAAGCCTACTTTTATTGTTCTCGCAACACTGCCGAGTCCCAACGTGCGAATGCACAGAGTATTCTCGGATGTATTGCGCGTCAGCTTTCTAGCCCATCTTCAAACCAGCCCCTTGCTCCCCCAACAGTTTCTCTTTACAGGAAATTACACCTGGCAGATGGTTCCACGAGAGTTCCGAATCTGTGTGAGTGCCGTGATTTAATCGTTGAACTGACCGAAGTCTATTCCCGGACCACCATTGTGATGGACGCTCTGGATGAGTGTAGTAGAGACGAGCGTGCAGAACTCGTCGAGGCCCTGGAGTATATTATCGACAACTCGACTAGCCTCGTCAAGATCTTTGTCACTTCGCGCGAAGAAGGTGACTTGAGGTTATCTATCCAGGCGCATTCGGGGGTTCAGGTGACGTGGGTAGAGAATGGGTCCGATATCGAGAAATTTGTGAATTTTGAAACGGACAGGCTTGTGGCAAAGAACCAGCTACTTGGCTCTATCCGAGTCAAATCCACAAAAGATGATCTGAAGGCGTTGATCAAAGAAGATACTATTTCTAAGGCTAACGGAATGTAAGTTAAAATATTTCTGGGTCTTCGATAACGCAAAGCCTTACGAGCTTTAGGTTCCGTTGGGCCCAATTGCAGCTGCAGAGTCTTCGTTGGATTCGTACGGAGAGAGATATTCGATTCGCTATGTCGACAATCCCGCGCCCACTCAGCGAGCTATACGAGGACCTCTACAAAAAAGCACTCGAAAGCACCGAAGAAACAGATCGGGTTTTGTTCCAAAACACGCTGAAATGGATGCTATGCACGACGCGGGTTTTCGGTTGGGAAGACTTCTCCCAAGCTATCACGAGCTTCGTGGAAATTGAGACATACGAGATCGACGAAGACTTTATCTTGGATCTGTTCAGCAATTTCGTGATCTCTCAGACAACCCAAGATGGAAACCGGACCTTCCGCTTCGCCCATCTGTCAGTGCGAGAATTCTTAGAAACCAAGCCCGAATACTCCACGGAATCCAGCAACGCCTTTGCCGCGGAGGTATGCTTGTTGAAACTGATCGGAGCTTCCGGGTCGCCTAGTGCAGAACAATTCCTCAGCAGACTAGGCCTCAGCGATGAAAGCACCGTAAATTTGTCAGATATCGACTCTTACAGGAAAGGCATACATGACTACTCCTTGCGAAATTGGAATGTACACTGTGTGTATGCTGGCGAAGTGAATCGGTCGAACGAAGAACTACACCTTTTTCACCTCCTGCGCTATTTTCTATTTGATGATTCGGATCCGAACTGTCCACTAAAGTGTTGGGTCCATTCTCGTCAGCGCCGCAAAATGGAAAGCGTAACCGGATCGCACCTTCTCGGGCTGTTGCAAAATTATCATCGATCTTGGGACCGGGCATTTTTGCTTTCCTGCGTCTTCGGCTTCGGTGAAGTTCTTCGCATCGATCACTATCATGAGCTGGATGACGACGTCAAAGAAGCATGTATTTTGGCGGCCGTTACACACTCCCAGTATCATATCTGGGAGTATTTGATGGGAGAAATAAAAGGCCGATTACTGCAAAAGCGCGTTTTGAACGCACTAGTCGAAAACGACGACATTGAGCCGCTCAAATGGTTCTTGACTTTCGTCGAGCCTGACCTGATTACCGGACCGGTCATTGTAAATGCGCATCAGGCAGATAAGGAAATAATTGAGCTGTTGCTTGATTATAATAAAAGTCTCCACATTACGACGGAGCTCATCGAAGAATGTAGGTCGTCTTACACGGCCATTGAAGCACTTCTCAGCCGAGCCCCCGATGTCGTAGTCACCTCTGAGATACTCAAGAATGCTATAGCCGCCATACCCATTGAGCACCTGAGAGAAATTCTTCACAAGAATGATGAATCGATCATTACATGTGAAATTATCGCATCGGCTAGCTATTACGCTGGTTTGAGAGAAGGGATGCGAGCCAAAATAGAGCTTTTGTTGGAATGCGCTGGGCAGATCAAAGGGACCGAGAGGGCTATGATTCAAGCCGTTGCCTCACGCGACAACTCTGAGGCGATCGAAATTCTCATCAATCACGGTTGGCCGGTAACAGAAAACGTTATGGTGAAAGCTGCGACACGGGGAAGAATCGCTCCTCTCGAGCTCCTGCTCAAGGCTGGAGGCCCAATTACGTCCAAAGTGATTGTTGGTGGAGCGCGGAATCTTGATGATGGGCCTCAAATGGTCAAGCTCCTTGTATCCTTGACGAACCGACCGTTAGATGATGAATTATGGGTCCAGATGATGCTGCAATGCGCTCAAAATACATGGGGGAATCCGGAAACTCTTCAAGCGCTCCTGGAAATGAAACCTGGTCTGAAGGTTTCAGAAGAGGTTTTGATTGCTTTCACGGAAAATTCCATCAAAGGGAACACCATTCTGGATGTCATTCTGGAGGACAACCGAGAGATACAGGTTACTGATGCGGTGATTGTAAATGCATTGAAAAGGTTGGACTACACCGAAACCATATCAAAGCTTCTCAACCGACACGGCGCTACGAATATTTCGAGCCAGATGCTACTTGGTGCTGCTCAGAACTGTCGATTCGGAGATGAAATGACAAAGCTTCTATTGCAGCGAACTGCAATGATTGAGAAACCATCCCTGATGGTTGTTGACGCAGTCACCAGTAATCAGATTTCAGGCTATAAAATACTGCAGATACTGGAGACCCATTTCGGACAACTTGATCTCTGCGAGGCGAATGTGAAAACTGCGGCCGAGTCCGGCAACCACGCTATGCTAACCTTAGTATTGGATCGATGTTCAATCAGCGAGGCCACGCCATCTGTTTTATTAGCCGCTGCGGCCACGGGGAGTTTGGAGGTAATGAAGCATCTTTTGAAACTAGACAATGCTGTTGTTACCGAAGATATTCTGATTGCGGCATCTGGAAATCCCAGCTGTAGCATCGACATGCTCAGGGTGCTTTGGAACTTCGCCCCACATATCAATGTGTGTCCTGAGATGTTTTTGAAAGCTCCCAACTCTACGGATGTTGAGTTTCTGTTTTCCCGGGTGAAAGATTCCAAATTATGCCAGGATATTCTGAACGCAGTGATGACAACAAAAGAGAGACCGAGCGATTGGCCCGATTGGGTATCTGAGCCTGCTCTAAATCTCATCCTCGAGAGCGAGTTTGAAATTGGAGTGTCCGATGAACTTGTAATCGATACCTTGAAGGCAGGCCGGGGATGGCTTTTGAAGACTTTCTTTGCCCACCGGAGAGACATTGAAGTCTCACAGGATATGGTGAACACAGCAGTCGAGCTAGCAGTTGATCTGGAGGACTATCGGGCCCTACAAGTGCTGGTCAAGTATGGGAATTCGAATGAATTGAACCTGCACGATGCAAGGGTTATCCTCGATAATTTCCTATGGGGCTTTAGCGAGGAGTGAGCATCTCCATTTTGTCAGTCTATTTGTTCAGGAAAAAGCCTTGGAAGGTTCTAGGTGGATAATTAATCAATCCGGCAGCAGATGAAGCTTGGTCTGCCCTCAGTGCCTCATAAACCAAGATTTCCAGTTCAAGTTGATGCTCCCCAATAGACGCATTGGAGATATTCCGTGCTAGAGCAGAGTCGGTGAATTGCACGACTTCGAAATCTCCAGTACATTTGAGCTATCCTCGGGCAATGAATTGGACAGCAGAGAGTACATATGTATCTAAAGCTCGTCAGCGAAAGTGAAAGGATCGTTGAATCTACATTTGTGGTAGATTGTTGTATTCCAAGGTTCACCAACCTTGGAACCATGGTTGAGCGGATGAACTTTCCAAGATTGTATAGGCCCGCTCGAACCCTCTTGTTCAATAAATAGCACACATCCTCCTCTAAATCCCAAGTCTATCCCATTTCTCGTCTTGCGAGGGATTGGTGAGAATAAATCGCCCTAGACTCGACCATGGTTTTCGGAAGAGAAGGTGCAGGATATTCAGACCAGCTTATATTTCAATGTTGTTGACAGGTTCTACCCTGCAGGTTCGGGGTACGATAGTCGACTGTCACCCCCATTTGAAGTCGAGCATAACAGACATGCACCAAGAAGCCTTGCGGAGCAGGTTTGATAGGTTTGATGGCATGTCTGATAAACTCTGTCAGGTATATCAATTCAGTGGTATCTTGCCATGCGACTCGCACAGTTCGCGAAACCATAAGGTGTTACTGAGCTGGGCAGAACGTGTGGAAAAAGGGGACTGGGGGATGAACGAAGATGCAGTGGCGGATGGAATTGAAAGATTTAGAGGTGCCGATACCCCAGAGAATTGGAAGAAATACTAGACTTTATGCGCTAGTATCCACCCACGACATTTACAGAGTGCGTCTGCGGGCTATTATTGGAGTCAATCCATGTGGGTCATAGAACAGTTGCACAACAATACATCGTACTTTGTGCACACTCCGTACTAAGTCGGGGATTAATCCTTCGTTTCCGTTGAGCTTGTGGGCAGGCCAATGATATGCCTGGCCACTTCCATTAATACTGGAGCCAGACACACCCGTATCTCTCATAAAAGAACGTGTCCAGCTTGCTTTGGTCTTGATCCAGGTCCAATCCTGATTTTTTGCTCGATCAAACCACTGTCAATATGGGTAGTTATCAAGGCACATTCCTTCGCATATACGAGCGCAAGCTTGCTCTAGTAACGGGATCCGCACGGAGTAAGTCCGACATTGGCTCCTCAGACATCCCATACTCATTGTCTTCCAGGTATCGGAGCCGCAATAGTCCAGAACTGGCCAGCAAGGGCTGCGATGTGTTTATCAACTATGCAACCGAGGCCTCCGACGCATCCGCAGTAGTACTCGCCGCCAACCTCGAAAAGGAATACTCAGTGGGCGCATTGCCCATTCGAGCAGACATTACTTCGCGGGAGGAATGCGCATGAATCGTGTCAAGCGCGAAAGAGCATTTCACCGACTCGCAAACAGGATCTTTCCAAATCAACATCATCGTTCACAACGCCGCGGTGCTATACCTCGGCCCACTCGAATCAGTCATAGAATCCGAGTTCCATCGAATCTATGAATTAAATGTTCTTGGTCCGATTCTACTCACCGGTGTGTGGTGTTGTGAGCTGGCTGAGAGAGCCACCGTCAACTCGATCAACCCTGGTCCTGTCATGACGGATATGTATATGTCTGCCCCTGATGCAGTCAAAAAGGAACTTGCATTGTGGAATCCTCTCACTCCATTGGGGGCTGTTCGGAAGACTGACAGCCCGGAGGTGAAGGAGCTGGGAAAGAAGTTTGGAGGGAGAGCGGCGTATGCTGAGGAGATTGCTGGGTTGGTTGCGACGATCTGTAATCATTAGTTTGGATGGTGTACTGGGAGTGCTATTTCTGCAAATGGAGGGTTGTCGTTTAGTACCTAAGGATAGCCAGTTTTGCCAATACGAACTTAAGCAACTTATTGTATATAAATACTCTACAGCATCGCAAGTCCAGTGCAGTTCGATGCGTTGAGCAAATATAATGCCTCAGGCATTTAGTGTCGCCAGAGGCATGAAAACACACGAGAAGGATGCTAAAAGAAAAACACAAGATGCAAGCCTTGAAATGTTCAAGCTTGTGTCACTATTTCTTTATTTTTGCTTGATCGATCTAATCTCTGATCGTCTTCTCTCAAATTGAGGCATCCCGAGGTCATCTGTAGATCCAATTAAGCTTGTTATTGGTCGAACTCAAATCCACCCCCTTCGCAAAAAGCCAAACATTCTTGACGTCTCATTTTGTCCATTGACTTTCCTATACTCTGTACTTTTCTATATTTGTGTTTCCGGGACACTGAGACATTCACAGTCTAGACCAGAGTTCCAACTCTCAGGGGTACTCCAAAAATGCCCAGTCCTCCATCCCACCCATACTACCCCCTCGATGCCAATGTTGTGGGTTATGAGCCCAACCAGACCCCAGTGTTGGAGCTTCTCGTCTCTGCTGGTGGGGCATGTACTGTTCTCCTTAGTGTGACTTTCGCGTTGGCTAGCTATGTGAAACCGACACTGCGCATGGCGGATCGAATCGCCATCCTGTGGTTTGTGCTCTGTAAGACGCCAATCGAGAAAAGATGAATTTGAAGGTTGAATATTGACAATGGGGATATATAGCTGGAACTCTGCACTGCTTCTTCGAGGGTTACTTTATGGTCCACCATAACCACATGGCTTCTGCCCAAGATCTTTTTGGGCAACTATGGAAAGAATATGCTCTGTCGGATTCCCGGTATATGACCTCAGACACGTTGGTGTTATGTATGGAGACAATGACCGTGGTGAGTCCCACAATTATATACAAGGCCAACTCGAGGATTCACCGCTGATTCTCACAAAGCTCCTGTGGGGACCATTGTGCTTTGTTGTTGCATACTTGACCGCAACCAGGCATTCCCTGCGCCACCCTATCCAGGTAATTGTGTGCATGAGCCATCTGTACGGCGACATGCTGTATTATGCGACCAGTTTGTTTGACGAGTATGTCCACGGGCGACCATATTCCCGACCGGAGCCGTACTATTTTTGGCTGTATTACTTCTTCATGAACTTCATCTGGATTGTTGTCCCGGCGTGTATGTCCTGCAGTTCCCGGGATGCTCGTTATAGGCTGACATGACTTGGTATAATAGACTATCTCTATCAGAGCATCTCCACCATCTCGGCTGCACTCAAACGCCAGTCGGAAAAGGACAAGACTAAGTAACACCTCTTTCGTCATCACTGGTATAGTGGCGGGTCGAGGCGTAGTGGAGCATTGGGCTAGAACTGAGTTGGCAGGAAATATTAAGGGAATTCGGTGTTGAGGTTGAGGAGATGCGAGGGTCAGAACGGGGGGAATTGGTCAATGTATAGTATCCCGGATCATATGATTGCCCTACATGATGATTAAATGAGGGCTACCTCTCGTTAGTTCATTCATATTCCAAGATTTAGTAGGGTTTAATAGGTTTAATATCTCCACCCACACTAAGCACCCTATGACGCTCATGCACAGGGGGGCCACCTGACGCGCAACCCGGCGATATTAGCCAATATTAACTACTCTGTCTCTCCAAAGATGATTTCTTTCTAATTTTAAGCTCGAGGTCATCTTTAATAAAGGCTCACCAGATCAAATCAGGCGGGGGAAACCATTTAATAAGAAGCTGTTCAGGCCGATCTGGTTTCCCGGCAACCAATTTAGTGCGGGAGGGGGAGGCTTATCGAACTTGTCAGCCCCAACCTCCAGAGGGTCTGACGCATTGTTTATGATCCCTGAAGGATTTTCCTGCGATCGTCCAAAAAGCAAATGCTCCAAATTTGTTAATCTTTAGGGGCTTTGGTAAGTACAAACTCTCTGTGACTGTCCAAGTCAACAAACCCCGTGTTTTGTCGGGTATCTGCTTTGACAACAAACCCTCGAGCTCCCTACTAAATGTTGCCTTCTGTTTTGCTCTACAGGTACCGATGCCATCTCCTGCGACGACACAACGTCCCTCCAATCGTGGAGGAACTGCGAAATCCACGAAACCGGTCGACATCGGAGAACCGCTAGGGGTGCACGACACAAATACGGTGCGCTCGAGAGTGCGAAAATGGCAGCAACAAGGCGGCGGGGTCGTAACAGTGGACGACCCCTATGCCGATGACGAGGAAAATAATGCGAAGTCAAAACCAAAGCCTGCTAAGGTCAAGGTAGAGAAGCTGGAGAAGCTGGAGAAGGTCGAGAAGCCGAACAAGGACAAACCCCCGGCCACAAGGAAGCGCAGTCACAGCACACCGCGCAAACGTGTGGTGAGCGATGAGCATTGGAAACGAACGCGAAATCGAGCCTTAACCCAGTCCTCGTCGCGCAATCTGCCCGCACCTAAGCGCATAGCCGAATACACCACAAATGAAGGGCAGCCTAGGTCTTCACGGGGGAAACACGACGATAGTGAAGATGAAGATGAGAAAGGTCGCGATCCTGCTCGAGTTCAGGCAAAACGAGGCACCGGAACAGGGTCTAAATCTCCTACTCGAGACACAAAGTCCGCGGGTGCACGACAGAATATCGATACCATCACGGAGAGCGACTATGAGACGGACCATCCCAGATCCGTGGAACCTTCGGAGCTCTCGGACAGACTCAAGACGCGCTCCCCTCCTCCAGAGGATGCATGGGCCGCAAGCGAGGCGGACTTTTCTGAGCTGTCGAGAAGACGCAAGCGCGGCCCTGCAAAGCCTCCCAAAGGTGGTATATTCGCACATATGATCGACGAGTCCAGAAAAATGTTTGGGATCCCTGAACCCGAACCGCCGAGACCTACACCTACGCCGACTACGGGCCGTGGAGCCAAAATCGAGGCATGGCTCTCTGACACACCGGATCCTTTTATGGATGAAGCCGGATCTAAGAATGATATTCCAGCTCCTCTGGATCTGAAGTCAGGCCGAGCAAGGCGATCTCAAAAACTTGCAGACGGAGACATACAACCTGGTACTGAGTCTGAACCATCAACGATCAGCGAGCGCCCGAAGAGTTCCGATTCTCGCCCAAAGAGCGCTGTGAGTAGGCACTCCAAAGGAAAGGAGAGCTTTTCTTCAATCGAGAAAACACCAAAGGCACAAGATCGCGACACAGCCTCGGAATCAAAGCGAGCTAGTATAGATAGGACCTCCAAGTCATCCGTCAAGAGCAAAGAGGATAATCCTGTCGAAGACAAGCCTTATGAGGATAGTCTCGCGCCCTCAGAGTCCGATTTACAGCCATTCTCCGACGGTGGCTCTGAAGTATCGGGACTTAATGCACCTGTACCGCTTGGCCGTAAGAAGCCATTCCCGAGCACCGGTTACCATCGTTTATCAACGATTGTTTCCACGGAAAGCTTGAGCACCACTCTTACAGATGGAACTGACCACGTACCGAAGTCTACCTCTACCGAAAAACGCAAATCAAAACTTGCTGAGGAAGCAGAAGAAGCAGAAAGGGATGACCAGTTCGATCCAGACTCGCTACCTGTTGTCTCCTCACAACTGAAAAGACGGCTTACCACTCACAATGACCTCATGTCTGTGCTATCTGTTTCGGCTTCGCGGAGCAGAAGTACCCGGTCGAATCGGAGTATTCGCACCAACAAAAGTCGTCTGGCCCACGCGACAGTTGACGATTTGCTCTATGAGCTTTCGGGTGACGAGACGAAGTATATGCGCGAGCTGAAAACACTGGTCGGGGGCGTGATTCCGGTCCTTTTGACTTGCGTGCTGTCCCGCTCTGATTCGGCTATTGCCGCAGGCCTGTTTCGGCCGTCTTTGGACCCCCAAGACGACGTGAACTTCTCAAAGCCAATCGTCAACATGGGAGTGGCGATCGAGCGTCTCAAGAACCTGCACAAGCGAATCCCGCAGGACAACGCGGATGCCTTGCTTACATGGGCGCAAGGGGCCCAGAGAGTCTACCGCGAGTACTTGAGGGCGTGGCGTCTTGGATTCAAAGATGTCATTGTCAACCTGGCTCCTCTAGAAGAAGATGACGTCACGAACGATGCTGACACGAAGAGCCTGGATGAGGGCTTGGAGCGAGACGAAAATGGCGACTTTGTAGACGGCAACGGGGAAAAGGTCGATGTGGCCTATTTGCTGAAGCGACCGTTAGTACGTCTTAAGTACCTAGCGAAGAGTTTCAAGGGTATCAATCTACTGGAACCGTCCCCAAAGGCTGAAGAAACGGCTACCGCCTATCAAAGTCTTGTTATCGATGCCCGAAAACGCGTCCGCGATGAAAGAGCGAGGTTGGAAGATGACTCTGCTGCCTGTATCGACCCAACACGCACAAGAGACCCGATGACCTTGGGCGTCCTCCACGGGATCGGCATTGATCAGACTCGCCATGTCCGTGCTCGCGACTTCTTCAATCTGTCGTTGTATCACTCAAGTGGACAACTTGTGGATTGTCGAGCCGAGCTTTTATATCGAGACAACGCCTCGAGCAAAGGGCCTGGAGGTGATCTTTTGATTTGTGAAATCGATCATTCAGATCGCTGGCTTCTGTTCCCTCCCATGGACCTAAGATGTGTTTCAGCCCGCAGAGGAGAATCGAAACATGAGATCGTGCTCATGCTGCGCAGTGCTCCCGGAGATGAAACTAAGTACTGGCAAGAATTGATCTCGCTCCGCATTGACGAAGAAGAAGTTGGGTCTGAGTGGGTTTCATTGCTCGGATCTGACCCTATTCCGCCATCAATTTGTCGAAGCCAAAGCTTCATCAGCCGAGCCAAGCAGAACAAGGCTCGCAAGCCCTCTGCCATTACTTCTCCGCCCAGACCACACCCGAATGACATTGATATCCCCATCGGTGAGAAGGCGACCGGTAAACGACGCTCGTGGACCCCTAAAGAGCACTCGTCTGAGCCAAGTACGGTCACCTCTGCTACCGATGCCAGGAGCTCTTTGTCCTCAATCGTCACTCGGGAGACTGATTACACCACTGGAGGATCCGAGTTGTCTGCAAAACCCGCCCGCCCTGACCTACCTCTTCTTCCTTCCACGGCTCCCAGGAGCTCGCCAACTAGCCCGGACAAGACTCCCACCGGGCTCAAACGATCCAAGGCGAAGAGGCTTTCTCGCTATGGTGACAGCCAAGCTTCCGAGACTGCCTCTCAGCAAACTGTTGTATCCGATAAAGCACCCGAACACAGCGGACCTGCAGTTGCCTCTCCTCAAACTCCAAGTACGCCAACGGGAGGTAGATTCTATGGCGAATCGGAGGAATCTCCAGCTAGAGGATCACCGAGAGAAAAGTCGCGTTCGAGGATTCCTCAGCCTCAGAAGACGCCTGTCAGGGAACCCGAGCCTGAATCTCCTAGGGTTTCATCTGTTCCCTCAGCAACTCTCCCATTGATTCCCAAAATCCGAACCCCTAGCAGCCAAACTCACCTTTCCACTCCGACAAGCATCGGCCCCGAAGATGAGGAAGACTATCCTCCACTTGAATGCTTGCCCAAGCAAGAAATTCCGGAGACACCAACAAGAACTAGGAGAAGGAAGTCTCGAAGACGGCCAAAGGATGATGACAGTCCCCCCCCCCCCCGCCTCATCGCTCGCCTAGCCCTGCCAATGGCAAGCGCTCTACTCCTCCAGTTCTCACTTCCAGTGGTGGTGGACTCAAGCGGCGTGGCTCTTCTCCCCTAAAGCACGAATATGAACCCTCTACAGCTTCAGACTACTCAGAGACCGACTCGGACGCGTCAACAGTGCGCCACTATTCCTACTCATCATCCGAATACTCAAGATCCGGTGGCTTTACTGACTCAGAAGATGATTACTCCTCGGTATCTGAAGACGAAGAATATCTTACTCCCAAGCCAAGAGCACCCGACGCGATTACCGACGCCAGTTCTCTCTCGCCTTCTAATTCTGTGTCGCAGAGTGGCTACCGTGCTGTGCCGCTGCAGCCTACCAAGACCAACAAGGCCACTGCATCTGTCTTTGCCTGGTCCGACAAAGGCAACTGGGAGCCTTTGCTTCCTGACGAATGTAGCATCGTCGTTAGTCCTGGTCTGATCGAGGCCTTCGCGGCGGGCTCTGAGCCTGATGCAAACTCCGATTCCACATCATCAAGACCGCTTATCTCTCTTGAATTGACACCACTCGTTCCTATTCGCCGTGGCACCGCCATCGATATCAGTATTCGCTCTCCTCCCACCGAGCGATCCAAGATCACATCCAGCAACAACATCATGTTCCGGTCTGGCAACCCCGATGAATGCGACGCCTTATATGGCTTAATCAACCAATCAAGAATCAACAACCCAACATATATCGCCCTCCAAAACGCCCGCGGCCCATTCAACGGCCATGTCTCTACCTTTGAACCTGCACCGAAATCCGGCGGAGGCCTGTTTGGCTGGCCCCGCCGCAGAAAGAGCTATCGCGCATCCAGCTCCCCACGTTCTTTAGCGGAAGGATCCGAAAGCAGCGTGGGAACAATGAGCAGCGCGTTCTCGGCCCTCAAACGCTTCGGCAACAGCAGCAAAATGTTCAACATTTCCCGCTCAACCATCGAATCTCGCACCGGCCGCGAAGGCAGCATCTACTCCGGCTCCGGTGATTCCGGCAACGACCCATCCCCCAATTCGGGCATAGGCCGCATCGCCGCAGCAGTCAAAGGCGCCGACGGCATTGGCCTCTCAAACGCCAAGGTCCGCCTTTACGCGCGTGAATCCGCCTCCAAGTGGCGCGACATGGGCGCCGCCCGCATGACCATCATGCCAGCACCACCCAAGAACCCCTCCCGCCCCGGTACTGGCGTCAGCGGCCGCAGCGACAACAGCTCCCCGCAAGGCGACAACGCCGACAACGCAAGCGGCACTTCACCTCCCACATCAGGGTCCGCCTCCCCGCGCGGCGCTATCTCGACTGAGAAGCGCATCGTCATCCGCGGCAAGACACGCGGCGAGACTCTGCTTGATGTCTGTCTGGGCGAGAACGCCTTTGAGCGCATTGCCCGCACGGGAATTGCAGTCTCCATCCGCGAGGAGAATGATGACGCTTCCGTCGCGCAGAAGGGTGGCGTTGCTACTGGCTCTGGCAAGATATTTATGATTCAAATGAAGAGTGAGGCTGAGGCGGCTTATACCTTTGGGCTTGTTGGCAAGCTCAGGTATTGATGAGTGATGTTATGTGATGTGATGAGTTGATGTTGGGTTTGTGTTTGGGTGTATGTGTGAACGGGGTAGGGGTATGGTTATGGGGTATGGGGGGTGTATGTGTTGGCATTTTCTCTCTTTTTACTTTTCCTTTTCTTCTTCTTTTTTTTTTTTTTTTTTGCATATCTTCAATCATTATTAGCTCTTTTCTTTTGTACATTTAGACTCAGCTGAATGATATCCTGGCCGTGGAATAATGCAATCGTGCCTAACTTCTCTCTCTTGCTCTCTCTCTTCTTCATCCTCTATTGTATAGAAGCAGGTTATGATTTTCAGGATCCATGACCTTGATATTGAGCCCTTCAATCGTACCTAGTCTAGGTATGCTATTACGTTACACATTTATCTCTGCATGTCGTGTTTGAGGTGCTTCTATGTATGTCATTCTAGTCTGGTATATATAGTATAGTCCAAAATAAATGAACATGCATCATAATACATCATCTTAAAGGCTATTCCAGCCCTGCAAGACACAGAGCAGTCTAACTCCTCATTTCCGCCCCATTACTCTTCTTGAAAACATATCCAATCAAGTTACACTCATCCTTCAGCATTGAAACCAGCACATCGTCATCAATGGCAGCTTCAAGCTCCTCATCTTCAGCCCCAGCCTCGGCATTAGAATCGGACTCAGCTGCAAGCAGGGTTGGATCAATGTGCGAGTACTGAGCCAAAGACTGGTGCATCTTATCTTTCTGACTCTTCGTATCGCCATCCTTCTCTTTCGTGCCCTTCTTCCCCTTCCCAGCCATCTTAGCCCGATAAGTGCCGTCACGGATAGACTGTTCTTGTTTCTCCATATCGACCTCTGAAGCTTTGACAAGACTATGAGGTTTCGGCAGCGACTCATCCGAATCATAATCTTCATCCCCATCATCAAGATCAGAAGGAGGATCCGACAAATCCTCAACCTCGGACCCACCCCCCACCATCAACAGTAGCAGGCGTCACAGCCCCAGACGAAGCCTCAGAATCAGCCTGAACACCCCGTCCACCACACCGACAACCCAACAACTCATGCGTCTGACAAGCCCTGTCCTCATCAAGCCTGAACAAATCCCTCAGCTCAGCAGCTGAGAACTGCGCACCACCATTACTGGTACTCTTCTCCTGCATAACACTATCCGCAAGACCAAGCTTGGTAACCTGTCTCTGCCAGATCTTCTCCTCAAGACTACCCTTGAGCAGAACACGGTAGATACGACAAGGACGTTTCTGGCCGTCGCGGTGAATACGAGCCATGGCCTGAATATCCGTTGCCGGGTTCCAGTCTACATCGAAGAGGATGAGACGACTCGCGCCGATCAGGTTGAGACCTGTGCCGCCTGCCTTTGCGGATAGCAGGAAGGCGAAGCAGGAGCTTGCGGGGAGACGGTTGAAGTCGTCTACCAGGCCTTGCCGTTTCTGGGCTGGTGTGCTGCCGTCGAGGCGGAGGTAGGGGAGGCCTAGGGAGGTGAGGAGGGTTGCGAGGAGGGAGAGGGTTGAGGTGTAGTTTGAGACGAGGACTATTTTCTCGTCTGTTTTGTTGCGCATTGTGTCGAGGAGTTGGTCGAGGACGCGGATTTTCGCGCTGGAGGAGGGGGATAGATGGCGGTGGAGGGGTTGGGGGATGGAGTCGATGAGGGCGGTCATTGTTTCGTTGGGGGTGTTGTTGTTGTTTTTGGCTGTCAGGAGAGATGGGCTGTTGCTGAGTTTTTTGAGGATTGTTATTAGCTGCAGGGCGCTTTCGGCGTTACCCATTGCGGTTTGGAAGATTGGGGAGGCGAGGACGGCTTTGTAGATGTTTGCTTGAGGGCGGGTTGGTTTGCAGAAGAGGACGTATTCGGTCTTTGGGGGGAGGTATTTGGCCAGGATGTCTGCTGTTCGGCGGAGCATGAATTTGGAGGTGAGTTCTCGCAGCTCCTCGCCTCTGGACTCTCCTTTCTCGATCTCCTTCCTCGTTGCTTCTGGCTGTCTGCTGCGAACGATTGGGGTTTCGAACTCTCGAATGAAGGACTTGAAATTTCCCAGTATCCCTGGGTTAACAAGGTCCACGGCTGCAAAGAACTCTCTCAGATCATTTTGGATTGGTGTGCCGGAGAGGATGACTCTCTTCACAGCGCTGAGCGACTGGATCGCTAGACCACTCTTGTTCTGCAATGTCTTGAGCCTGTGACCTTCGTCCGCGATAATGATATCGACTCCAGAACTATTCGCCAAAGCTTCCTGGACCGTTCTGAGCTTTTCATATCCAACAATCATGATACTATAAGCCCGGCCCTTGGTGAAATCCGTAAGACGTTTACTCTTATCATCAAAGACAAAAACTCCAATGCGCTCGTTGCCGAGCCACTTGCGGAACTCCTTCCGCCAGTTATTGATAAGAGTGACAGGACACACAATCAAGGCCTTCTTAATAACAGGCGGGGCTTCAAAGACAGGGTTCTGCTTGAGCAGAGTCCAAAGCAGCGCAATAGTCTGCAAAGTCTTTCCCAAGCCCATGTCATCTGCGAGAATGGCACCTTCACCATTGAATGACCGCATGCCCATCACACACTCATACAAAAACTTCACACCCTCACGCTGATGCGGCCGCAAGTTCTTGGTCAAGAGAGGATCAACAACAACATCCACAACCTGTCTCCCCTTCGGCACAGACTTCGGCCGCGGCATAACCAATGCACCAACGGCCTTGGGATCATGACGCGGAACGACCTTCCCCATAACCTTGGGAGTAACCGTGTTCACAAGCAGCGGCGCCTTATAAGCCGCAAACGTGGCCGGTGCGGTTCCAGGGTTCGCATTTGGGTTAGTAACTAGAGCCAGCGAGCGCTTGAGGGACTGTGTCCGCTCAGCAGCGGTAGGCTTGCGTACTTCACCCTTCTTTCGAGCGGGGAGAGCTTCTTTCTTCGGTGTGGGCACCGGGTCCCGCGTGGAGGTAGGTGCTGGCTTCGTGGCTTCCAGGAAGATTCTGCCGGAGAGGTATTCCTTGCGCGAGATCTCGGAGTCTATTTCAACCTCTTTCCCGGCGATAGACAGTGTTGTTCCCGGCTCGAGGCGGGCTTCGTGCATCTTCCGTCCCATCTCTTTTCCGGCAATGTCTCGCAGAAACACGAATTCTCCGCGGGAGGAAAGGATTCCGTCTCCGTCCCATGTTTTGTGCTTTTTGGCGCTTGGTTTGCGCCTGTCTGGGTTAGCTGATTCGATGTAATTGGTACTCATCCTGTGAGGGATCAACGTTCCGAGGACCTACCAAAGAACATTGAAATATCTTTCGTCGGATGTATCATCTTTGGTCGATTCACCGGCTGCTGATTGCGTCGCACTGTCTGGCCCTCGATTATTGACCTGTAGGAGTAGCTTTCGACTAGCTATCGGTGTTGATTGCACCTCCTTGGGTACTGGTTCGTCTTCGAGGCGGGGCTTTTTGGTAGGACGACTGGCCTCGTCGGGAGTTTCGGTCGATGATGTAGCGGGATTCCTAATTAAAGGGGATTTGAAGGGTTTGAAGACCATGACTATGCTGGTCTTTTCTTCCTTGATCAAGATAGCGTTTGGATGAGGACGCGACACGGGCGCGGGACGCGTAGTCACGTGAGTTGGTAGATCACTCTGGTGCATTAAAGGACTGGGTCTAGAATCAGAAAATACTTGATGTGGATTAAATATTTAGCTATTAATAGTGGTATGGAAAGTGTGCGTATTCAGAAAAAGTGTTTGGACAAATGAATATGAATTATGCTTTTACAGTAGCTATGTATAGAGTCGGAAAAAGCCCAACACGAATAGAAATGTACAAAAGGTGTATATAACGTTTAAGTCGCATCATGAAAAAAGAGCGTTTTATAGCTGTGCAGCGAAGAAAAAGCTGTGCCAAGCAAAATGGTATACGCAGAATAGTCCTTCCAACATCCCCAAGTAGATTTACCGAGCATCGTCGGCCAGGGCCTTGTCGGTCAATGGGACATGCTTCGGGCCCACGTAGGAGCCCTTGTGGATGAACCACCAGATAGTAACGAAGATGGACAGACCTCCAGTCATCAGACTGGCATAGTTCATCGTCGCGGCACTAGTAGGCACAACGTAAGGGAAGCAGAAGATAATGGCGAAGACGATGATGTAGGCACAGGACAAGGAGTTGACGACATAGCCAATTCTGTTGTTCATGAAGAAGTATCCAGGAACGAAAGACGAACGGCGGGTCAAGATGTGAGGGAAGATGGCCATGAAGTACGAAAGACTGGACAACTGCACGAAGCATCCCACAAAGGCGCTGAAAGCGGTGGTCGAGCCAAGGTAGATGCATGCCAGGATGGTGATGAAGCCACCGCAGACCAGGGTGGCGTTGAAGGGGTTCTTAAACTTGGGGCTGATGCGTCCAAGCCATCCCGCGAATGGAGTGGCGCCGTCACGAGAAATGGTCCAGAGTGTACGGCCGGCGGTGATGTAGCAGCCGCAGGCAGTAACAAAGGTAGGCAGGAAAGCGACGACCAGGAGACCGAGAGCGCCGCCATGGGAGCCGGTGGCTTGGCGGTAGATCTCAGCAAGAGGGAAGAAGGTGGTCGGGTCGGTCACCTTGGAGAGGTCGTTAATGGAATAGAAGATTGCGATCATGTAGCAGATACCAGTGACGAAACCGACACCCATCTGGGCCAGGATAGCCTTGGGGATATTTCGGCTCGGCCTATAAGTTCAGGTCAGCATTGATAATAGAGGGAATGGGAAAAGAAGAACACTGACTTTGGGATCTCCTCAGCCAAGTGAGATGAGCAGTCAGGGGTGCCAACACTGTAAGCACCGTTGAGCATACCAGCCACAAAGACGAATCCTTGCTGGGAATAACCGGTTCCGTTCTCCCAAGTCGCCCACACGAGCTTGTCGGGGGCATATCCAGAGCCGGTCACATGAGGCATCACAGCGCACACGACGATAGTAACGAACACACCGGCGAGAATGAAGAACATGCCGAGGTTTCCAATGTAAGGAAGGAAGCGGTTCATGAACAGCACAATGCAGCAGCAAGTCCAGGTGCAGAGGAGGAAGCTGACGAACACGTTCCATTGTGAGGGCACGAAGTCAGGATGCATCTGCACATACATAGCCACAGTCTGTTGAGCCAGAATCAAAGACATCGATGCAGCGCCGAGAATCCAAGCCAGGCAGTTCCACCATCCAGCGTAGAATCCGCACACGCGACCGTACTTGCTTCCCGCAGTGATAGTTGCCCAATGGTAAACACCACTGGCTGAGGGCATACCCGATGCCAATTCGGCAATCGATGCGGCGACCAACCAGTAGCAGACAGACACAGCCATGCTAATTAAGGGGTTAGCTTTAGTTTGTTAGACTGGTAAGGGAGGGCCGGTATACAATTCGTAGATAGTTCCTGCAAGTCCACCGTTGCTCAGAGCCACAACAACACTACCACCTTGGGCAATCCATGTGTTTCCGGTGGTCACTGCCACAGCACAAATACTGATAAGACCAAAGTTCCGCTCGAGTTCCTGGCGATGGCCTGAGGCGTTGACCAACTCTCCATCCACTGGTCCATCATTGGTATAATCGGGCGTAGGTGCGATCTCCTTCTCAGGGACGTAGCTGACCTCCTTCTCCGGCGAATAACTGACTCCACTCCCAGACATATTGGACGTATTTTGGGAATTTCCCTAAAACCACACCGCAATACTCCTTGACGATGATAACGAGGGGCTTCCGGAATGCACCTCCCAGGCGTACTAAAGAATGATATGGGAATAATCGATGTGAACACAGATGTTAAGAGAAAAAAGGAGCAAAACTAGGCGTACAAGGTATATTATCAAGTCACGGCAAAGCCGACCTGATCGGCTGGTTCGACAATCCATGAATTCCTCCCGACCCCACCCCTACTTTCTCAATCTTTGTCCAATCAGCGACCACGGAGGCACATCATTTGGTGGCCAACTGGTTCGAGTGGAGTCGCCCCAGAATTTCTATTGGGCGAAATCGGAGGCAAGGATGTTACATTGTACTCCAACGGAAACTCTCACAGTAAACGCGGCTGCATGGCTGCATTACGCTTAACCTAGAAGGGGAGCTTCAGCAGAAAGGAATTTTCCATCCCCCTTAGGGTCCATAGTTTCGTTTTACTTCTGCTTCATCTCTACTTCTTGCTTTTTTGGGAGATTGGGGAGATTGGGGCTCTTTGGCGGGTCAATTGACCCCAGACTCTGCTTAAAATGATGTTCATCGATACTCTAAATAGATGTCCATCTGGACATGTTCCTTGGAAGTATGCATGTTACATAAACATAAAACATCCACGAATGGCTCAAACCTCCGATATTTCATGCATGTCCTCCGTACTTCGTACCCACATACAAATACAAAGTAACCACTATTACAGACTTTCTTCTAGAATCCCCCCATATTTGAATTGAAAACTATTATTTGCAAGTGAGACAAGCCTAAAAAATGACCACTATAGTACCTGGTAAGCTAAAGTGCAAAAGTGGACTAAATGCGAATCCGAATAAATCCTTTACTAGCCCAGAGACATAACATGCCACCTTCCTAATCATAGAGTCAAGTAATTTCAAGTAGCATTGGATGTGGACACAAACAATCTATGTTTGTCAGGCTAAAGCGACAGGGGTGTGTCTCATACAAGGGTATATAGCAATATAGGGCTAGAGGGTGGTCTTAGATCAGCCTCTATACCCACTTAAGACCAGGGCCACAACATAAAGTACTCAATCCATCGAGAGTCCATCAATTGGAAACTATCGGGGGCAATCGAGAGTCCGGATCTCTTAGTCTTGAACCAGAACGTTCTCCGGAGGTATACTCCGTAGTGCAGCTGAGTGTGGATGCGCAGACAAGGCGATGTCCGATCTTAGCCTCAATCTAGTGGGCATAGTGACCTAGGAGACTACGTGGTCTAATCGATATTTCGCCTCTAGACCAATTAAGTACTATCAGCCGTGTGGCTCATTAAGGACTAAAGTAACCTTAGAATGAATTAATTTGGAGTGTAATGCATATTTCGGCAGTGAAGAGGTGAATAAAGTCTCTTGTTCCTTCATGCGTGCTAGAGTTTAGCGCACAGTAAAAATATGAGACAAAAGTTCCGACCATTCCGATCCTTCGAAGCTTACAATATCAACTTTATTCCAATATTTCGAACCCAGTTACATTTTCAGTGCAAGTTGTACTCCGTAGTATGATGTACATATCTCGAACTTGCCTCTGGGGAGGTCCCACACTCCATAAAAGATTAAGGAGACCTCCGTTCCGAGTAAGGATCCGCCCCGTTTCCACTTTCCAAAATTCACAAAATTCCCTCAAAAAGAAAAGGCTCGGGCCAATTAGCGTCTCATCCATGGATGTGGTTGGTTCCCCCCCCCCCTACTTGTGCCCAGGTGGTTAGTGGCAAACTCAAAATGTCTCAATGCCCGATCTAGCCGGTCTTCATCCACCCTGGGCAGTTTCGAGGTAAAGTCTACCGACCACAATCTCAGCTTCTACAAAGTATATCCCAAAGGACTATATTCTTGGATCTCTCCGGGGCTTGAATATTGAGTTACCTTGTTGTAAACAAAACACTCCTTGACAAAACCTTGGAATATTGGCTGATCACCCTCTCGGCTCCTCCACTGTGGACCTTTCCCCCAGATAGAAAGAGCAATGTCTATCTTCGCTTAAGTGATGGTTTACCATGGTTATTGGGCATACCAATTTACAGATGTGCTCCTATGTTGTATGTCCTCTTGCCTAGTCAAGCAGGTGGGTAACAACTAGGTTCGTTATGGATCTAAGTAGTAAAATCCTGCCTACTAAGATTGGGTTTTAAAGGGCTAATAAACTGTAAACCAGCTAGGATTTACAAGGATTAGAGGAAACTCCAGAGTAAGCAAAGCACGGTAAAGTGGACCAATGACAAAATTGGCAGTCACAAATCAGAATGCAGTCATGAAATCAATTTACCAAACTAATCCCATCCAAGGAACACTCGCCATGAAAAGTCCCCACCGTCCAATGGTGATTCTCTGGGCTCTATCTTGAGTGATTGGCGTTTTATCCTCTGCATTTACCAATCTTCGAACCTATCACACTTCGAAGGTTCTCACACACTTCGAACCACACCCCTGGCGGTACGATCATCGGCATATGCAGGATCGGTACTTGGAACCCTACTAGTATACATAGTATTTCATATCCCGGCTAATTTCACAAAATGTGAGTGCGCCTCTCAACTCTCGTTTTTCCCTTGGATCCTGTTAACCTCTACTCAAATAGGCCAGGGATGTCTGGCTTAGGAGGTCACTTCGCGGTGGAATTCGCCCGTGAAACATGGGCTCTGTATGCCGTCGGCGTACTGGGTGCCGTCTTGCGATGGTAAGTCTTGATTGAATATCCCAATATACAAACACCTACTGACTAAAGATTCTTGACAGGGTTGCTCGTATTCGACGTTTAGGCATTCGCAATCTCCAGGTCGATGACTATCTTATGCTCTTCGCGGTAGTTTGGTATACGATCCTATGTGTCGCTCTAAATGAAGTCGCTTCCGGTGGCGGCTCGAATCTTATGACCGAAGAAGACAAACAATCGTTGACGGATAAAATTATCGGCGAACGAGTGCGCGGTAGCAAATGGGTCTTCGTGTCGGAACATTCCTTTATTCTTTGCGTCTGGAGTTTGAAAGCATGCATGCTGGTGATCTATGCGCGTATCACGTATGTTGAAACTCGATATTTGGAGCTTGTTCTTTTCGCTAACACCAACCAACAGTGAAGGATTGAAGCAGAAACGATGGATCAACTATGTCGCAATCTACGTTGCCCTAGGATTTGTCGCAACCGAATTGTCGCTCTTCCTGATGTGCCGCCCATTAACAGACTACTGGGCCGTCGTCCCAACGCCAGACTACCAATGCTCGTCCTACCAATACTACGAAGTCGTGCAAGGTTGCATCTCAATTTCTGCCGACATCTTCATGCTCCTCATCGCCATCCCGATGCTAATCCAAGTCCGCGTCCCGCTCAAGCAAAAGATGATCCTGACGCTCCTCTTCGGCATGGGAATCTTCGTCATCGTCGCCGCCGTCCTAAACAAAGTGTACTGCCTCGTCCCGTCTCTGATCTCCTACGTCTACATGAACTGGTACTTCCGCGAAGCAACCGTCGCCATCCTGGTCACCAACCTGCCTCTGGTCTGGTCACTCCTTCGCGACGTCTTCCCCGCCCTCAAGAGCTGGACCGGAGGCTCCAAGCGCGGCACCGACCGCTACAAGTCCGGGCCCTGGACCAGCAAGGGTGGCTCCAATATACCTCCCTATGGCCCGCCCAGCCATGCGCGATCGGGAGACTTCGGCATGCAAGAATTCGAGGGCACCACCACGATTACCCCGCAAAAGGCGACTGCTTCTGATATCAGTCTCAGCGAGGAGCGCGATGTGAGCAGTGACGATGGCTCAGCCCGTGCTTTGCGCATTCGTCAGGATATTACCGTTACGGTGCAGCGTGATTCGCGGCCGTCGGATTATGAGGCGAATTCTTCGCGCATTACCCACGCGCACGAGGAGGTTTAATCGACTCCTGTTATACGCTGAGAAAAGTATCTTTTCTTTTGTCTCTTTCTTATGAATACACGAACTCCCGGAGGGCTTGATACCCGGTCCTGTATTATTTTGTTTCTATTTTGTCTGTACATATTTACTTCTAGACGCTTCTTTTGTTTCTCTGCTTTGTTTCTCTGGGATTGTCGAAAACACCTGTTTCTTAGATATAGAGTTTTCTCCTTGAACATACCTCACAATGAACTAAAAGTCCAAACCGATGAATTGCATACGCCACTACAACTTGAATTGCGTATGCCACTGTAACTACAATCTCCACCTTCATTTCCACAGAGCATCGAACCTCCCAAAGAAGAGCCTCTGCTCCCAGCCACCCATACCCAAACCCCGCGGCGAGTGGGTTAACCGCTTTTCAAAGACAGATAGAACCCTTGGGATACATTCCATCACAACCTGCCGATCTCCCGGCACCTTGCATTAAGAACAGCCGATCTTATCGGCATCTGACGGCGACGCTCTAAGCTGGGAAGGGATTGACCCCGGGATTTGAACAGCCGGGATTAGCCTAAGTTCTTTGACCTCTGCAGGGAGGGAGGTGGTTGGGTGAACCGGCGAACATGACTCGGGCGCAATGGAGCCTTTCCGTCGATATTAATCACCCGATCACCGGTTCTGATAACCAGTGCCTGGGCTTAGGCTTGGAATGGCTGGGCTGGAAATTATGTGGCGTTGCTGGTCTGTATATTCTCGGGCTATTGTGAATGCAAAGCTAGGATGGTTCATGCCTGTAATTATTATCGTACATAATAAGTTCCTCTCCCTACTCCATGAGAACATCATACGGAAATCATCCACAGACTATACATCCTACAACATTGGGCACCAACAACTACAATATATGTATCATATGGCGGTGATTACCCCGAAAGGCCAGTGTCCGACGTCGGCGATGTTGATCCTAAAAAGGTAAAATGGGCAAAAAAAGGGAAACCTTAGTATTAAACGAACAGTGGTTCATCCTCAAGGTTCCCGCTCCACCAGTCGATCAGTGCACATCAACCTTGGAAAAGCTGGTCAAAGCCGCCAAGAGTCCACTTGTGCATCCACGGATGCTCTATGTTGTACTGAGATTTCGCGCTGGTACCATGGACAAGCTGAAAGCTATCTCTGGATGGCTTGGGGTCGGTACCAGAACAATGCTCTGGATTTTCGCGGGATCTGCATGGAGAGAGATGATGACGTGATAAGGGGGGAATGGAGTGATTATCAATTGCCGTCGGTCATATCTTGTACGGCTTCATTTACTCCGTATGTCTTACTGATCTGGCATGGGAATTGAAATGGATACCTAGGTATTATTAAAAGACCTTTTAAGCGTGAAATCTCAAACTGTTTCATTGAAAAGACCTCGGGATTAAGCCGCGTAAGTCCCCTAAATCTGAGTTTCAATTGAGTTTCGGCGACCCAGAGTTACAGCGCGGTCTCCAACTTCCATATACTACTGTGCGCGTGCTACATACTTTGTAGGTATAAACTGGACCATCTCATTCTTCTAGATGTCGCTTGGAAGCCGAACCATGTGTATTTGGTCTCATTTTGATCTCATTTTTGAGTGAAAATACGATCACCTATCCCTATTCTAGTAACTTGCACGGATAATATTCGGTGTTATATTATGGTATGTGCTGAAGGATTCACTAAAAAGTTAGTCTCAACGGGCTCGGTAGTAATTGCATGACTAGGATGAATTATACTCCGTACTCCATATTCCTATTACAATTGTACACAACTACATACGATCATAAAGTGGATCCCCTAAGCGGAGCACTACAACATATGTACATAACGCCGACAACCTTGCAAGTTCATCTTTTCCCGATAAGAAAGGGGTGGTAATTTCCTTTTCTTTTTCTCCATTCTTTTTCTTTTTTGCTATTTTTTTATCCTTGTTCCTTGTCTCTTCTCTCGCCTCGGCCGGAGTGACCCGGTCGACCCCACCGTCAACTCCGAAAGACCTCACTCTTTAATCGCAACTATGTTGTATACTCGCTCTGGTCTGAATTTTTAGTCCCCACTCTATCTTTGCATACAAAGTATGTATCCTCTAGCTTAGATGTAGGCTTTTGCTTGGGCTAGTTAGTTTAGATGGCTACGGGATGCTCACCCGAATAGGAGTTTTGTCCGGCGATTCAGTCTTCAGGTTCCAGTACAAGTTAATGTATAACGTATTCCACATGCGAGCTGGACATCCCAAATCACATAGTAAATGCGATAAATTACAGCTTGATATCTCAACAACGGTAGTCTATATGGAGGTTCTCTAGTAGCTTAATGCTTTTTATGTGATATCTAGCTTCTCTACGGAATTTAGACAATCTTCATGACTTTGTAATTGCGATATATATATTCCGAGCTTTGGGCAACGTAATTTTCAATACCATGATAATGCAGATTTTCAATTTTCTTAAAATTGATATATAATGTTTAAACGTCTTATCAACAGCTATTGACCAGAAATGAAATTAAATACAAATGTGGTTGTCGAGATATTGTGTTCTGGAAAATCGCATTTAGTATGGTGTGTTGGGGTGTCCAGCTCGCTTGTGAAGTACGTTATATACTTACATATTGTTTGTTGCATGTTTTGCATATGCAAGACAGGCAATGAATCCCCGATGTAACACTACAACACACATGGCGGCGAATTGTAGGGCTGTTTGCCTTCACTCTAACTACATCTCGTAGGTACGCCGGCCGCCACGATGCGATGGAGATGCAGGGGTAGTTGCTAGGAACAGTGTTTGATTTGCTGTTGGCTACGGGATATAAGATGGGACTTTCGAGCCCGTTCGGTAATCCCGGCAATTCCGGCAATTCCGTTCAGGTACCGAGTATATATCCTTGTATAATCGGGTCGTCGAACGCGGCCACCAGGCGGTGTCCGGGTTCCCGGGCGCAATGATAACCCGGGCGCAATGATACTTTTTTCAACCTAGCCATCTTCATTAATTCACCATTACCCCAGATCTTCATATTATGTCTCAAGAATTAGAAGACCGCATTATCAAGGCTTTAGAAGCATACCATGCTGCTAAGAAGCCCAAAATCGCGTCGATCGCGCGGGAATTTAGCATTCTATACCAAACCTTTAGAGGGCGAGTTTAGGGTCGGAAATCTCGAGCGGCCCAAACCCTAGGCAATAAAGCTCTAGAACCTAAGCAAGAAAAGGCCTTAATTCTATAGATTGATACCTTAGATCAGGCCTTTTCTCCGCTATTAGTAGCGCGAATTTAGGGTGCTGCCTTACAAATTATCTAGCGTTATGATCCTTCCCGAACCCTAGGAAAAAACTGGGCTTACGATTTCATCGCTCGTTTACCACCGCGCTTTTAAAATATTAAGCAAAAACCTATAGAAAGGGCAAGATATGAAGCTATTATACTAGGCTTTCTTGTTATATGGTACGATCGCCTACAAATTACGATTAAAACCTATAGAATCACCGAGAAAAACCTATACAATTTCGATGAAACTAGGTTTAGAATTGGCGAAGGAAAGACTGAAAAGGTTGTCTCAGCCTAGGGCAATTCATCGAATTCTACTAGTGGGTAAGCCGAATCGCTTACCGGTATTAAATATATCTCTACGGATAGTTGGGTTATACCGCTATAGTTCTTAGTGAAGGGCCAATATCATATAGAAAGCTGGTTTATCGAAACCAATCTACTAGATAATTATACGATCGTTCCAACCCTAAATGGTTGGACTAACGAGATCGTTAGTTTCGTATGGCTTCAGATCTTCGATGAATTTACGTCGTTCCGTGTTAAAAAAGGGGAATATCGTCTTCTTTTAATAGATAATTATAGTTCATATTTGACCTATAACTTCATTGAATTTTGCTAGTAAAAACGAATCATTCCTTATTGTTTTATTCTATATACGACACACGGTTGCTAACCTCTTAATGATACGCCCCTTTTAAGTCTTAAAGCATTATTATAAATAGTCGAATAATAATGCTATCTTCTAGGGTGGTGATCCGAAGTATAAGGCTGAATTCTTCGCCGGGATCCACGATATACGGACAAAATCATTAACGAAGCGCACTATTCGATATAGCTTCCGAGAAACTGGTATTTAGCCAATTAATTCAGATAAAGGCCTTGAGAAATTAGGCTTAGTTAACGATAGTCTTCCTAATATGCCTGGTTTTATCATTTATAATATTACTTCCGGAACTACACCACCACCACCTTCAAGTTCACTACCAAATTCACCGCCGGCGACCGTGTAAAAGCTAAGAAAAGCGAGCACTAAGGTCATAAAATATATCCAAAATGATACTACAATTTCTCCGAAGGTACGAGATAGTCTTTCTCGGATTTTAGCGGGTGGGCTCGCTCTTACCAAGGTTAGTGCTCAATTCGCGGAGGACAATATGCGGATTCTATAGCGGAAAAGGTAGTCGAATACTGCTAGAACAAAGCGCAGGCTTCCGGAACTAGGCCCTCGCCTAGTTAAGGACTATAAAAAGCATATTTCCGACCGTGCCGACCGAGAAAGACTACAAATATTCAACCGGTCGAAGAAAGTATGGCGGGACGCCGCTATTTTAAAAGCAATTGAGGACGGCGACATTGAGGATACAGGTGAAATTCAGGAGGATCCCGATACAGAAATGGCCCCAGAATGGATAGATAATCTTTATTATGTTGATACTACTGGGGATGTTATTTAAATTCAATGAATTAGATGGACAGGTTGGAAAAGTTATCATTGCGCCCGGGTTATCATTGCGCCCGGGAACCCGGACACCGCCTGGTGGCCGCGTTCGACGACCCGATTAGTAGGTTACATCGCTTGAGGCTAGCGACAAGCTAAGAATACCTCGGCTCGAGTGTTTCAGTCCGAAGAGCTTACCTAAACATGTTCTGTATTGGCGAAAGAAGTCAAAAAATAACATTGTCCATCCATCAGAAAAACTCATATCGTCGAAGAATTCCTACACTCCTTGTCTGCTAGTCGACATCCAAAAAATATTTCTATCACAAGCAACTTACACACTCAATCATTGAATCTTAATTCTCGGCCCCTCTCCAATCCCAAACCTAATCTCACTTTTACGCAATACTTACGGAGTGAGTACTTGGTACATATATTATACTATTGAAGTTTTAAAGCAGGATTTATTTAAAGTTTGGATCACATAGATGGATCTTGGATCTGGATCTGGTCCGCACAGACGCGCAGCCCTGCGGGCCCTCTTTCCTCTACTACGCATAAACTGCACGGTCCTTGAATTTTAACATACTACGGTAGTGTCCAGACCATTCAGCCAGATGAGGTCGTATTTTTTTAATCCTCGGGTTGCCGTGGGTGATAAGAGGCAACATAGTCGAATCCTTTCTAGATTTATGTACTCCGTAAAGAGATATATCCATGGATATTATAATCAGATGTTCTATATCTCACCAACTCAAGCCCCCAAATGGATAGCATCCTGTGGTGCTTTTCTGCTAGACCGTATTTGCGCCCCACAGATCTGATACGCAAAATATAGGCCGCGCTATAGGGACATATTCTCCGGATCCCGACCTAACAAGCAATACTGCTAACGTATGATTGAAGATGTTTATACTAACATATTCACTAAGGTGATTTGATCATTGTCGCCGGTGTTGCCGCTTAAGAGGTAGTGGAGGACCTGACCTAGTACTTGATAGGGTCGGGAACCCATCAAGTCTAACAATATAACCTCTAATCCAAACATAGTGTCTAGAAGACAAATGAAGTAATGCAACAATATACCCTCCGGTCCCATGCAGCATCATCAGCCGGTAACAGGTCATCCCGCTTCTCACGAGTTGATAAATGTTGCTTTTTATATCAATTGGGATAGCTAGGTGATAACATATGGTACATGCGCGCAATCCAACTTGGTATCCGTCATGTTCCTTGGTTTTGTCTTCTCGGTTCTTGGTGATTGACCACCAAGAAACATGATGAATGTAGTCTATCGAGGGTTTTTGTGATAACCGAGACCTGAGGTACTTCGTAATCCGGTACTTCGTATTTCTTAACAATCAAAATATCTCCGAGCATTTCACTTCCCTTTGGTTTTCTCATCTTGACAGTTTGTCTCAATGGTTTCAGCCCACCAATCTTATAAACATGGGATTCCCCTCCCGATCAAATGTTTGTTCTTCGTAGCATGCGCAATCCACCTCAGCCCAATCAGAGAATGACTTGAGAAACTTGGCTACGGCATGGTGGCTATTTTGTTGAGCCAGCTTGATGGCCCTGATATACTCAATCCGGTCATTCCCCTCGATGAGCACCCCCTCGTTCAAGAGAAGTTGTAGCATGTCTAATCGGCCATGCTCAGCGGTGCCCTCAAGAGCCGTTCTTCCATATCGCTCAGCACCGGGGGCTTGAACGCTAGCACCAGCATCGAGTAGCTTGCGGGCAATTCCAAAATAACCCTGAATTGCCGCAAACTGCAATGCCGTGGCCCCGCTGTGAGACGCCGGTTCCTGGTTCACATTTGCGCCTGCTTTGAGGAACAAGTCCACAAGCTCCATGTTTCCTTGCTTTGCAGCCTGCTGTAGCGGGGTCATGCCGCCTTTTCCAACTGGTGGACCATTGACAACTGCACCTGCTGCCAAGACCTTATTCACAACCTCCAGATCCCCTCCTTCTATGGCGTACCACAGAGTAGTCTTTTCGTGCTTGGGTGTCGGTACAGCATGAATCCTCGCACCGGCTTCCAGAAGAATCTTCATCAGCTCCATGTTTCCCATTTCGCCGGCAAGATGTAACGCGGTTCCTCCAGGCAGAGACATCTCGTGGGTCTCGTTAATATCTACGCCTGCTTCCAAAAGCAAAGACACAATCTTATTTTTCCCGGCCCTTACTGCAGTCTCTAAAAGTGACTGTCCTTCCGAGTTTTGCAGTAGACCATTAACAGCAGTGTTGGCTGTCAGGAGAATTTTGAATTGTTCAATGTTTCCATGCTCGATGGCGTATTGCATGTACACTCGGCTGTTGGTATGGTCAACAATGCGGTCGATGGCCAGTAGAGTCCGCAATAAGAGAGTATTCCCTTCGCTCAAAGCAACCTTCACGGGGGTTAAAGGCCGTCCCATGACATGGTAAATAAGCAAAACCTCTTGGTGTATATCTGCATCAACATCTAACAAGTCCTGCACAAACTGTCTGTCCCAAAAGTGAAGGCTTAGTGACAAGGCGCGTCCTTTTTCTTCCCTTGTCCAGATAGTTGCTCCCAATAGGGTTTGTAAAATTTGCCGGTTGCCATGTATCACTGCCAATTCGAGCACCGATTCAAGGAGACCGCATGTTTGCTTGACACGGTCAAAATTCCAACAGCCCATCATCTCGTCGGTGTATGTATGGTTTGCAGGCTTGGGCTCCAAAATCTCTCGAGGGCCGTCAATATACAGTTTTGGGGCACCGCGTGGGTCAACACCGGCCGCCAACAAATGATGGATAGCAGCTTCGTCATTTGATAGCACGGCCATTGCAATTGCAGTTGGAGAAGAGAGGGAAAATCGCCCGAACATGTTGATAAAGCTCAGCAGAACGGAATGATCCTGGACCATCCCTGCTCTCCACATGATTGCATTTAGTTCAGCCTCAGTCACCCATCCTCCGCGGCTGAGGATGATTTGAGCCAGGCTTAGATTGCCAAGGCACAATGCTGCTTCTAATGGGGTGTTGACCATCATCTTTGATTTTCCGTGCGCATTTTCGATGTTTCGCTCCTGTAGATCGGCTCCATGGCTCAGAAGAAGGCTTGTCAAAGGCTCGTTCTCCGCGAGGATTGCCTTAATAAGTATCATTTGCCCATTAGTCCGAAGAAGCTGTGGTAACAGGTTGCTCTTCTCCAGAAATCTTGCGGTCTCAACGCTATCGATGGAGGGAATTGCATGGCTCTCTCCTGTCACCCCTGCGCTTTGTAGCAGAGAGAACATAGTCCAATTCCTTCGAGTTATGGCCAAGCCCAGTGCACTATTAGGAATGCCCTTACGAAGATCATTTGCTCGAGCTCCGGATTGTAGAAGTAGTGCCACGGTCTCCGTGTCGTCTTGTTTGACGTGCTCCCACAATTGAGAGGAATAATAATCTTGCATGAGCTGTGCCCCTGCCTCGGCTCCATTTGCCAGGAGAAGCTGGCAAATGGGTAGGTCATTTGCTTCCAAGGCTCGTTCGAACAAACTTCTTTTTCTCTCCCCATCTGACACTTCGTATATTTCGGCGGCTTGGATATCGGCGCCTGCTTCCAGTAAAATCCTAGTGGCTTCTTCCTCTCTTTTGATAACAGCCAACGCCAGTGGGTGTATATAATTGCCCGAATTGTTTGTTCGATTGACGGTTGCATGTGCTGCTAGAAGTATATGCATCATTGGGGTATCTCCTTTGGACGCTGCGACTCCCAGTGTGGTCGTTTGGTATGCCTTGAGTGATTTCCGCAAGCCACATTTTGACCAGCTCGATGTTCTAGGAAGAGAACTGGGGTAATACAAGCCCACTGAGTGCAACGAATCTGGATTTGCACCTCGTGAAAGCAGCAATTTTGCCAATTCTGCGTTTTTCTTATTGACAATGTATCCAAGTACTGTCATGAGGTTGCCTCGATCGAGTCTTTCTTTGATGTCTGCATCAGCGTCCATAATCATTTCAACAATATTTTTTGAACAACGACAATTGAAAGCTTTCCCTAACGCGCTTAAGGGAATTTTCATGCCCTTGGATATCAGAATTCTTACCAGCTCCTCATTGTTGAACTTGATGGCCCATTCGAGTGCTGATTTCCCGGCATTATTTTGATTGAGATCCGCTTTATGCAACAGCAATAGACGGCATATTTTGAAAGAAAGCTCATTGTCGCTTATGCGGGCTGCATGGACCAGCGGGCTAGAGCTTTTCCCTTCACCACTCATGATTGATATATCTGGACTCATCCCAACTTCCAGCATTAATTCAATAGCTTGAAAATCGCAAGACCTGACTGCGCTTCCAAATAATTTCTCCGCAATTGCATCTGCTGTTGCGATCTTTAGAGACACCAAGTTCCTCATGTTTGAGATATTGAGACTTCCAGAGATTCGAAGGAGATTTATGATGAGTTTGTCTTTTTTCTCACCATTCTCATCATTCTCACTGGTTGTAGTTGGGTCATGTGCAGCGTGCCCCAAAATTCGATTGTTGGACAAAAGAAATAAGGCGATTCGCAAGAACTCCTCTAGATACAACTCCCCGTTACTGTAGATCCTCTCAGATACAATTCGATGCTGATCATCATATTCTTCGGGCATGGTAGCATTCAGTACTGCTGCCACTCGAGAGCTGCTCCAGAGCAATTTGACACATCTGATGGGTTTCCAAGACAGCAAAGAGTCTAGTGATTGGGTCAGGCTCCTCTTCAACTGTGATCGCGAAAACCCAGTAGTTTGAAGAGCTTGTGACGTGGAACTAATTGCTGACAGAAGGTTTCCTATGGCGCATATTAGCAAGAGAAGAGTGATTCTTTGGTATCTTCTCACCTGGTAGATTCTGCGACACAGGTGTTTGAGAGAAAGCAAACCAAGGAAGATTTGGAGGCCACTGTAATTGCCATGTAGTAGCCGGTCCAGGAGAACAGACCATCACACCCTCGGGTGTTTTTGGAGAAGGTGCTAGGAAATATAAGCTACACGACCGTAGTATTCTTTGCGGAGTGAAACTGTACCTGAGGTGAACCTCGCGATGGTGGATTCGAAAGCCTGTCGTCCGATCTCATACTTCACTTTTTTAGATGGACAGAGAATGCCATCAATGTACACTTCACTTTCCTTGCCATTCTCTCGCTTTCTTTTTTCTTTGCGGTATTTGACGAACTTCCACTTCTCAGATGTCATTTGGTACTTCTTGAAGCCCCATCGCTCGAATGCTTTCTCATATTGGTGTTTCCTGGAAGTTATTAGCGGTGACACAATGGATAGCAGCTTAGGGGAACATGGTACGTTTTTCGAAACCCGTGTGTCTTTTCTATGATCCGACTAAGCTCCTTTTGGGTCTTGCCCTCGTGTAGATAGATCTGCTCGATCTGGGCCTTATAGGGTTCCCATTCCGTGTAATTCGTTGTTGTCGACATGGCGAAGGATCGATCAAGATGGGCAGTAGATGAAGAGTTTGTTAAGAGAACAATGTATTGTGGATGCCTATTTCAATAGAACTAGCTTCATGGCCATGGAGGTAACAGATGAGGCTGTATTTTGGGCATGACTCGCTGCACCCTAACTCACCGCACCGCAACGTGTATGCGCTGTGATTTGCGGAGGTCACATTCTCTTCTCCACTTAGGCGCATTGCCTGTGCTTTCCGGAGAGTGAATGATGATCTGACGGTAAGCAAATGAGCTGTTCGGGCAAGGCTTGATTGGTAGATGTCTCCAACAAATCGGATAGGGCGCTCCCAGCCTCCCATTATTAGCAAGGATTGTTATCGACACCCCCCCTTATGGTTAACAACGCCTCGCTGCCAATCCTGTTCTTATTGGATCATAACAAATTCTGCTGATCCACCTTTGTTTTATAGATTCAAGGTACACTCACATAGCTGCTTATTATGTGTGCAGTGAATTGGAACAGGTTATGTCAATTAAAATAAACAGATGTCCACGTACAATTATATAAACCCCCTTTCCAAGGGAAATCAGAAAATCATCTCATCTTCCAAACCTCAAAGGACCTCCACCTTATCTCTTTAACTCACGATGGCATCGTACAATATTTCCTTGGACAACTTGAGTCCCTCCTACGAATTTGGATGGGACACCAGTGGCTGTAAATCGCCTCCGGTCTCTCCTGCTCGCCCATTCTCTAATCCCTCGAGGGCAGGGCCATCCATGTCTCCAGGCCATCTTCTATCCAACCATCATCTCCAAAATTCGTCCGCACCACTCGAACCTAGCTTTTTGATGCCGGCCGCCTCGTATAATCTCGACTTATACCGCCCGAATCAGGATGTCACACACCATCCTTCGCTCGAGGGCAATGGTGCCGCCAGACCATTTCCTACAGACGGCGTCAGCTCGGGGTTTGGGACTACTACTTGTGCCGCCTCCCCATCCTCCGATTGCTCTGTACAAGAGATACCGCAACGAAACGACGATGGCGGCCATTGTGCCAGGGCTGGGATGCTATGTCGCCGTCGTGGTGCACGCAGGCAGAACTCGGGGTAAGTCTTCCATGTTCAAGCTCAGCATCAGGCCTGGGCATTGCTATTACAACCTTACTAACAACAGTGCTCTCATATAAGTAACAGCCACGGTACTTTCCGCTGCAACTGGAAGGACTGCTCCTACCCCGGCATGTTCTCCCGTAAAGGGGTCTTGATGCGCCATATTGAGACACAGCATGTCACTCCGCGCTCATTCGGTTGCCCTAAGTGTGACAGACTCTTCAGTCGGAAAGATAATATGACTGAGCACTTTGGAAGAGTGCATTTGGAAATAGTTTGATTTAGACGCTGGGGTTATGAACATCGACATGGCGAGAGTCTGTGTTAAGTCTAACCTAAAGCTAATCGGCGTTCATTGGTGTTATTGAGAGACATGAAGAGATAATGTGCTTTTGGTGGTGAGCTGGGACGATTGTCACTTACAATTATATACTCAACTCTAAGAGCAGTGCATGGAGTATGTTTTCAGGGTCGTATGAATCGCTTCAGTATGATAATTGACATCTGGACCAACGAAAGACTTGGAAAGGTTTAAATGGCGATCTGACTCGTCCTCAATGGTGCCGATTGTGAATGTTTGATCGGCCTGTAAAAACGAACAGATATCTTGGATCAGCGGGGGCGGAGAGAGAAGAGATTCCGCCTGGATTTCATTTTCGTTGACCCGTATGACAGGGACTGAAGGTGTAAAGGCAACCTTCTTTCTCATGGCTCGTGACGGAATGTTGCTTCCGGAAGAAGATGGCTCCAGTGGTGTCTCCTTGAGTACTCTAGCTAACTTGCTGAACTTGGACGTGCGTTTCGCCGCTGTTTCCTCAAACTTCTCCTGCACAACCGTAGAACTGATAGCTTGATGAACGTAGCTAATTGACGCTGATGAGACTTCTGAAGAAACAGTTGCAGAGGGCTGTATCACCACTTCCTGCTTTTTGAGCGGATCATGTGGCTGACCTTCCTCTCCCCCAACAACGAAGAGTATGCTCAGACTTATCTCTTTGGTTGCGACACATATGCTGAGATGGGCCTGGTGAGGTTGGCATTTCTGGCTCTGGCATTTCCAACGCTGACTGGGGATGTTATGCACAAAACAAGCGTGTTGACGGATCTTGTCGAAGAGAGTAACGGGCGCCGATGAGGTTCGCTTGTCTGAAATGGGAACAATTCGCTCGTTGTAGCCAAGAATCTCTTGTAATCTATAATTCACCTATAACTAGTTGTACAGGCCAGTTATATGTTCCCACTTGGGACACATAGAGAATCTGTATTATATATAAAGAGGAGATAGATATCAAATATTTAGAAAACAAGACAAGTAGAGCCCCGAGCGTAAATAAAACGCGATTTTGAGATACTCGAGACCTTCTATACCGATGTCGGAAGTTATAGTTCACATTGACGTCTATCAATCCAATGGAAGAGTTGCAGGATACCAACCTCACCATTCGTCTATACTCAGATCTTGCACGGCAATCCTTCCAGACTATGAAGTCGATACACACCAAATTAGTGTACTCGCTATGGATGTAGTTCAGACCAAATTTAAATTCCTCATTCCGAACTCACTCGGCTACCATGGTGGCCTCGAGTTCGTAATTACCTTTGACCTAAAATAGATTTAGGAGTATCCATGGGTTTGTTTGGATTTCAGAAAAAAACATTTTGAATAAACTTAAATTAACATGATCACTGCAAAGGCTGATAAGCCTTCGACTCAAGGACGTATCCACCCAGCGAAGAATACATAAGTGCATGAAAAGAGAATGCGAAGAGATAGTGCTAACGCCGTGCGAACGTAAGAAAGCGAAGCCGAAAAACAAAACCATAAAAGAAAAGTCGTGTATCATCTCATCATCGCTGGGTATGTTCAAATCCATTTTTTGTGTTTCGCGTTGACGAAAAAGGAGACCGTAAGAAAACCAGATCTGTTTAATCATACAGATCAGGCGTGGCTGTGTTGTCATCCATCTCAGCGTCGAGATCATCCTCGTCCATCATATCATCATCGCTTTCGTCACTGCTCTCACCAAGCTCGTGGTTAGGCAGAACATCGATGCGACCGTCGCGCATGATAACACGGGCGACCTCGCCATCCTTGATGCTTCCGCGCAGAATGAGCACAGCGAGACGGTTGAGGACCTCACGCTCGATGAGTCGGCCCAGTGGACGAGCACCGTAGGCTGGGGAATAGCCTGCTGCGCCGAGGTAGTCCTTGACTTCCTCCGTGCACTCGATGGTGACATTGCGCTCGTTGTGATCGAGCCGCTTCTGCACCTCGGAGAGACGGAGGTCCACGATCTTGCGGATCTCGCGTCTCGTGAGACGGTTGAAGATGACGGTGCTGGAGATACGGTTGAGGAATTCCGGCAGGAAGTAGTTGCGCAGTGCTTCCATGACCAACTCACGGGTCTGGGGGTCGATGTGACCGTCCCTGGTAGTGGGGCGGGCGAGATGTTGGGCACCCAGGTTGGAGGTCATGACGACGATGCAGTTCTTTGCGTCGACAACGCGGCCCTGGCCGTCGGTGATACGGCCGTCATCCATGAGTTGTAGGAGGACAGTGAGGACTTCCTTTGCGGCCTTCTCGACCTCGTCGAAGAGCAAGATCGAGAATGGGCGACGGCGCAGGCTTTCGGTAAGTTGGCCACCAGCGTCATGGCCAACATATCCGGGGGGTGCACCGATCATACGGCTGAGCGAGTGTCGCTCTTGATACTCGGACATGTCGAACCGGATCATTGCCTTTGGATCATCGAAGAGGAATTCGGCAAGCGCCTTTGTGAGCAATGTCTTACCGGTACCAGAGGGACCACAGAACAAGAAGCTGGGGGGTGAGTTAGGGTTACTGAGACCCGAGCGCTGCAAGCGAATGGCGTTGGAGACCGAAACAACGGCTTCCTTCTGGCCGATAACAACCTTGCTAAGGTATTTCTCCATGTTGAGCAGCTTGTCCTTTTCAGTGGTCCTGAGTCTCGTGACAGGGATACCGGTCCACCGGCCAACGATTTCATTGATCTGATCAGGACCAACTGCATCGGCAAGGAGTGCTTCACCAGCATCGCCTGATTGGGCGCGACGTTCAGCATCGGCCCTGGCCCGGTCAGCCTCGAGACGCTCGATGAGGGCTTTGGTCTCTGGGATGGCGTAGTATTCGAGATCAGCGGCTGTCTGGGTGTCGCCTGAACGTTCGGCTTCGTCGCGCTTGACCCTGAGAGAATCGAGCTTGATCTTGGCTTCCTGTACTTCGCGGCTGCGTTGCTTTTCACTTTCGTACTTCTCGCGCATCGGCCGGAGCTCCTCACCAACATTGGCAGCTTCTTGTTTGGCAGCCTCAAGACGAGCCTTGGATGCGTCGTCCTGCTCACGTTGAAGGGCATGAATTTCGATCTGAAGCTGGCGGGCCTTTCTTTCCAGTGTGTCGAGAGCTTCTGGCTCGGATTCGCGAGTGACTCGGACAGCAGCTGCAGCCTCGTCAATCAAATCGACCGCAGAATCGGGGAGTCGACGAGCTGTCAGGTAGCGAGACGCGAGATTGGCGGCAGCGACGATAGCTCCGTCGAGAATGTTGACACCATGGTGAGCTTCGTACTTTTCCTTCAGACCACGAAGAATAGAGATGGTCTCTGGGACTGAAGGCTCCTTGACAAGGACCTGCTGGAATCGTCGCTCAAAGGCCTGATCTTTCTCAATATACTTGCGGTACTCAGTGAGAGTCGTGGCACCAATACAATGCAACTGGCCGCGAGCCAGCATGGGCTTGAGAAGGTTGGCAGCGTCCATACCGCCTTCGCCGCTAGATCCAGCGCCCATAAGCAGGTGGATCTCATCGACGAAGAGAACGATGGTATCCTTGGAATCTTCGATTTCCTTGAGAACACCCTTCATACGTTCTTCGAATTCACCGCGGTATTTGCTGCCCGCAACCAGAGAACCGACATCGAGAGAGAGAAGACGGCATTGAGCCAAGTTGGCGGGAATATCGGCGTTGACAATGCGGCGAGCGAGACCTTCGACAATGGTGGTCTTACCAACACCGGGCTCACCGATAAGCACAGGGTTGTTCTTCGTCCGTCGACTGAGAATACGAATAACGCGACGGATTTCCTCCTCTCGACCAATGACTGGATCTATCTTGCCCTCCCGAGCCAAGGAAGTCATATCAATGGTGAATTTCTTCAGGTTCTCATTCTCGCCTTCCGCATCGGCGGTCTTGGAGTCGACCCGCTTTGTACCACGAATTTGCTGGATAGCAGTGTCGATCAACTTGAGGTTGGGAATATTGGCATCGCCTAGAGCACGCTGAACCTGTGAATCTTGGCAGACAGACTGGATAAGATGATCAACCGCAACAAAGCTATCCTTTTGTGTCTTCGACAAAGCGGTGGCTGATCGAATGACTTTGGAGAGTTGGGGAGAAACACTAGGGTTTTCTGGAGGAGGGTCTTGACTCGGTAAGCGGACCAGTAGCTTCATCAGCGATCGGTCGAGGAGCTGAGGGTCGCCGTGAGCTCGATCGACGACCTGTCGGAAGAGAGGCGCGGTTGAGGAATCGTGGGAGGAATGGGCACCAGAAGGAGTCTGTTGATCTTCAGACTCATCCGGGGCGGGGTTGAGCAACGCGACTGCCAGGTGGAGAGGCATAATCTGGGAGTGTGCATATTGCTCGCAAAGGCCGCTGGAGTCCAGCAAGGCCTTGTTGGCCCGATCTGTGAACTGGACGCCGTTCATTTTGAACGGAAGAGTAGGGTAATGTCAATAGGTGTAAATGCTGATGTTCGAGGGATGGGATCGTAATAGTGTAAGAGTAGAAAGTAATTGAGCAAGTAAAATTGGAGAATATGCAACTTGAAACACGATGATGCAAGTTCATATACTCCTGGCGCGTGGGGTGCCCGAAGCTGCCATTAGGTCCATGTCGTCACTACAGGCTTCCACCGCCTTCCAGAAGCTGCCTGACGTTGCTTGACTTGCCTGACATTGCCTGACAGCGCCCAGACACCGGAGAAACTATTACTCCGAGATATCTATGGACCACATACATAGTGTAGCATGTCACTCTCTAGTGAGATGCACTCAATGACCCTTACAACAGCTACAACACATGCGCTATAGTTATGTACATATGTAGTCAATTGCCGTCCCATTCAATAAGCCAAGATGTTGTCCACGGGTCCACGGGTCCACGGGTCCACGGTCCCGGGGGTTATCTGGACTCAATTACGCTGTATTGCATAAGGCAACCTTGGAACAGATAGTACCGCCTGGGCCTAGATTGTGCTCGGCACGTGATATATCAAAATCAGGCCACGTGAAATGCACGTGAGACATAAGCACGTGACTGTTTTATTAATGCTGATCTAAGCCCTATTTGTTCCGAGATGAGGTCAGCAACCTCGGATTAAATCGCGCAAACCAACAAACCAGAACCCTTGGATATCCAGGCTCCCCACGTTAGAGAGATGATTCGGCGGTGATGCCACTTTGAGATTTCGTGCCTTGCAGTGGAGCATTGAAACAACCCAGTCCCACCGGCTCCTCCTACCCGCAAAAATCAAGATGAGAACAATCTGTGTTGGAGTTTACGATGTGCCACTGACGCCTGCCCAGGCACCATTTACATAGCTCTATTTACCTCCTGGCATGCGTCGCTTACGATTTATATCGTGTTCCACGATAGCCGACAGAAAATGTCCCACAGTTAGTGAATGACGTCAGGTGGGACATGGGCAGAGCAATAAGAATTCGAAGAAATCGATCTCGAACCTTGCCCAGGATCGGACCCCCTGCAAGTTTCTACTCAACCTGGGCCGAGGGATTTTTATATACGATTTATCTGTGTTTTCGATTGGAATTCATCACCGTTTAGGAAACCAACTTTCACCGGGCTGCATGGAAGAGGAGTACCGTCTCAGCTGACGGGCTAAGACGACTGGACCGTGGATGGTGGACGCATCCAGAATTGAAGATCGATCCACACAACTGTCCACAAGTTGTTTTCCCATTGGTTATGCCATCACGGGAGGTGGCCTCAAGACTTTTCTTTTACCTTGTTTCGTGTCTCCTAGGCTGGAGGGGGAAAGGAAAAATAGAAGCGGAAAGGTTCTGCGGGGCAGAGAGGGGCGAGAGGCTTTATGGCGTTCATGATTTCAACGTTGCTTCTCCGGCCCTTACCTAGGAGGCATGTTGAAGCTAAAGTTGGACACGGACTCGAGGCTTTCCAATGGATTCTATATGTACATTGTATACATATGCAGTACTACATGTACTACTTCTATAATGAATACTACTATACTAACAATACTACTATGTACTACGGGGAGGGATCATGCTGCTATACTATACCCTATGCGTAAAACCTCAGGCTAATTCGTTGATCTCCCTCTGGCCTGCCAGATACGATATCCCATAATTATTTTCCAACATTTCTTTTCCATGGGTAAGGGTAATAACCAACTCTGGTACCTCTCCGCCTCCCGAGGCTCCCTGAAAAAATAAATAAAATACAAAAGAGACGGTTATTAAACCTGGTACCTATGTCATTCGTTCATATAAAGAGTTTTAGCCCCCCTCTGCATCCTTTTTCATTATTCTCACGCCATAGTGATTACAGCTGAGACCACTAAGAGGCTCTCATATTCGCTAGCATAGGACGCTTGTGAAGACTCGACCCGCCACCCAAAACAGAAAATTTCTGTCGCGCCACAGCTTCAACGGCTGTATTTGAATTATCCTTGCGTTAATTGATCAGAATTGATCCACTGCAAGTTTATTTACGATTACCTTTCGTGATTTTCCCTGAAACAGAACCTGCAGATTGCAGTTATCTCGGTCAATATTAAATATTGCACGGCATACAAGAATGTCGAACAAGCCGATCTTTGTGGCTACGCATCCGCGAGCATGCTCGACGGCCTTTGAGCGAGTAAGAGATCCCGAGAGATTCTGATAATCAATTCCATTCCAAGCACATATCTGACGGACTATAGGTCTTCATGACTCAGCGTGATACTATCCAATGTGTCCATGAGCCATTCGGCGATGCATTCTACTACGGTCCGGAGCGACTCTCCAGCCGATTCGCAGGCGATGAACATACACAAGAACGCCTGGACAGTGGATTCGCCAAATCGACATATAGTACCGTGATGGAAAGGCTCGAGCGAGAAACTACTCAGGTCCGACCCTTCTTTCTGCGAAATCTCTCGCGTTCTTACACATCCCCCTCGTAATGCTCTTCAAGTTCTCCCCTGTGGATCGAACATGAGGGAAGATTCCTTGCCTGTTTACATTTTCTTTTGTTATTTTGCACCGCAGATGTAGCCCGAAGCAATCTGTTCCCCTCTCCCTCTACAACTGTAGATCACAGACTGGCTCCGAAATATTGAATGATGGAGATCCGCACGGTGGAATGGAATATTTGCACTTTTTGAGGGGATGCTTACCTTGTCACAGGGAAAGAGAGTCTTCATCAAAGATATCGACCACTACCTGCTTCCACCGAATAGCCAGCCCGCCAGCATCGCCCCGTCTCTACTGCGCGTCAAGAGAGGAGTCGGTACCAACGGCGACTCGCATAAGGCCAACGGTGTGAACGGTGCCAACGGTGCCAACGGCACTGCTAACACCAACGGCCACTCCGCCGCGCCAAACGGTCACACAAACGGGGTTAACGGAGCCTCGAACGGGACCAACGGCACGGCGAACGGTGTGAACGGTCATCACGAGATGAACGGCCACACCAACGGCGCGACCAACGGAGCTTCCAAGGAACCCTACCCGTACGACACGCCCACAGAGCCGGGCAACCCAACGGTGATGCCGCGCGAGCTGCAAGAGCAGTTCCACTGGGCATTCCTAATCCGCGACCCGCACTACAGCGTGCCGTCGTACCTGCGGTGTACGATCCCACCTCTGGACGAGGTGACCGGGTTCCACAACTACGACCCGCTGGAGGCCGGGTACGACGAGCTGCGCAGGCACTTCGATTATCTGCGAGATAATGGATTGGTCGGGCCCCTGGTTGCAACGCGCCCAGACTTGAATGCCGAGGGTGATGTGCAGGCAGCGACTGGTGTCGAGGTGTGTGTCATCGATGCGGATGATATGCTCGACCAGCCGGCGAAGACCATCGAGGCTTTCTGTAACAGTGTTGGTCTGCCGTACCGACCGGAGATGCTGACGTGGGATACCGAGGAGGAACATGCCGTTGCTCGGAATGCGTTTGAGAAGTGGCGTGGGTTCCATAATGATGCTATTGAGTCGAAGGCTCTGGTGCAGAGAGCTCATGTAAGTATTTTTTTCTCATTCTTCACCTGGTGGGGTGGGGGTGGTAAGGCATTGGGACTTGAGCTAACTCTCTTCATAGAAACGTGCAGTCAAGACCGAGGAGCAGTTTGACGCCGAGTGGCAGAAGAAGTATGGTGAGAAGAAGGCTGCTCTCATCCGCCAGACAGTCGATGCCAACATGGCCGACTACCTGTACCTCAAGTCATTCGCCGTGAGGGTTTAGAAGGGGGAATCAGAAACTCATTTCCTGACTCTTTGCACTACAAGGGAGTGAAATGAGAAAGGAAAAGGAGAAAGGGGGAGCCGAGGGGCACCTACCCCATATTATTTCTTGTTGTCTTTGTGAGACATGAGAATGAATTAGTCCGGATGGCGCCATCTCCACGGGGATTGGTTGATGACCATGACGATCTCTGCATGTGTTCTTCAATTTGTTGAATGTTATTGTTACTGGTTTTATGTAGTTGGCTTAAGATACAAGTACTGGCTATTATTATCTCCATGGGGTATGGCGATGTCTTATTAGCCTGAGGCTGATGTTGATGTTTACTTCCCACCTGGGCAGTTCCTTCCTATTTAGGCCATTGATAGGCCAGTAGCTCTTTCCTTATCCACCCCCCCCCCCCAAAAAAGTTTCACACGGAAAGCCAGGAAGGATCGAATCGTTTCGAGGTTGTCTTGGTTCAGGGAAGACGACAACGTCCCTAAGCAGTTGCTCAAGGATGTTCGCGACTAGCAGCCTTTGTCAATTTCTCTGAAAAGTTATAAGTCTAGGTGATACGAGGGTCTGCCCGCCCACAGCCATTCGCAACCAGAGGTACACCGGCAAATCCGCCCTATTTTACTACCTATATCTCTGTTATCATCTCCTTTGCTTCAATTGGACTGTGGGGTACCTATGCGAAAACCTGAAAGACGTTGTCGAATACAGCTTCCACACAAACACCGAGAACGATGAAACGAGCACTAGGGAGCAGTGACCAGAGGCTTGGTCAACTACGAGGAATGCTTGGACCTAGGGATCACCGATATATGACACAGAAGGAGAAGCTGTTATAGTTGTCATCTGACAATCCAAAAAAAGGTCCATAGCAGTCTGCAATACCCGCTCGAGAACATTATGGTTGGGGCTTGGTCTTACAACGTGTTATGGAAGAGTAAGCTCACTGTGAAGAAGCCGGTCGAGGGTTCTCGTGATATCCAAGGAAGAAACTGCGCAGCATGTATCCTAGTCTGTTAGAAGACCGGGATGTTGTGTGATGAATTGTGTGGTCGAAAGTCACGCTCGGAAGAACTCCAGACACTTCCCGTCCCTTTCCTTGGGCAGCCCCCAGTTATTACTTATTACCATTAGACCTATTGGGAAGTGAGCATCTTGAGCACTACAACTACTCCTATGCGAAACGGCAAGGCCCGAGGCAAAGGCCGAACGACACCGTCTCTCTAAGCAGAAAACTCGCGCCCTACGAGAGCTACAATCACGAGCCTAACAGTCATTCCAAGATTCACGTTGACAGAATCATAAATTTTTCGACATGTCAACATATTACTTGAAGTACAAATATACTATTGTTTTCTTTAAATTATCAAAATTTATGAACCAAAACACAAGTCAGCAGCATGGCCGTCTTGAGGCAGTGCTGCGCAGCCTATCTGTGAACCTTGGCGTCAGCCTTGAGGGCACTGTTCGGCACGTATAGAGGCATCGAATCTTCCCAGATAGAATCTGTAAGCACACGCTTATTTGAGCCATCAGCATTCATAACGACGACCTGACCATAAGGCTGGAAAGTCTGATCATAGAGAGCACACTCATACTGGAAGCCGAACATGCCAGAAGAGTAGGCAATGCGACCATCCCAAGTCCAGACGGCATGAGCATCATTGGCACCACTGCTAGTGAGAACCTTGATATCCGTTCCATCAGCACGCATAGTGCAGATATCGTAGTTGTAATCACTGGTCTTGCGTGTGAAGACAATTCTCTTTCCGTCGGGAGAGAATGAAGGCAGGTTATCCCACTCGGTACTCAAGACGGAGGTCTTGCGAGTTTCCAGATCCAGAACACGTAGTCCGAGCTGGGATTTATCGCCCTGAGTCGAGTTTGTTCCCCAAACACGGAAGACGATCTTTTTGCCGTCGTGCGAGAAGCTGGGGAAGCCGGAGTTGATCACGCTGCTGTTGCTGGTGAGGGTTGTGTTGCTGTCGGTCAGGACTTCGGAGTACGTGCCATTGGCAGTGGCTCGTACAAGCCAGCCGCCGCCGGTTGCACGGCTTTGGAACCAGAAACCTACTCCGAAGGTGACCCAATTGCCATCGGGTGACCAGGCCGGGTTGAAGGCGCCTGCGGTGCCCATGGCGACTGACTTTGCATCAATGAAGTCGGATTCCATGACGTTGTAGACTAGGCCCTCGTTGGTTCCATTGGCGTTTAAGGAAACAACGGAAGAGTTCCCAAGCTGTTTTTCGGTCATGGCGATATCGTTGGTGTTGGACAGCTGTGGGAAGACGTCTGTAAAGCGGTATTCCCACTCCGAGTCCCAGCTGTACAGGTTTTTGTCCATAGGACGGATAGTCCAGGCGGTCTTTTCATAGACGACCTTCTTGCCGTCTGTAGACCAGGCAGGAGAGCGGATCACCTCACTAGAGGTGTTCACAAATCCACCGGCAGTGGTGTGGAATCCTTCGGCACCGGCACCCTTGGTGAAGTAGGCGACAGTGCTGTCGGAGATATATTGAGGGAAGATTTTCACGCCCGCTCCTTCAACTTCCACACGACGGTCAGCGCCTGTGGCAAACTCCACTGAGACAAGGGTGGAGTTGGCGGAGTTGAGTGACTCAGGACGGTGAGCATTCCAGGTATTCTCACGAGTCATCTCGTAGAAGAGAATACGCTCGCTATTAGGCGACCACTTAGGCGAACCAAGACAGTAACCGGACTTCGACACGACACGACGGAAATCAGATCCATCGGGGCGGATAGCGTAGATGGACAGCTCTTGTGTATGTTCCCAGCCGGTCACACCACGAAGGATGGGGTCTCCGTGTCCGTACCAGCCCGAGTTACGGTCCGACGAGAAAGCAATCCATTGGCCGTCGGGAGACCACGAAGGGCGGAAGTAACCATTTGGAAGAGAATTATTCGCGGCAGTCGAGGCGGTATCTGTGAGGTTCCATTTCTTGCCACTCTCCAGATCCATGACCCAGATGTTGGCCTTGTAGCCATTGGCAGTGGATACATAGGCGATTTGCTTTCCATTCGGAGACATGACAACTCCATCTTCCACCGAGGAGGTTGCTACCAACTCCTCAAGGTCAGACCCGTCCGTCCGGACGCGGTAGATATCCGAATTACCGTCACCGTTCCGTTCTCCAGTAAAAGTAATCCATTCTCCATCGGGGGAAAAGGTGGGATGGTATTCGTAAATAGGGTTGGAGAGAAGAGGACGTTCATCGGTGCCATCAGCATTGGCAACATACAGTTCTGAGGTCCCGGGAGCAATGCGGTTCATATAAAATATGCCTTTCTTGTCGGACGGCGCCTTGCGCGGTGTGTGCATATGAGGCGGAGGCGTGCTCTTCTTTTCAAGGCTCATCTGCTCTGCATATGGGCAAAGAGCCAAAGCCGGCGGCAAGGCAAGGCCTAGTAGGGCAACTGAAGCGGAAAAACGCATGGTGAAAAGGATGAGTGCACCACAGTGGCTCAATGACCGGAGCCCGTTATTTTCTGGCACTGCTATACTTATACATAAAACTTCTGCAAGGGAAAAGGCCTGAAGGACCCATCATTTGCCTTCAGGGTCGTAGCGCAATTCTTACCTCCGACAGGCCCACCTTCGCGTAATGAAGCCCGCATTATTAGCGGGCCTTCATCTTATCTGATGAAGCAAGCTAGCGGCTGACCACTGAGAAGTCCTACACTATATTGACCCTTCATCTGATTGGTTTTATCAAATGAAGCTGTGACTTGCAAGACTCGAAACAAGGCAATGATCTTCATGGCTTGATATGGATGGAGAAAGTCTCTTCCGCTGGTTACCGGTAGAATTGTCCCTGTTTGGGACCCTGGTATACCCTGTCTGTAAAGGGTTGTTATCTGATGCGCCTAAATACAAGTATATAACGTCGAGGTATGCTGAGGGAGCCCATGCTGCAGTTCTCATGCACAACTGTCAACCCTGAATATGTCAAATAGGGCTCGGGTATAGGAACTAGAAACCGAGGGCCAAGTAAATTGCACGGAGGATATGACCTCTGGTCTTGCACAATATCCTGCTGACACAAGTAACTCCGCTTATTTCGTTCGTCAATATAAGCCACCGAATTTCCAAACTCGACGGCCGACGCAATTCCCCGTCTTGGCAACTACTACCATTAATTTGGCACACAGCAAACTCTGCCCCTTTCTGCATGTCCAACAGCGAAATAAATCCGTTGGACATACTCGGAGTCCGAAGATCGGTCGGGACTGCCGGTTCGAGGGGATGAAGTGTCGATCAAGGGTGGAGCGGTCTCATTGCAGTCTTGGCACTGGGCTTGTATTCTCGATGTTCACCAATGGGTACGAGGTTGAGGGCAAAGTGTACTCTGTAGTGCGGCTGTTGACAATCCTTACATATGAATATTTTGACCAAATAGGAAGGCACGCCTAATATCGAATACTACAGTTATTTCTAAATGGTAAATTGCCTGGTTTTGGGCAGTTCCAAGCGTTGTAAGGAATCCGTATACTTGAATCATAAGAACTCCCGCCAACTCGACAATAAGGATGGGGATAATCTAGAAGATATTGAAACATCTCCGGCGGCAAAGATGGACATGGCAGAATATGAGGATGGATCTCGCAGATGCTTGTGCTGATCACCGAACTCTGTTTGATATAATTATAAGTAAAACATTGCTTATGAGGTTGTTGCTAACTACTTAGTGCTGACCTGTCGCTGATGTGTCCAGACCGTCTTTGGTTGCGGTGGATATATATGATTCCCCCAGACGAGGAAGTGCTTTTGCGCGTGTCTTTCACTTCGAACGACATGCCCCAAAGCAGAAGCCTGGAAGCGTCGCAAGGAGATGAAACTGAATGAAGAAGGGAAGGGAGGATGAAAAAGTCAAACGGAGGAAGGAGGAAGCAATGGATGCCACAGTCTTGGGGGGCCTGAAAGGCTAGGCTTTCAAACTGCAAACCTCACCTGAAATACTAGGCTGACCTAATGCGGCATGTGACGAATGCTAGAGTCTAAACTTGGAAGGTTCTAACATTCTAGATAGCTTAAGCAACTTGTAGCGTAAAGGACGCGCAGATCCCAATAACTGGCCTTGAAATCATATCATTCATTATGGCCAAACATATAAACTCCTCATCTAGCGCCATACAAACTCGAGAAACATTTGCAGACTACCTGCAAGCAAGACATTGAACCCCCGGCCGAAACAGCCCAGTAAGAAAAAGAAGATATTGTATCTTCATCCAAAAGTACAAACGACTATAGAAACCAATCTATCCAAGCCAAGTTCCTTCATACGGCACTGTAACCACCCCGCGAGCCGGCTCCTTGCAAAGTATTGACCACACGGCGGAGCCAGTCCTGGAAGAGGTATGGGATATCGCGGATGGTGTCGCCGTGAGGGAGGAGGTCCCAGCCACGGGCGCCGTAGCGGTTGTAGTTGAGCCAGGAGCCGAAGATGAGGTAGGCGGCGATGCAGAGGAAGGCACTGAATAGATTGATTAGCAGGGCGTTCCAATGCGGAAGCAGGAAATAAAATGAAGCTCCTAGGAACTAAGAAAAACTCACATGATAATAAACCAGGTAAAGAAACCCCAGCTATTAGAGCCGGGGGTATCACCCTTATCCTTCTCGTACCCGTCGCAGGCGTACTTTGTGCGCCAGTCCAGTCTCAGGATGTAGGTATCATCATCCGACGGACCAAAGCTCTTGAACTGCAAACTACTGGTGCTGTTGCCCGACGGGGCACCACCTTCCTCACCGTCCGCTCTTCGTCGTCGTTCTTTCGTTTCCAAGTCCTCTTCAAGCGTATGCAGGCCCTCCAGTCCAGATCGCTCGTGGTCACACTGGAACTCGATGATAGCGCCTGCCTTCTTGGCCTTCTGGTCATTGCCATCTCCCTTGTATGATCCACCCTCCAGCCTAACGCGCAGTCCCTCGGTCTCCGGGTCGATATCCTTCAAACGCTTCAGTTCCGGGTTCTTCGAGCCTTGGCCAACGGGGTCGAGACCGACGATCGGGAAACCGAACGTAGAGCCGCCATTTCCGTCCTTTGATACTCGGTGCACGAATCCGCAAACTTAAAAAAATACAATAATCAGCGTGATTACCACAAGCAGAAGACCACTTCAACATGGTCGCGTCATGTCAGGCTGGAACGTACCGTTTTTGCTAGTCCCGCACGTCGCATCGCCGAACCGGGAAGCACCCCCGAGAATATTGCAAATATTCAATCGGTAGGTTGTATTCGTCACGTAGTCCTCTGTCGTGTCGGTGTGAGTCACCTCGTGGACGCCTTTTAGGGGACTGAGATCGTATTTGTAATTGTCGAGCTTGATGTGCGCGCAGTCGAAGCCGGAGGCAGATGCGAGGCTTGGTAGGAGGGTGGAGAGGAGGAGTAAAACTCCACTTGATTGTATTCGCATCTTGATCAATGTGGCGCTGGCTGGGTCACGATGGGTAGGGTGGAAGGGCGGATGAAAGCTGGGATGAGGCTTTCGCGCGGGATGGAGCTCGATAGCTCAGGTGGAGATGGTCACGAGGACAAGTGTACACAGGACAAGTGTGACCAGTGCAGTTAAATCAAAATCAGAGATATCTGGTTTCTGGGTTCGAAGGTCGCTGTGAAGTTGAAAAGTGACGATGACGGGATTGTTCCTGCGGAGGTGTTTCGTTTCTCCGGTGGCGGTGTTTAGGCACTAAAAGGTGATTATCAGCCTGCACTCAACTCGGAATGAAGATGCCTTGAGCTATTTGAAACTATTTCTGGAGTTTCATGACTTTTATCAAAATATTCTTTATGTTTCTTTAGAGAAAGTAAGAATACTATGATGTCACCCCCAGTTCCCGATGACCTACTCAACCCGATGTATGGATGTAAAGAAGATAGAAGCAAAATAGAAGAACTGATACATCCAAGAAAGAAGCAAAAATAAGGCCTGATAATAGTTTAAATCCTGTATATATATTGTATAGATCCTAATCCACCTACCACTTTAATATCAACCAACACTCATCCAGCTCATCGCCACGCACGGACCACCCACTCAACCCGATATCAAACGCGCAAATCAACCAACCCGCAACGAGGGACAAAACAAAACCCATACACAGAAGAACAGACAAATTCCCCAAAGACCAACCAAATAATCCCCCCACCAGACAGCCAAAATGGTGCAGCCGCGCATGGTAAGCCAACCCCCACCAAGCTCAAGCGCGACAAACCCCGCCAAAGCCGAGCTCTCAAGCTAACCGGACCAACGCGCAGCTCACAAAAGCGGACGAGACATCAGCCAATGATGAGAATGAAGTCCGTCGCGAGGATCAGGAGAAGATTAACCGGTTCAGTCGGTTGCATCAGCGCGAGACTGTGCTCGAGGAGCAGTTGAAGGGAAAGCAGGTATGGAGTTTTGACTTTTGAGGATCTTGTTTTCTGTTTGTTTTTTTCTTTTATGTATTGGATCTCTTGCTAACCGGTTTATAGAAGGATAAGGAGGACTTGGAAGAGGTTTCGATGGAGTTGGAGCTTGCTGATGAAGATGAGCTTGTGCCGTAAGAGATACCCTCTTCCCTCTCGTTTTTCTTTTTCTTTTTCTGGATATATGTTCCATTGTAACTCTTCTCTGTGATTCCCATCTTGGCGTGTTGCGAGGAAACTGAAAAAGAAAAGAGCATGAAAAGAAAAGAATCTATCACTAACAACCCTACAGCTACAAAATCGGCGACTCATTCTTCCAACTACCGCTATCAGACGCGCAAGGAATGCTCTCGTCATCAACAGAGAAGATCGACACGGATGTCTCCAAGCTGGAGGACTCGCTTGGTGAGCTGCGCGAGGAAATGCAGCAGCTGAAGGTTGCACTGTATGCGCGGTTTGGTCGGAGCATTAACCTGGAGACTTGATTGGGATGATTTGGATGTATTAACACTCTTACTTTCTGTCTCTTCGGACTTGTTTCTCATTCTTTTCTATTGTCTATCTAAAAAATGGGGATCCAGGTTTGACGATCTTCAATTGTTGTCTAGATTAAACACGCGGAATGGATGAACTTGATGATAGGTTAGATGGCATGGCATCTGCTTCGTATCTACTCATAATCATGAGTACATGGAGGTATAAATTTGTAGATTGAGCTGGATTTTATAAGTCAGATGAGGACCACGGCTCGTCAACGTCATTCAAACAAAACACAATAGTCATGAGGTATCTAAGGGGGCGAAAGAGGGGGAAAAAGGAGAGAAGAAAAGATAAAAACACAAACAGGAACCGCCAACGAAACAAGTAGGCAAAAAAAATGGCTCCACGAACCCGTGGCATATATTTAGGAACGGCACAGGATTCCGCAAGAATCAACACAGATAACGCCTATTCGCCGGTGCAGTGATGCCCGATCATCGGGGGGTATTTGACCAGTTCACCGATCCAAGACCAATGTGAGGGAAATTCAAATCAATAAAACTCAAGTCATGACCACACTTCTGTTCGCCGATGATGTCGTAGCCTCGTCCAGGGGGGTATATGTACTGCACGCGTATTTGTGTTTTCTTATGTGTTTCCCATGTGCGAAAGTTGGTAGATCACCGGAACTTGGCACGGCAGCGGCCCATGATCTCGTTCTGGCAGACTAGTTCGGCGCTGAATTCGCTGCCGTCTAGCGTAAGGTAAATATCGAAGTAGACACGGTAGAAGATGCCCTGTGGTGTGTCCATGCGCTCGAAGTCGGTCTCCAGGTTCTTGCGCGACAGATCGGATGTGAGTGTGACGACTTCTTTGATGCCTAAGAAAAGTATTAGTAATTTATACAAGAAACCTTGGAAATTTAATCTCTCAACTTACGTGGATCCTTGGTGTACTCGGGACAGACGTCCTCGTCACAGGCGTACAGCACATCCTCGTACATGAGGGTGGCGCCAGGTGCAACTTGACGGAAGAAGCTGACCTTGACTGGTTCGCCAATTCTGACACGCTCTCCCTTTTGGACGAAGATCTGACGGGTGTACTTGCATCGATCGCGGCCATCCAAACTGGGCACACGGTACTGTTCCGGGTGATAGCCTTCCTTGAATGGCTGAAGCGTGGCCATCAGGTAGTGCCGACGTGCTACACGGTGTGTGATGACCCGCTCGGTGATACCTGCAGTGACTGCACCCTTGACGATCGCAGCCACAGAGTCCATCGGGCGGACCACCTTTGTCTGATACTGTGGCGGCACGTGGAGCTTGATCTGCTGGAAGAGGTATTCTGAAGCACCAAATCCACCGACGACCAGAACGTTCTACGAACTTGTTAGCTCTGCATTGAAAAGTAGGCTGAGATGCTCTTACCTGGATCAGACGGTTCTGTGCTTGGATGGCGATAATCTGGTTGCGGACCAACTCGAGGATACGGTTCACGACAGGCTCGAAGCACTGAAGAATCTCCTCGTTCATGAAGGTCATGTAGCCCTCCTCGATACCAGCATCGGGGAAGTCGGCCTCGATACCCACATCCACTGCCCATTTTTGCCCGTTGTTGCGGAAGTCGGCCTTGATACGGTTCTCAAAGTCCATGATACACTTGGCGTAGACCTTGCCCGCAGTCCGAGAGCCATCCGGCAGCTTCATCTTACGGATCTTCGCGCGCAAGATGTTACTGAAGTTCCGATTCAGTGCCGTTGAACCACACGAGTCACCAGACCCGGCAGTACATTCCATCACACTGAAAGGCTGCTCTTCCTCGACCTCGTATGCAATCAAATCCACGGTACCACCACCGCAATCCACAATCAAAATAGCATCGCCCACCTTCAAGTTAAGCAGTCCGCTCTTGGCACAGAACAAGGCCGCTGCCTCGGGCTCTGAGACTAGTGTGAGGCGGTTATCGTTCTCGTCGCGCAAGAAGCCAGCTTGAATAGCAGCGGTCCGCGTCGCAGCCTTGCCGGCGTCGTTCCAAATCGCCGGTACCGTCAAGTAGTATCGGATATTGCGTTCCTCGCGCGTGAACACCTCTCCCAAAGCCTTTTGCAGCTGAGCGCGAATGGCTTGTCGTAGCTTGAAGAGGTAATCGGCCGCGACATCGATTTCAGACTTGCCCGGGGGGAGCGGGGGCAGGTTGATGGGATCAATATAGGTGTTTCCGGAGAGCATCAGCTGGAGCTTGAACCACTCGACCTTCTGCACTTGGGGCTTGGGGTATCCGGTCGGGGCGAGAGCGTCGGCGATATCGGGGCCCCATCCTACCACCTTTTGGTATTGATCGTAGTAGAGGACGGTGGGAATCTAGCAGAGAAGTCCGTTGTCAGACTCGCGTTCGTGGAGTATACTTGTTGGTCGCGCTCACCTTTTGTTTTGCGTGGGTTCCGGCCCCGGGCCATTCCGTGATGATGTCCTCGCTTGCCTGATTGTTGGTCGCAAATGCATATGCGACACCCGAGAAGGTTGTACCGAAGTCAATACCGACAATCAGTTGGGCCTTGCCCCGACCCCCGCCCTCGACCTCGACCGCAGGGTTGCGCCCCGGATACTGGGTATTAGACAGTGACGTTGGAATACTAGGCGCCATCTGCTGCTGTTGTTGATTGCCATAGCCCGGTGGGCCGTTCAAGGGAGCATTTGGGTATTGGAGGTTTGTGGTAATGGGCGGGGGCTGCTGTTGTTGACCATGCACCATTGGACTAGTTGGTCGGTTGTTTGTGTAACTTGGCGGTCGGCCTAACTGTGGCTGCTGGGGTTGATGGTTCATTGGAAGACTTGTTGTTGATGAACTGTGACCAGATGGGGGTGGGGAGCTAGGGGTGGGAGGGACAATCGGGTTGGAATTAGGAAGAGGTTTATGTTTGTTCCTAAAGCCAAAAGACTTAAATCGGGAACTCATGAGATCCATGTGAGGCAACAAGAAAGGGAAAAAGAGTAAGAATTGGGAAGGGGGGAAAAAGATGAAAGAGGGGGAAAGTGAGGCTGAGGTTGGGTAAATTGTGGAGATCAAAGAGACTTGAAAGAATGACACAAATATAATTTAGAATTTACATATGAAGGTAGTTAGTTTAAAATTAGGCAATCACATAGAAGAAGATTGACGATTCTAAATTCCCGTCTGGGTGAGGCTGAGAGACTGCTATACTTAGAAAGGTTTGTTTATGTTATAAGATATCAGTATTCGGTACGGAGTATGGAGTACTACTTAGGTATTCCGTAGTATCCATGGATGGATATAAATCTCCAAATTACTAATTAATTATTTTGAATACATTCAATCTCACCGTTTCGCTTGGCGCCCAGCCCTCCGCGGGGTAGGGAATATATGTTCTTTGTGAAATACGTGAACTATGTACTATATGTACATAGGGGTAGTATATAGATGTTTCCAAGTCTCCCCTTTTTACCGATCCAACAATAATCCTCAACTGGACCATTACGCTCTTTCTTTGTCCTGAGTTTTGGCCCCCAAAGGCGAAAAAAAAATAGGGAGAGCACAGCCTTGTTCTAGCCTACCAGGGGTTTGTCCGCTTTCCGACCAGCCCCCCCCCCTTTTAAACTGCCAGTTTTCGCACCACCCAGTGGGATGGCTGATAAAGGTTCTGAAGCATACTGTTGGGGTCCTGGATGTAGCCACAAGCCTTCCGTTCTCCACGCTTTTCGAGGCGGAAGCCCATACGCTCCACAAGGCACAGCACTTCTTCCTCGGATAACTCCACATTTCCTGGCTCGCCAATCCCGGCCCCCTCGTATTCAGAACCACTTCCTCTACGGGAGTGGCCGTCGTCGAAATGCCATAGTAATGGACCCACGTTGATCCAGAGCCCATTTGGTTTGAGGCTGTGTCGGATCGTCTCGATGTACCGAATAAGGTTTGGCGCCGTGTCAATGAAGAAAACAGTCGTTACTGCGTCAAATGTCTCGTGGTTTTCCGGCTGAGTATACAATACGGTGAAATCCGCTGCGGACATGGACATCGTACCCAAGCGGCGACCAGCATTGGCTGCCTCCTTCATGGCGAATCCGGGGTGGACATCAGGGATCATAACTTGCTGGAGTTGCTGTGTTCGGGATTGGAGATTGGAGAAATGCATTGCAAAAGGATGAAGGGCGTGCTTTGCCGGCCCCTCGGTGTGGTTCAGAACCCAGCTACTGGCTAGCAGCTGGTGGTAGGAGATCTCGTTTCCCTCGGCGTCGTAGCCTGCCATGCAGATTTCGAAAACTAAACGGCCCAGGCCAGCGCCAGGGACCAGGACACGGATTTCCTCTCCGTTATCACGCCGTGTCTGAAACTCCTCGTTGAGAGCCTGGAGAACAGGGTCATAGCAGACTTCTCTCTCGGCTCCTCCTTCGAGACTCCAGTCACGATAGAACTGGCGTATCGTTGAGTGCGCTTTGTTGACATCTGATGAAGTTGCTATGTCATGCCAATTTTGAGTAGGATCGGTGCTGTCGGGGTTTGCAGAAAGACCAAATGACTGGAGACCCAGCGCCAGAATTGCATCGGCGATGTCGGCGTTGGTATCAATGGCATCGTCCACCTTATTGAAGTTATCAAGGATGGAGAATGGAGGCTCCGAGAGCATCTGCCAGTGTGCCGAAGGTAGGGCATAGAAAGCTTGCCGTCGACGATGAGTAGTATTCATATGCGCAGTTCGTCGATATTGTCTGTGGGTGAATTAGCAAAACATATTGCGGTTGTATGTAGGCAATTGGTTGTTTCAATCCGATAGAGAAGCTACAAGCCAAAAAGACATATGTTGTAATCAACTGTCTACCCACGTACCTGAATGAGTCAAATGCAGCAAATAGCACCCTACGCTCTTCAGGATCAGCGAAAGGGTTGAAGTCCCCTCCCCAACTGCTCTCCTCCCCGGTCTGGGGCTTTTGTTGCTCAGATGCCATGGGGAGATTGCCAGACTAGCTCTACGTCTAACGATGCTGCTCGATGCTACAGGATCCCACGTCCCACTAGAGAACTGACAGCGACGAAGAAGGAACAATTGTTGAAAAGGCGAGAAGAGAGTCCAGAGAGAGTATATGGAGGGGCAAACAAAACAAGTGGGCAATCCTTCGGCCACCAAGGACTCCTATTGGGTCAATTGGCCTTACCGCTGTGCTCTCCGCCTTCTGAATTGGAATAAACACTATAGGAGAGATGTATCGCTGTAGCATAATTACCCAGACATAGGAATGTATGTATATGCATCTGTTTATGAAAGGCTACGAGGGTGAATCAGGTAGTCCTTCGTCTACCTCATATTTGATAGTTTCGGTGGGTCCTTTTCATATGTGTAGACGCAGTAGGAGCTTTGTAGATCTTGTTTATTTGATGCACGCAGAACCAATCCCCGTGTAGTAAAGAGACATACCAGGATACATACGCGATCAAGGAGAGTACTGCGATAAACTATGTATCTATTAGATCTCCATAGGAACAAAGAACAAAAAGGACACAGAGGACACAGAGGACCTCGGGACAAACAAGTAATTTTCTGCCAGCAATAATACCCGCCAATAGGAATTAAGCCATAAGTGGCTGTTATGGCGAACCGTAACAGTCCCAGGGCGGGGATTCGATATCGAATGTTCCGACTTTCAACAACTTGTCTAAATACCATTCTCCCCTACATCTTCTTTCTAACAACATATTTATTTTTTTACACCGAGAACCGGTAAAACAACAAATATGGCGACCGAAGCCCCACCAGCCGTTCCTTTCGCGGAGCTAGTCACTCCCAGCGTCAAGCCTCAAGAGATCTCGTTCACCTTGCCCAAAGCTTTGCATACAACAGCACATGTTCACTTGAACTTCTTGGGCCATTGTGCCATGGTATTTCTGGCTACCTCATCGCCAGGCGATTCGGGCGGCTCTATCAAACCCATGGGAAGTTTCGTCTATGCAATGCCTGATGTAAGTACCTTATGTGCCAATGTTGGAATTCTTTGCCATATTTCCAGTAAAGGGAATGCCATTTTCTCATGCCATATTACATGAACGGGGGGTGGCATTGTTATTTGGCACACCTCCAGAATAGCTCTTCCCTGTTCAGTTCGAAGTGGAATATGCTGCAACCTGCCGCACACAACCCAACCTCAAGCTCCAATTAGGCAGGAGACTTGTGCTAAGCGGATATCTCCGAATCTGATAATTGGAATTTCCTAATCTTTTTTCAATATGATTATTTGTGTTCTCAGGGCGTAGCTGACATCTATATAGCGCACTTCATCCAAGTCGACAATATCAACAACACTCTACACATCACCATCTAGCATTGAATACACAGCCCGCATAGCCAAGATCCTGGCTCGAAGATTTTCCATCCCGGTCTATGTTGGCTGCAGTATTGACCCACATGGCATGGGGTTGGAAGTCGCAGAGGAAATGGAAGGGCTGACCAAGATCATCAACGTGATCATGGAGAAATGGGAAGAGCACAAGCAGGACAGGGCTGGAAATGCTAAATAAGCGTCTGTCGAACGAAGTATGCAAAGTTTTGTTTCAATCGTCCATCGATAAAAATCACATGCCTAATTGGAACCAATAATCATTCGCCTGATTTGACCGATTCTTCCTCTTTTTCTTTCTCGCCCAGACACTTTTTACTATCTCTTGTTTAACTGCTACCTGGAAGAATTCATCGTATTCCTGACACCGCGGCCACAATCAGCAGCAGAATAGGGCAGGCATGACCTTCTAAAATGAGCGCGAAGGCGAGAGATAACCTCCCCGACCTACTTCAACCCAATCCAACTTTCCACCGATCTCAATCCAAAATAACACAGACACCAACACTCTAGCCTTAAGAACAGTCTCCGCCCCTTACAAATGAACACCACAGACCTCTCGGGAATTGGTCATCTGCTCGGCGACACGCAAACTCCCAAAGATAAACCAGGTCCACAAAGCAGAGACAAAGCAGCCTTTCACTGTGAACACCGACTGCAAGTCAACACATACCGCCCTTGGTACAGGGCATGCCGGCGATCCTCAACACTACACACTGGAGCGAGTGGTTCATCTGGGACAGCTACATGATCGTCGCAGCCACCAACATCACCATGTACGCCACGCTGTTTGCGCAGCAAACCAGTACCGCAGGCTATGTTACTTCACTTGTTGTAGTGGAAGGTTTGTTCTTGAGCCGCTGTGCGCGCATCGTACATGCATCACACGTATAATTTCTATAAGCCTAGCCCCGGCTCCAGTATCCGCTCATTGATTGGCGCTTTTCAGAGTGTTACCTCCAGGTACTTGGTGGGTGTGATCGCGGGATTAGGGGGAATATATAAATGAATCCCTGGGTAGATCAGCTTCTATTCAAACAGCGTGCTAGCTGGCCAGTTCCCAAAGCTAAGAACATTAACGCGTTTGCCGCGAAGCTCCTCACTCGCAACGTCGCAGGAACTTTGACTAGCCCCGAGTATACGCTCGCATTGTACATATTACAGCGCCTTGTCCGGCGGATTAAACTTGGCTGCATACGCCCGCATGCGCTGCAAGAATTGCTCCCGCGAGAAGCCTATAAAAAGCTTCCCCACACTCTTATATTCCAATGAAGATCCAGATTTGTCTAACCGCACCGAAGACAGGACATGCACATGTACTAAATTCTACGAAGATGTTTAGGGAAGTGGATTGGACTGATATTTAACACACGGAAATAGATGTGTTGGGTTCATGGGAGATATTATCAACAGAACTACACGCCTGTGGGTGACGCTGATGCCCCTGTTTGGGGACATAACACATTTTCCATGTGGATGATATGTTCCGACGGACATCCGCAAAAGAAATCCACTTGACTTATTGAATCTAAGACACAAACATAGCTAAGCTTTGGTTGACGCATGTGATACCTCGTATGCGCATTGAGCCCACTAGGATACTACTCTGTATCTACTATGTTGTGCCTATCACACATATTACCGTTGCATCTACTATGGACATGGATCCTTCAAACTCCACATTGGCATATTGGCACTTACATAACTTCATGTTTCATTCCTAACAATCCCATTATGAAACCCACAATGAACGAAAAAAATAGTAAAAACAAAGTTCTACATGACAAGTGAGAAACAAAAAAAAAGCATCCAACATTTACTCAATTCACAACCCGAAGCATCTCAGTTCTTTAAAGTAAACCCCATTTAATCTAAGACACACCCGCAGACTAGCAGACGGAAGACATCGGGAGTCTCGGGTTGACAACCGTGACAGTTGATAAGCAGAGCAAATCGGAATGGCTCGGTTAACGGGTGTTTCATCTCGATCGTTGTCCCGCTGTGGGGCGTTGACCCTGGGCACACGGAAGTGAACAATTCATATCATATTATTTACTCCGTACTCCGTAGATTAATTTAGATTGTCTATTTTGCATGCCATTGCCAAGTCGAGGTGGACTTTACCTGGTTTATTCTACACAGAGAGCCATGTCTGCATTGGCCCTTGAAAGTGGGGGGAAGGGTCAAGGCAATGCCACACTCGGGGACGCATAGATGTTACTGTTCCTCCTCGGATCCGGCCGATCTGTGTCTTCATCGTACTTTTTACCCCGTATACAACTCGGTAGCGGCTGTGAACTGAAAGTCAAATACCGTGATATGTATGCATACAAAGTATAAAATTAGAATGGGGGCGATTGATAGTCACCACATGGAAGTGTTCCAATTGGAGCCCTCCCAGTAAGAGAATACCAAATCAACAGGCTGCATATGCCAACAGTGGAGGTAGTATGGTACACCGCAAGTTCCGAACCCCAGGACCTCTTTAACTAGCTCCAAACTAGCAAACCAACAAACCAACAAGCCCCGGAGGTATATGTTTCTGCAGGTATCATTGGGGGACATATCACAGGTCCATGCTTTACACGTGCTATTTCTCCCCTGCATACTAATGGAGAATAGTTCCGGCACGAACCGAGTAAACTTCCTTTTCGTTAGGGTTAAGCGTTTAGCTCGTGCATGGTACACGGGCCCCCTGTCCAAGGGTAGACATGTCGGTCTTTTCCGAGTTGGGGTTATGATAGACGGTTATTTTATTTTTATTATTTTAAATTGACACGAACATTCAATTTAAGTTTTTCGGCAAAGTATTGTCACGCGGTGTTAGGGTATCGGAGCGAGTTCCTTGGAAGTCCCAATCTTTAAGCGAGGGGGGTGTGCGGGGAAAAAGAAGCCTCGATGGCGACATTGGGTGGCACAACTAGTACCGAGTACAATTATGATTCTGCAAGGGCCAGATGTCATTGACTGGAGATACGACCCGGTGAGCCTTGGGGTGAGATTTCCCTTTCTCGCTTGGTGAGCCGACCGGAGAAGTTCCGAATGCCGGTGAACTGGCAAAGATTAACAAAGGACGGAGTAACCAAGCGGCTGAGGCTGTCTGTGCTCCATGATCTTTGCTTTTTTGCTTTCTTTTTTTAAACTTTTTTTGCTTTGTTTCTTTTTTTCCCTCTGCACAGCATTCACAGTCCACTCTCCCCACCAGTAAAACCCACGCATGGAAACAAACCAGTGGTATTGTACTGGATATATTCTCCGTCCGTTCGCGGTACTAAACCTAGATGGGATGGAACCCCGGAGCTTGGGATATTATCATCAATAAAACGGCTCGGCAGGTTAAGTTAGGCTATTTAGGATATTTCGGAGTATACAGCAAGGCATTAGGTTAAAGCTCGGGAAACCAGGGTTTGATAGGCGAGACCAAAGTAAAAAAGGAAAAAGACAAAGTAAAGAAAAGCCAAAAGCATCCGGGCCAACGCATCCGATTCCATGTGGTCCCGGTGCACTTCCGAAGTCGATCATCAGGGCTTGTGCAGAGGGGCGAGATCTTCGTGGACCACGTACCCTCTTTTTTTTTCTTTCACTTTCCTGTTTTGTTCTCTTGAATATCATATTTTCGTACTATATTAACACTACGGAGTACTATTAACTCCTTAGCCTCACTATCACTACTCCGTATATTATTGTACACTTTGATCAAAGTGGGACTATGGAAATGGACGACGTCCTTGGAAATACATGGATATGACTTTCTCAATCCAATCCAATCCAACACTGCCACTGCCGATCTCGGGCTTGTATTACCAGTATAAGATATACATACTTAATGCACTTCCAAGAGAAAAAAAAAAGTAAAGTCTCGGCTCAGATCCGTTGAAGATTCCTTAAATTCCATATATTCGACGGGCCACTGATGGAGTTAGGAAGATCGTAATACTCTCCCTTCGTCGATCTATAGTTCGCTTTTTTTCCCTTCTTTTTCCCTTTTCCTCTTTTTCTTTTTACCTTTTACTCTCTTTTCCCTTTTAACGTTGATTTTACATTCCCCAATCTCCCTTTCTTCACGGGATTCTTTGATCTTCATCTTTCCCAACCTCGGCATTTGCATACACTCCCGGCCTTTTTGGGCTTATTTTTTTTCTCCCCTAATTTCCTAATTTCCTATTTCCATTTTCTACTTCGATATCAACAATGGCTTTGCAATCTTCATTCGAATAGCACCTTTTTAAGGGAAATCGAAATCTTGACGCCTTGGAATTGTGGCGATAGCGCTTATCTTACGCCTCTAAGATTCTCACCCCGTGCACTCTCTAATTTGTTTCCTCCATATTTCTCTGTTTTATTAGAGGAATACATCCAACATGCAGCCTTCTCATTTTCGTGGTAATCAAGGCTACGACCTCCCACCCGTGCAGTCGGTGACCTCGGGCGCATTCCCGGCTCCCGCGTTGCTTTCCGCTCCGCCGAGCAGACCTGACAGCGGGATGCGCATGTCTCATTTACTGCAGCCTATGCCCTCAGCTGCGTCGGCGACTTCACCGTACCAGCGCTTTTATGATTCCGCCTCTGGCTCGCCAGGTGAGACTGCGCTTCCCGATGCGCCGCCAATGAGCTCAGTTTCAGGTCTCTACCAAACCAGCCCCGGGCATGGGCAACAGACTGCCGCGCAGTTACAGCAGAAGCGCGCGTATCGCCAGCGTAGAAAGGACCCCAGCTGCGATGCTTGTCGTGAGCGTAAGGTCAAATGCGACGCCTCGGAGTCGTCCAGTTGCACCGAATGTAACAATCGCAGGGTGCGCTGTCAGTTTACCAAAGAGACGAACCGCCGCATGTCGTCCATCAAACAGGTCCAGGATCTGGAGAAACAGTTGCAGAATACAAAACAGCAATTACAGCACTTGCAAACGGGCATGATGCGGCCGGATCGCATGGTCGATGTTGATGAAGGCATCTCGCAGCCGATGATTAAGTTGCCTGAGATCGAATATCGACCCGTGCGCCGTTCGAAGGCGCCCATCCCACAGGATTTCTCCGATGTGCGGTCTGATCTCCGCCAATACGGCCGTGGCATCTTGAAGGTGCCCACCCCATACCGCCAACAGGGCGCAGAGTCATTAGTGACTGGGGATGCGCCGGAGCTGCCGCCGAAGAAACTAGCAGATCATCTACTTGCCCAGTATTTCGGTTGCATTCACTCGGTGCTTCCGGTGCTCCATTGGCCAATATTCATCGCAGAGTATGAAAAGGTTTATCGGTCGGGGTCATTGCTAGGTGTCTCGACTGAATGGGCGGCTGTGCTGTTTGGTGTATTTGCCTGCGGTACCATCCACACGAACGAGGCGGATCGGGAGGAGGAGGGGAAGAAATACGTACGCACATCCTGTGGGATTATTGATGTTTGGCATGATGTCTTTAATTTGGATCGGGCTCGCGCGGCGCTGCTGGCTAGCATATTTCTCTACGAGGTTAATTCGAAGTCGGCTAGTTGGGTGTGGATTGGATCGGCGGTGCGCGTGGCTCAAGAGATCGGGCTGCACATCGACTCCGGACCGTGGCCTGCAGTTGAAGGGGAGATGCGGAAGCGTGTTTGGTGGGGGTTATACGCCTGGGATAGATTACTTGCACTTGAGATGGGGAAGCCAGTGTTGATCAACGATCAAGACTGCGATATCGATCTCCCATGTCCTGTGGACGAGCAGTACATCACAGAAGGAGGCAAGATCCCAGACAGCCAGCAAACCACGCCCTTGCTAGCTACGATCCACGTTGTCCGGTCCATCGGTCAACTCACACGCACCCTACGCTCAGCAACCATCAGCCCCGCCACCCTCGAGACCTTCGAACTCCACTTCAACACCTGTCTAGCAACATTCCCTTCTCAATTCCACCCCAAAACCGACCAAGACCTCGATCCCCGCTCCCTCGCCCCGGTAATCTACCTCCAAAACGCCCGTCTCTTCCTCCACCGCCACAACATCTCCCCCTTCTGCCCAGACATCGTCCGTACCTCAGCAATGGACTACTGCGTCTCCACAGCCCTCGACACAGCCAACATCCTCTCTCGCTGCATGCGCAACTACCCAACCCACCCAGGACCACCATGCATCAACGACCCCCGCTCCCACTTCGCCTCCTCCGCGGGCTCCCTCCTCTGCACACACATCTGGCGTTGCACGCTCCTCCTCCTCTTCCGCGGCGAGTACGCCGCCGCATTAGCATGCGTGCAAGCGCTCTCCTCAATCGGCGACGTGCGAACCGTCAACGCCGCCTGCGGGCGATACCTCGCCTTCTTCCTACGACGTCTCCTCGTCCGCATCCGCCCATCCGAGGGCCACATCCCCGATCTCGACCGCGACGAAGAAATGATGGCGTACGTCTCGGGCGATATGCAAGGAACTAGCGACGGCAGCTGGGTATGGCACGGCTCCGAGACAGGGTCTCAATTGGAAGGGATGGGGGTCTCGACGACGACATCCTCGAGCCATCGGACGGAGATGGAGACGGATACAGAGTGGGAGGGATGGGAGTGGATTGAGAAGACTGTGCAAGATCTCTTTACCGAGCAACATCAGCAACAACAGCAGCAGATGGCTTACGGGCAGCGGGATGTCACGATGGGACAGCCGAAACTGGAGGCATCTTCTTCTTCTACTACTCTTGCCCCGGAATCGGCTTCTGATAGGTCGAGTTCGGCGCATTCACGCATGACGATTGCTAGCATTATTTGAAGCGGGTATATTTTTTTTGTGGTTGTGTTGCTTTGTTTTTGCTTTTTGCTTATCTCTTGGTTTCATTGCATCGAGCACACGCCGGATTTCGCATGCGATGTTTATTCCCTTTCGTCTTGCGCCTCGAACGCCTCCATCTACGTCACCAACCATCGCATATCACTCGCTCCATCTGGTGTGTATGTGTATGGCTCTAGACCTGGTCTAGAGATCAAATATTTATACTGGCACTGTCACTTGCCTCTCGATTTTTTATATCTTGCTTGCAAATATTGCATTGCCGATACCCATGCCCAAGTACTTGTTTATAGCCTTTCTCTTTATGTATATATTTACAAACGTATCGGATTCCGATGGACTGTTTCACTTTGCATTTGCTTCTATGTCTTTACTTATTAACTGGATGAAACACTAGGCCTCAACATATTGACAAACCTTGAGCTAACTACAAGACCGGTGAGTTTGCTTTTTGTCTCGATAATTGGATTCATACACTATCTTCATAGGAAAGCTATATACCCAATCACCAGACATTTTCTTTTTTCTTTTTTTTCCAAAGCCTCCAAGTCCTTCAAATCCTTCAAATCCTTCAAATCCTCCATTTCTCCAGTTCGCTTCCTCCACCTTCCCTCCTTCTAACTTATCACCTCTTTACCTCTGCACCTCTGCACCTCTGCACCTCCAACCAATCCAATCTCCCATGAACAGACTTAAATCAAAGTCCCCTCAACAGGGAAAAAGGTACCATTCTGAATAGCTCCAGCATGGTGACGGGCAACAAGACCGTAAGCAAACTGGTACCTACAGACAAGAACAAAAAGGTTAGAAACCACGACACAGCAGTATAACCAAGAACAAGTAGCAACTTACTTATCAAGGAAAGGCAGAACCTCAGTGAGACCAGGGGTCTTACGCCAATCGCGCATAAGGTCACAGACAATACCAAACAGACCCATGAGCGTAACACCAGCCTTCTCCATACGACGATTCGCATCCTCAGCGAGGCGAACATCGAAAGTGCCTGAAGCATCGGTATTGGCGAAGACTTCGTAGCCAGCATCAATAAGAGACAGAGCGAGGAAGGTGGTGCCTGTTTTGAATATCAGTATTTGTTTTACATTCCTTTTTCTTTGCTTTTCTCTTTTCCCTCCTAAACCACACCCAATCCCACTTACAAACTTCAGTGACAATACCAGCAATAATCAACTGCTTCTTGCCAGTAGCCTCAACCGCAGCGCGGAACTCCGCATTATCCCAAGCATTGACTTCACCCTGGCGACGGACGAAGGTCGCGTTGGGGTGCATGTCTCTGATTTCCTTGAGCATGAGACCATTAGGGCCTGCGTCGGAGGAGGTGGTCAGGACAGTTGGCAGGTTGAAGACGTTGCCGAGGGCAGCGTGGCCGAGGATGCTGTTGCGGAAGTCGTTTGTGTTGTAATCACGCACGACTTGGGCAAGACCGACCTGGTGGTCGATGACGAGGAGAGGGCCTGGGGTTGTTAGATTTTGTTTTTCTTTATACTTTGGGTAGTGGTTGTTGTTTTGGGGTAGAGGTGAACTCACAGCGTTGTCCTTGTCCAGTCTGTTCCATGCTTGCGCGGGAACAGATGCTGCGAGCAGGAGGGCTGCTTTGATTCCGGCAGAGATGAACATCTTGAAAATGATGCTTTTGGTAGATCGAGAAGAAGAGGAACTATGTTTATCTGAGGTGTTCTGGATATTCCTATAGACTTGGGGACAAGCTTGCTTTTATACCTCGAGGTCGAGGGTATCTACGCTCCTGGACTGAAGGTCCTGATTCCTCTTGTGGGTCTCATAATCATGACAAAGTGTTTGTGAAGGTGCCGCTTTGCTTACTGCGTTACTTATTGCCTCTTTTCCCGTACTATCCGTGAGTGCTGTCTGCTGTCAGTGCTTGAGGTATCCACGAATATCTTGGCATACAGAAACGGCTAGACTACAACACGGGGATCCCGAGGGAATGGTCAAATTACAGATTTGTGAGATTATGAGATTGTGACAGAGCATTAGGGACTTCATTTGTGGCCCTTTTTGTCCCGACCTTGCAGGTTGGTGTGCAGTAGCTTTAATCCGGTGGAATGGTATAGATCAGCCATTTCTTGAAAGGTTCGGGTTTCGTTCTAAATTGAAACTCGGTTAACTTAGTGCAACAATTTTCTCTTCTTCTTTTTGAATTATAACTGTTTAATTCAGGCTCGCAACCATGGCCTAAATATTCACTTATTAGGTCGAAGGCACCACAATGGAGACCTCGGGAGGCTACGCGCTGATATTAGGAATCTAGCACTAACTCTTGTGGATTAACTCGGTCTTTGGTATCATTGAGGTCTCAGTATAACCAAGCTAGTCTCATCTCACAATATTCATAAACTATAGATTAAAGCATAGATTATCAAGATTGCAGATGTGGGGCGAACCTTCCAGATTGAATATTGTTGAACGGTTAAATGACACGTTGAATTGCCCTGTAGCGCAATCAGATGCATTTCTTGCAAGGATTAAGCTTGCACGATAAATCAATGCAAAATGGCCCCAAGTAGCCCAAAGACAAGGTGCTTTTAGGATCTAGCAGAGATCACTGCCAAGGAGAACTCGAAATTAACCGGGAATTGGACCAAAGGGCTCGGTTCAACCCGTCGGCTCGGCGACCCGTAAAAACTTTCGCCAACCTGCAGGGCTCGTTTCAGTTATTAAGCGTTGGTGTCTTTACTAATAGACTATAAGCTGCCTGTCAGCACATGTCAGCACTAAGGCTGAGCTACATATGCGTACACTATCCAAACTGAGCTTAGCTATTTAATTAATATCTTAATTAGTATCTTTTTCCCATGAATCATGTCCTTCAGTTTAGACTCCAGAGCCCTGATTGGAACATCACGCCGCCAGACCCATTGCTAAGTCATGCAGACACCACTCCACATGTCTCTCTCCCGCCTAATGCCAAGCCTTAACGTAGCCATTATGGAGATTTCTTTCTTGTCTGGTAGTTTTTACTGCTGCTGCCGGAATTAATTCCGATCTAAATCTGAGACTTTCTTGCTTACGGCTGATTATGGTACATAGGAGTTGGCGGAACGGAAACGATGACATCGGTTATCTAGACGACTCACTTTAGTGTTGTTATAAAATTAATGGAGGTAGGTAGTTGATCATGCTCACGAATCAGGTCGCGAGACTCTGAGACAGATTCTGTTCGTACCTTTCATCTTTATCATTAGACCAAATATGTTTTAGGACAGTCCAACCTGCGACTTTCGGCGGAAATGTGCTATTTTTTTTCCAATACTTGGACCGTTGTGAGCCATATACAAGGATTGGGCAAGGATATGGGCTGGACTCAAAGACTTTCTGTTGATTCGGGTATTGGTGGTAGTGATAACTAAAGGACTAAAATATTTTCGGGAGATGCAATTGAGGTAATAACGTTATTTCTACCTACCGAGGTGCCGTACCTAGTGTTCGAAATGGCATGATAGCATGCATTATGAGATATTTTGAATGTGAACTCCAAAACCTATTCTGTTATGGGAATATACTAGTTATCCAGTATCTGTTTTGAAGCTACAGACCCTAAAATGCTTCTATCTGGTCTGTATTTCTATACTATTAAAACACCATTGTATTACTGATATAGATAAAGTTCAAAGAATATACTACAGCAAGTGCGTAACAACCGTTAGCTATTTATTTTTCTATGATTTAGACTGACTGACACTATGCTAACCGATATTGTTGTTGTTGTTATAGTATTTAACGCCTATCGAGACATATGTCTGGGAAGTTTGGATTGATTTTGGTTTATTTCACTCTTTTGAACTCCAAAGGCATTGAAACTGCCTAGGCCGAATATAACTACATTACACATTATTGGATTGCCGCAATCCCAACGCTTGAAGCGGAATGAATAAGGACGGGTAATCGATTAAGCCCAGCTCATGCGAGTTAGGAACCACGGCACCTACCTCTCCTGGCTGCAGCTTCGCCCGATGCTTTAGTCCATAAATAACCGTCGAAAAAAAAAACCATCGGAATAGTGGAGGTCGTCTGCACGCATGAGCTTCTGCTTTCGTGTCTAACAGTCCCCTACTCCGCCACCCGCAATTGCTTCAACACGTCCGCTTGAATGTCGTGTAAAAACTCCATCATCTGCCCCAAGGTGTGGAAAGCCTCGTTATACACCAGCCGAAGTGTCAACTGATCACGGAACGTCCACATGAAAACCACTCCTTGGCGCGAAAGTATTTCCACGCCAACCCCGGCATGCGTGATTCCAAATCCGCGCTCGGGGGTTCCATATTCGCGTTCCAGATACTTTTCCATGATCCCCATGCTGCTGATATCGATATCACTGGGCGGCTCTGTTGGGGTCGGAAGGTTCTTGATCAGCTCGACCAAAATAGACGCATACTCCCGGTGCGCCTGGAGATACTCGCTGCTGATGCCCTTCTCATACTCCGCCTGATACAGGCGGGCATTCTCCTCCCAGATCCCGGAGGGGTCGACCTGCACCAACCAGCCGGACGTGTATAGCCCGGCTGCCGCCGCGGGGGTCGAGTATGGCTCGGGCAGATACGGCCGCAGCGACTGTTTGATGGTGCTGGTGTAGTGGCGGCCCTGGTGCTCGTCGATCGCGTGCCGGAAGTTGACCGTGGCCAGGCTGGCATGCACGGCGGCCGTGATGCCGACGCCGCGTGCTTTTGCGGCGGACACAGCGGCGGACGTGGTCGCGGGCGAGAACTTGAGCTCCGCGGCCCGCGTGCCGGAGGGCACGCTCGAGGCATCCCCGGTATAGGGCACCCCTAGGGCGCCCACCGCCAGGGCAAATGTGCCGACTGCCCCGTGGGCGACAGCCTTCTGCTCGTCGTTCGCGGTGAGGGGCATGTTGCCGGCCTCTTCGACCGGTGGCGCCAGCCGTGCGACCTCCGACCCCCAATGGAAGGAATCGAACGGGTCTAACAGCTTCCCCGAGAGGAGGGTGTCGGCGTGCGAGACCATGAGGTCCACCAGCTGGCCGAGGAGGAGCAGGCCGCCGACTCCATCCATGCGCCAGTGTGCGGTGTGCAGGAGCAGTTCACTCGATTGGGGGACATAGTACAGCTGGGCGTCGGCAGCCGGTGCAATGGTGGGAATCACCTCGTTGGCGGACTGGGCGTCGGCCTCCACGGTAAAGGTCTGCGAGGCCCATCCGCTAAGAGCATCGGTAGACTCAGGAACCGTGTAGATGACGTTGGAGTTGGAGTCCGGATGCGCAGCCAGACTGGGGTGCTGGAAGCGCAGATGCAACCAACTGTAGCGGATGAGGGTTGGTAGAAGGTCGGGGGAGCCCGACAAGGCCGCGAATTCCCCACGAGGACTAATGGTGGCCGTGTAGTTAATGGCCCAGTGCTCACGACCGAGCGGGTGGCCGGGATCACTGACCAGCTTGATGAAGACCTCGTTGGGGCCAAGGGGCCGGGTGAAGGTGTTCGGCGAGTGCTCGGCTGTCGTCCACGGCATGTTGAGGCGAGGGTGATTGCTAGGTGATCGATGCAGGACCGACCTCGCGTTGGTCATGGCAGTGGGTTAAATAGCGATGCGACAAATATTAATGCTAAGCACCGCGTCGAGTCTCGCCCTTAGCCAAAATGCCCCGATAGCGGATCAGGGTGGAGATGCGTCGTCTCAGAGAGAATATCTATCATTATTGGATAGCATGATGACGGAAGACCAAGATGGCCGGCTGATCACCTGGCGCCATACAGGGGCTGTCAGACTGCACCGATGTAACCTGGATAGAGAGCTTACCCGAATTTAGCATTAGCCTCGGTGGATGCGAAAGGGGAGGACCGACCAACCGGAGTCCCACCGCCACTGCCGCCCGGGCCGCAACCCCTCAATCGGACCGAGTCCTCGACATCAAGACCTTACTGTATCCAGCAGGATACCGATCTATGTACCATCTCTGTGCGCCTTAGGGACCAGTCCTGGCCTTGGTAAGACCGGCGATAACATACTGGCCCTTTAATCCAAAAAGTCCAGGCCGCTAATATATGTGATAGTATTGGCCCCTTTGTGTAATCAGTACTCCAGAATCATACAATACTATGCATGCCAGTCATTAGGCTTACATTGAGCCCCACTGCGGAAAGGTGTGAGCTGGGACGCGACACCCTGCACGCATAGAGAACTCTCAAGTCGACACCAACTACAGAGGTTGTTGACCAGAATCCGCCGTACATAGGCCCGATGCGGGTGGAAGGTGTTGCTTTGGTCGACCCTTGGTGCTGGTATGCTGTTCATTTCGTCTCCCTTTCTGGTTTTCGTCTGTCTCGCCGGTCCCAACGCCAACTCCCCGGCCAGCTGTTTCCGCGAGTTACCGTCCAAACTGATAGGGGGATTAATTGAACCATAGGAAGTGGCATTGGGCACGCGGTTGCCTATACGCTTGTCACGCAAGGCCTCACCACGCTAGCCTGCACCGACATCTATCTCTTGCAAGCCCAAGAAACCACCACGTCGAGCTACGCAGTCGCAGGGCGAGAAGGCTACGAGGCAACCGCCTACCATGTTGACGTCCGCGAGGAAGCGCAGACTAATGGAAGATATGACCAGTCTGAGCTGGACAAAGAACTGTGACTGATATAACATACCTGAAAGGAAAAGTTAGCATGGGAGGGGAACGACACGTCAGTGGTTTATGGGCGTCCGGGGTATTCAGGTGCAAAATGAAGGTATTTAGGGCGTTCAGGCGAGGGAGCTGAAGGGTAGTTAGTGGGTAGTAAAAAAAACAAATACATACAACAGTGAGGATTCGCTGGTGGTCACCCACCCAACTACTAACTCACCGGCGTGTGGCTTAAGTACGGCTGAGCGGACGGGAAGCCCTGTTTTCCACACCCTATGGTCGTATGTACGTTATTCAGCATAGAAAGGACTTTTATAGGCTGCATAGATCACAAAAGATTCACTCGTGGTCGTATACCAGCGACGTGTGGCTTGTGTGCGGCCAGTAGTTGGGTGGCTGTCGCCCAGGTGAAAGAGAGGTGAGAAGGGTGAGTGGGCAATAGACATGGTGAGAAGCAAGGTGAGAATCACCCTCTTTCACGCGACCCTCGCACTAACCTCTCAGCTAAACTGCGATAGAACATGATTAGATCGTGTCGAATGCCTTGTAACGCTTGGTGCCTTGGCATCTACACACAGCCACCAACTAAGACGTACCTAGTAGTGGGGAAGCGATAGAAGACAGCCGGTATGTGATGAAAATAAATCCTTTTCTCAGTTCACAATACCCGAAGCAATGCATGAAGACCATGCAGAGTCAGATATGTCCCGCGTTCTTGATTTGCTGGCTAGACACCTTTTTTTGGTTCATTTTCCGGCGTATCCTGTAGGTTTCGTTTGGGGTTTCTTTTATAAACTTATGGTCTGCCTTGTGTTGTCGTGGGATTTGGTCTTTGAAGGTATTTAAATCGTTAGTTTTGGCCCTTGGAGATTCGCTCAATGAAGCTTCGATAGTAATTGCCTCGTGGATTATGGATTTTTTCGGACAAAGACTCCCCTATACATAATTTAATCTACGTGCTATAGTTTGTGTAGTTAGATATACCGGCTCCTAAGCGGTTGAACCTTTGGCCATGAGTTTATTGAAAATTCCTGGCCCCAGAGACGTAGCCGTGAAGGAGTACGGTGAGTGGCAGATATCGAATGTCCTTAAATCTGCATTTCGACAAGTATATGACGTGATGCTCGACAATGGGTTTGACCTTGAGCAGACCTACAGGGACCAGGAACGATGGTTCTTCATTGAGAAAGGGATAAAAATAGGCATCGCGCGACGTTTTGTCGAAGAAATCGGAAAGTCAAGAATGCGATTCCTGTATATGAAATCTTTAGACTGGGCGGGACTATTTGTTGCGTTACGGCGTTTTTTGGGCGAACATGTTGAAATACTGATCAGTTTAGATAGTTTTGTACCAGTTGTTGTATAGCATGTCCCGAAACAGGTGCGACGACTAATTCTTCGATTGATTGTTTTGATCTGAACGCCAAGATGAGCTGGCATATATTATATTGTATTGGCGACCCAAAACCCGAACGTTCTATAAACATGCCAAACACGGCAAACAAAATTGCGCAGCGGGGTCTTGAGAACGTGGCAAGTCACTTTCTTCTCCCACTTTGTTGCGGATGGGATATTTTGGGCTTTACTTGGCACTTGACAAGTGCGACTAACAACCGACACAATCTTGTCTGCTATTAGCGCAACAAGAAGTTGCTCTCAGCATATTTTTCTCCTGTCTCTTTATATTAGAGCTCCGCGAGGGTATGCAAGAAACGTCTTAGCAGGGGATCTATCTATTGTACTACTGCAAACAACTCGCACGCCGCGCCCTGATACCGCTTGCAGCTCACTCCTCACTAAAGTTGAGAATCCTACTAAAACCCTAAGTCCTGAATGAGGCACAGATGAAGGAGCGACCTTCTTCTTATACGCGGCGAAAGTACTGGGTCACCCATGTGGCTGCTTTGGGAGACATTGATCGATCGTGTCCCGACTTGCCGGTTAAAACTGATCGTCTCTTTACCGAGCCCGTTATTTACTTCAATTGGGTGCGTATGACCGATACTGATAGTCCACTAAATTGAATTCCTCAGTATTGGAATAGTACGAGAGCGAGTAGGGGTTCAGAATGCAAGCCACCAATCCATCGAGTTTCAAGAATGGGGTTACTCCAGACCGTGAAAAAGTTGTTAATCCGGGGAGTTGATCCTGATGCCAAATCCCTAGGAGAGAACTATGGCAATGCACTTCAAGCCGCATCGTATGGAGGCTATGAAGAGATCGTGCAGATGCTGCTGGATCGAGGTGCCGATGTCAACGCCCAAAGAGGGAAATTCGGCAGTGCACTTCAAGCCGCGACGTGTGGAGGCCATGAAAAGATCGCACAGATGCTGCTGGATAAACATACCGTATGAGTGTGCTTCTCGCGCTTATCCTCTACAGCGACAGTTTTATTGCTGGGTGAGCTAAGACAATACGTCTGCAAAGCCTACCTGTGCCCTCCTTCACTTCATTGGCACAAAGTTATGTATCTTGTTGGCGGCTGAGGGTTCGTCACACCGCTCTGCTACACGCCGATCGACCATCGATGTTCAAGGCATGACTTGATCGCGCAGATCAATGTGCAGAGGAGCAAGTTGAGGGATCTTCTTGAGACTTTCTCAACAAGGAGCGATCTATGCTTTTCAGCTACGCCATATTCTTGACCGGGTAGTTTATCCACCTGCTCTGGCCTCACATAGTCTTGGCAAGATAACAGCCACACGAATAATTTGATGCTGTAGTGCCTATGTTAGGAGACCAGAGAGGGTGTTTATCATTCTAGAAATGGCAGAGATTGCATATTAAATGCATACCCGAACCGCTGTTGGGGCGAGCTGAGCTGAGCTGAGTGGAGGTATCTGCCCGGCTGATTACCGCGCTCAATCAGTGGACTGAGGGAAGGGTTGATGTACCTTGTTGGAGCTGCATTGCGGCCCGCTTCCACTACAGAGTCTAACTCTGGGACTGGGAGGTACCTATGTGATACAGCGCCGCATCACTGCTCGTCTCTATAATGTTGCATTGAAAGCGTCTGGACAAAAGGACTCGGTATCCTCTTGTCAGCACATATCATGCCATAGATGGTAACTTGATCGGATTCGATATTTGGCGTTGCAGTCCTCATCGCATTTGTATCGTCAGCATAGGAGAATCCTAGACATGCACGGTGATGCAAGAAAGTATTGAGCCCCAAGTACTCTCAACACATAGACTTCGCTATAGGGAGAAGAATGACAGCCTAAGTGGAAATGAATGCGCAGAAAAGAGGAGAGGACAGGATAAATCTATTCAACACGTCACTCCATTCGAGGTTCGCATTCATTTACTTGTGTCCTTCAGCCGAAATGTAGATACTATTCAATTCTTCGTAGACAGTCTTAGGACCAGATATATCATATGTGGTGGGCGAAGAGCATGTAATAATTAACAGGACTGGCACATGGTCCCTGAAACTTGGACGCTTTTGTTAATCTCCTGCGTACTCTGAGGAACGTCCAAGGCAGGGTTATACTCAAAGAAATCTGCCGGCTTCAGAGAAACTGAGAGGGTTTCGACCCCCATGACCGGAAACTGTTCGGGAGTGGCGGTATGCGTCATTCCAAGTGTATGCCAGATGACAATATCCTCATTCTTGACGTTCTCATTCCGCGCTGCGTAATCAAAAACGCCGTCTACCTCCTTCACGCTCTGCTCCGTCCACCGTCCACCTGCCCACAGATCCCCATCACGATACTTTGTCACCCAGATATGATGCTCAGCAAAGCGCGCGCGCTGGCGGGTTACCGAGGTCTTTCCAGCAAGAAGCATCTGTGACGGGAGAGGAGCCAGTTTGTATCCCACCGGGTTACCCGATACGCGATTGCAATGGCTCTCATTAATGATTTTAAACACCCGGTTCTTCTCCGGTGCCGCGTCGGCAAAAGTGGACTTCTCAAAGATGCTCTTCTCCACCTTCCAAGCGTTGCCAAAGGGATTTTTCTCATCCGTCTCCGGAAGAACAACTGAGTCTTCCTGCACTAGGGTATTGCGCACGCCATCGATCATTGGATCGATGCGCAGGCAGAACAGATGCTGGTGGTTCTGAGCCAGAACACCCGGCGCCACTACATTGCCCCAGGGGCTGTGCTTGCCCTCGTCGATCAGCGCCGTCGACAAAATTCCCGTCGCGCGGGTTTCGAACTGCACCGTCCCGTTCTGGTGAAATATCCACGCGAAGATATATTCGTAGTTCATGAGAGTGAGAATGTTTTGCAGAACCAGAGTCCGTCCTCGTGTGATGGATGCCACTCCGGTCCGCCGATTGCTGTGCTTCCACCCGATTCCGGAGTCTTGCTCATGCATGCAGATCGCGTTGCGAGACTCCTGGGGCTCGCCGTTCTCGTCGGCTAACCATCCATTGAAGTAGTGGATCAGGCCTAGGCAGTCACACCCAAGACCGAGGACATTTGAACACGCTCCTGCACCTGCGTCGCCGATATCAAATGCCTGCTTCCGGTGGTACGGGGATCGTGGATCTACAGGCTATTAGATTAAGAAGAGGATTGTATTAACATGCTGATGTGCATATGGAAGGAACTTACCTCCATAGGGCACTGTCATCTCACTCATGCTGAGCCGGTAGAAGGTTTTTCTCCCATCATAGCGGACGTCGTGGATAGTCAGCCCTTCGCGGTAGTGAAATCCAACCCGGAATCGCCACTTCTGCCATTGCACAAGATTCCCATCAGAGACGGTAAAGCTTGGGCCCTCCGGCTGGACAATATGTAGTGGCTTGAGACCTGTCCTCGTGGGCAATTCGAGCAAGTCCGGATGATACTCCTTAGCCCGACAGTGAGCTAGTGGTTCGTCAGGCGCCGTATTGTGCTTGAGACCATCCTCGGCACCACCCGTGGCCAGGGTGTCGATTCGAATGACCCTATTCTCACTGACATCAAGAACAGGAGATATAGGTAACGGGAAGGCATACTGGTTGGCTTCCAAATGGGAGGAGGTGCAGGCATATAGAAATGCCTGGATCTGGGCGCGCGTATTTATGTCGGAGAACTTATCTGCCCCGTACGACCACGGGTCACAGTATACTTTAGCATTGGTGGGGAGCTTTAGCTTAGCAATGGCTTCCACGACGGAGGAGTCGTTGAGGATTGTCTTGATGAAATGTCGCGGTTGGCCGCTAGTACGGTGAATTAGTCTTACTTGAGAACATTGGATTATCCGTCTAGCTTACCCGTCGACAGGAGCCTGTTGTCCGACAAGTAGCTTGACAACGTCCACCTCGGTCTCACTGTCCAGGCTCACAATGCTCTCAAATGCCTCCCCGGTATTCTCGTCCGCGTATAATGCTGCAACTAGTCGTGGTACAAACGGCCTCGACTCAACTGGGACACCATCGCTTTCTGCATCTAGGTATGGCATCAACAGGGCCTTTGGAGGCTCATGGAGTGTGATGTATTTAAATCTGATCGACGCTAGGCTACCTCTAACCTTTGCGCAGCCTTGCACAACGGCCGCTGCCCGGCGGATCTCTGACGCAGTGACATTCTGAAGAGGGTGCTGTCTAGACATGTTGTCGAGTCTATTGACTGAAGGTGAGGCTCGGTGTTGTTTTGTGTTGCAATCCTGGCTTGCTGAGAAAGACTTAATGTGTGCGGATGAAAGCAATACATATTCAGACCTTAGCGCACAGATGTTATATTTCGATCTAACATGAATAGGGCTAGTCGGGAAATATACAGCCAAGCCTGCATGTCCTACCTGCACGGTGATAGTCGTACAGCATCCTGCAGGCTAGTCCACCTTTGACCCACCGGAAGGACGTGCTTGCAGTATGACCTGTCACATGAAGCGGAAATATTGGGCCGTGTCCCGGTGGATTTGCAAACGAGATGAGGAATCCCTGGACAAATCTTGAGAGCGAACATCAGGCTGCCCTCCGACGGACCCTCTGACTTCAATCCTATCAACAATATGGGCCTCTCGCGCAAACACATAATCGAGGGAATGGCATGCTCTCTTCGCCGCTTGGATCTCCAATATGTAGACATCGTGTACGCGCACCGTCCAGATCCACATACACCAATAGAAGAAATAGTTCGCGGATTCAACCACCTCATTTGTACGGGACAGGCCTTCTACTGGGGTACTTCAGAATGGAGCGCGCAAGAGATTACAGATGCATGGCACGTCGCAGACAGGCTGGGGCTCGTTGGGCCTGCTGCTGAACAGCCCGAGTACAACCTTTTGACCCGCGCGCGGTTAGAGGTGGAATACGCTCGGCTTTACGAGACACGTGGACAAGGCATGACGGTCTTCTCGCCGCTAAAGCAGGGAATCCTGAAAGGCAAGTATAACGATGTACAGGTGCCGCCAGCGGGAAGTCGGTTGGTAGAGTCGCAGTCCGCAGTTGTCAGGGAGCTTAGACAGAGCTTCAGCGATGAGACGTGGGGGAGGGAGTTGGGTCGAGTTGCGGCGTTGAAAGAAATTGCCGAGGAATTGCAGGTCCCGACGGCGAGGCTGGCATTAGCATGGATCTTGGTGAATCCGCGAGTCTCCTGTATGATCACTGGCGCGTCTTGTATTGATCAGGCCAGGCAAAATGTGCGAGCTTTGGAGGTGGTGCCGAGGTGGACTCCGGATATTCTAGGGAAGATTGAATGTGCGGTCAGAAATAAGCCGGTGGAGGAGCCAATGATAATTTAGAAATAATTATAAAGAGATAAAGAGACGAGGGGCTTTCTCATGTCTCGTGCGACGTTCGGGATAATTAATAAGAACCTCTTTCGATGGACTGCCAAAATTTACATTCCTGTGACCCTTACACGTATAGAAAATCACTAATTAAATCGATCCACAAAATTCATGACCTTATTTCCCGTGCTACTTCTCTCAAACCCTTCCAGTCTGTCGAGGAAGGTAATAGAAAACAAGGATCTGTTTTCAGGAAACACATAGAAGAACTCCTCCACCAAGTGAACCAGCTCCTCTTTAGGAATGACATGCTCAATCGCCGCAGCACGAAGCAGGCGAACCTCCAGAGTCGCCTGGGGAGCCGAGTCCAGACAACCCAGAATAACCTGCCACTGCAAGATGCCCGAGTTCGCCGTCTGCATCAGACTCGTGATATTGTGAAATTCGAAATGCTCGCCGTACCATTTGAAACTGAACCGGCGGTCCCGGCCCATTAGACGGAGGACACGGAAGTGCGGCCGTTCAACATCTGGAATGACTCCAATGGCAGCCTCTGGCATGGGATGCAGAGATCCAATATCGCCTGTGATATAGCGCACCAACGGGTTGCGGAGGCGCTGCAATGAGGTCATCACGATAATGCCCGGTTCGGTCTCGGGCATCGGCGTTCTACGGGATGTAGGGTCGAGTACGGATGGGTCCAGGATCTCAATGTGAACAAGCCTTGTGTCTATAATGAAGTCTCGTGTGCCTGGGGGAGTATGTTCGCCAGTGAGTTTTGGGTTGCTGAGCCCGTATGGGCCTGCTTCGGCGCTTCCTAGGACTGAAAAGATCTGGACTGGACCCAAGATGGTGAGAATATGAGTTTGCTGGACCTCGGTAAGAGGCTCGGAGGTGTAGATCACTTTGTTGAGGTTGATCTGCTTCCTTTCGATGCTAGGAAGGGTGGAGATGTGGTGCATGATTTGGATGATTTGGCTGCTGTCGCCAGTCAATACATTGGCATGGTAGTTCACCAGAGCCTGGACAACTTCAGCAGGCGTCATGCGACTCCCAGCACAGAGAACTGAAGCTCCTGCATTCTCGAAGAGCTCGCTAATGAGGTCGAGGGATCTGTAGAAAACGATCAGTCGCTATTGCTCGGGTCCTGCTCTCTTTGTCAGGGACGCATACCGGTAAAGATACCCTGAAGTATGCATCGTAAGAACCCAGTCTTGGGACTCGACCATGCCGCAGGTCTTCATCAGCGTACCAAACACCTGTCTCTGGGTGCGGTTCTCCTTACTTTCCGTCGCAAACATTAGGGGTAGACCACCCGAGCCCCCTCCAGTAGTACTGATGTAGGCGCTACGCCGGTAGTGATTTTGCGGATTCAGATCATTGGTAAGACGCTTAATGACTTCATATCTAGAGGAAGATTAGGTGATGAGTGGGATAGCATATAGTAGCGGTATACTCACAAGTCTTCCTTCTGAAGCAATGAGAAAGCATCAAGATCTGGTCCCCTAGAATCCGCCGCAGCTCGTTCGAGGACCCCCTGGATCGTGTCCGGACCTGGAGGGTATTCCACATTGCGGTCGTAGAAAGGATGGATCTTTGCAACCCTTAGCACTTCAGATAAAGAATATGCGTTGTTGCCCATGGGGAACGGATCGGATACATGCACAGAGTGTGTAGCACAGTGTAGGTACAGTCCGAAGCATTCGTGCTTACAATCTGGCGGAGTGTACTTTAATCAAGGGACTAATATCAGAGCCTTAGCAGCGTGGGTATCACATATTCTGACGCATGATAAATGGTGGAGCATCGCCACTAGTTACAGTTGCATCTTTCAGCTCGGCTCTGCCACAATGCAAATATTGAAGATAACGTTTGCCCATATTGGTCACACGCCATTGTGCAACTTCGGAGAGTAGCTGCAGATTGATAAAGCTCAAACCTCAAACCTCAATTATATGAAGATACTTAAAAACACAGGTGATAGATCTGAACTAGCTGACCAACAGCGGGAATTGCCTCCACATTGTATGTCGGGTATTACCGTTGTGACGGCAAAAGCGAGGTGTAGGACAAGTGACAGATCTTTCGCACCTGTCTTACGTTACACTCAGGATCGATCACCGACGCCGATTTTGCTAAGGATGGTCTCATGGCATTTTATATGCCTCCAGCCACCATCTTGGCCCCGGACTTTGTGGTCGCGCCTCACACCGGACACCGCATAATGACAGCTGGTTCAATTTGTTCCCCCCGGCGGGAAATAACACCTGACGCCACGGGAAGGCATCATCATATTGTCTTAACAGTCTGACAGAGATTTCTGGCTAGTGTACGCTACCAGCGACTCTGCACTATGTTGGTGAATGACAAATAGTGGAGCATTTCCACTAGCATCCATCTGTAGCAGCAATTCTCATCTCAAATCTGCCACATCCAACGGTGGAAATAGCTTCAGGTCGTAAACTAAGCTACATGAACGTGGAAGGATGAGGGTTAGAGCGGAGGTGTCTAACATCCCTGCATCCAAAAAGCGGTGAGAAATGTGACATCTCTTTAACGAAATATGCCTAATGATGCGAGGTGGCGGATCTACATCAGATATGCATGGGTCTAACTGTGTAGTAGGGGAAATTGCTCTCATTTTGATTTATTTCGATTTTTCTTTTCTTATTTCTCTCTAGCGGTGTGATGGAGGCGAGGAAACAAGAATGCAAGATCCACAGCGTATAGCTGTGACCTGCGCTGCATCTCGCCTCATCTTGGCCCGAAGCGATTCTATTACTCAACTAAGACCACTAGTTTCTACGCTGAAGCGTAGCTAAGAACAAGCTGCAGGAAAGGGACGGGCATTCCACCGAATCCGGCGTAAGTGGCGTTCAGGATCCCGGACTGCGTTGCGCGCATGCAGCCAGCGGTGATTGTCCATGAGCACAATCGATCCCCGGGGCATGTGTTCAGGGGTGAGATGCAGGGCATTTTCCTGCATATCCAGGCCGCGCAGACACTGCTTGAGCTCTTCGAGACCCTTGGCGGCTTCGTCGCTCAACGGGGTGACTATGTCTTCGCGGAAGCGCACCATACCGGGCCGCCCAGACTCGCTGGCCGCCATGATGCTACCGATTATATAGCGCTGGGTGTCAATTTTAATGAACTCGGGCGGGATGGTGATGCGAAAGTGCGGTTTGAGGAGGGCGGCGGTGGCCGTCGCGGAGAGTAAATGGCTGAGGCGTTCGACGTTCATGACGGATAGGGTACCACCGCCGCGACGATCGGGCTGGATTACCTGCAGCGCGAAGAATCGCGGGGGCGATTCCTCGTAGCTGCAGTCGGTATGCCAGGGGAACTCCTGCATGGTCTCGGATCGGGCCTGGTGATTTTGACTTTGGATTGTGGTGAGGTCAGGGCGCACGTCCCAGAACCAGCCCCGGGATGCGCTATGAGTGATTGGGAGGCCGTGGCCGTGGTATTTATGAAGGCTTAGGAGGACTTTGTGAAGATATTCGCTGGTGTCGTCTGTGAATTGGAGGCTAACCTTCAAGATGCCGCTCTCCCGAAGGGCCTGCGCAACATGGCTAACATGGTGCGGCTGATTGGCGCAGCTCAATTTACTTGCTATCAGGTTTGGCACAGAGGGAGATAGATCTGGATGGAATTAGTCTTCATCAGGACATCTTCCGGTGCTGGACTTACGAGCAGTGGAACCCAGATTGCGGATGAATCGTTTCATTGTGAGATATGTTCTCCAAATAGGTGCAGTACGACCGGGAAACACCCTGACGTCGATTAATTTATATAGTTACCTCTATGGTCTATTTTATCAAATTACTTGACTAACTCCAGCTCGGTGGAACTACTGCTCCAAGTCGAAGTTGATCTGGCCCGGTTTGGTCTTTTGCCCTGCTAAATACTGCAGTGGACAACTCTCCATACTAATTGAAGCGAGGATGCACGAGATAGATCTTTTTAGCTGCGTATCTAGTTGCATTTTCACGGCTCACCAATTCCAAATGGGCTTGCTGCGGTGGTGAGACCATCAGCTGAGTCACGATGCCCAGAATTTTGAATCGAACCAATCTATGTCATATGCCGGGCAGATTTTCTCAGATGCAGTGGAACCCCAGTCTCCTCTTCCTGTCTCTGTCTGACCGGTCTATGGGCTCGATCTATTAATCGAGACGCAGAATACCACTGTCCGATTGGAATCAAGATTGGTCGATGTAAGCACGCAAGAGTATGGGAGGCTTCAATTCGTTCGCGGTGGTAATACCGTTACGCCAATAATTGTCCATGCATTCGAGCTACACTAATATTGAACACTAAAGGCTAGAGGAAATATCAATCGCGATGCATCACAGAGCACATCCATGCACCTCCATGGCTGATGGCGACCACTCGGTCTGCGCTACTGCGCCAGACCCCAAATCCCAAGTATTCTCCATCAATGGAATGGTACGTCCCAACGAGGGGATATCGCGTCTTGGTGCCCGACGCCCGGAGCATGACATCGTACAGAAGAGGACTGATCTTGCGCTGGACAACATACGTGCTACCGCTTGGATGCAGCGCGGGGCATCTCAGACCCTCTAGACGCGATACCCACTCCGCTTCGTTCAGGTCATCTCCGAAGACGATGCCATCCCCCTTGCCACTACGGATCGGCTTGAGGATGTACTCAGCCTTGAGGGTGGGGGAGCCCCGACAGCGCTGCAGGAGGGCCATCAGCTCCGGCGATCCCGGGAGTAGTGTCTCTGCGATGCCTTGGTGCAGGGAGCTGGCCTGAAAAGGGGTCAGCACGTCTCTGGCGACCAAATGTCTGAGTTCATCTCTGACAATGCCGAGCATTCGCTTGTCGTGGACAAGCAGGACGGTGCGCAGATCGTTGAAACAGCGGAGACTGAGCTGACGCAGTATTTCAGGCTGCAGACTGAGGAGCTCATGCTGATGCAACTCTAGTCCGACTTGCTGGATCTCTTCCAGGACTTCCCCCTCGCTGTTTACCAGGGTCGGGATCTGGGGACTGGCATTTTCGTCTACCACGCAGCAGAGCTTGACGTGCCCCGTGGAGTGAGGATCTGGGACCAATCTAAGATGCTCAGGCGTTATGAACCGCGGAGTCAGTCCTAGATGACGCCGGACAAAATCCACAAACATATGGATATCCATGCCCGCTTCTTTTCCCTTGAGCAGGTGCAGCGGCTGACTTGGCTGGAAGAGACGCAGCAACGCCCCGGCTATCTATAAGCTGTTAGCATCGACCGTCTGCGCGTGGCCCGCATCGTACCTTGGAAATGTCTGTCGTTCCCACGAGGCCATTGCGTCCGCCGCTGATCCCGATGTCTTGCAGGGCCTGTTGCGCGTACGCCTCGTGCATGAGCCCGTTGAACGAGAAGCGGGCGTTTATCTCGCTGATGCGAAAGTTCTCGTCACCAGCGCTGTCCTGCTCAATGAGAAAGTCCGGTCGCCATGAGCCCAAGCGTCCTCTGTAATGGGGCAGTACGACGTCAGGCTGAGCATCCATCCACTGTAGATATAGATTCGGATTAATGATTTATATATCATCTCTCGCCAAGGGAACATACTCTGAGCAGATCCTCCTCTGGCTCCGACAACGGCATACGCTCCGGCAATCGCGCCACGGGGTCGGTCCACCATCTATCGACGATATCCGTAATAGCGAGGACTAGGGCTTGGTGTATATTCCTCACTCGTTCCTGGTGCTGGGGGCTGACGAAGATCGGGCGTGGACAGCAGCTAGTATGAGAGTTGCTAGGCCACAGCTCTGCAGGACATAGTTGCTGGAGGCTGGATTGAAGGAACTCATGATCCTGAGTATCAGCAATTTTGTCTGGCTTGTATGATGCGACAGGCTCATAACCATGCCCATTCAATGGGGCGTGGATTTGCTGGAAGCGTGTGGAGGTAGGAAATCTCATGATGCAATAGGCGACTACAATCAAAATGCCCGATTAGCAGCGGAGGATATATAGCTGACCACTTGAAATTTCTAATATTTGCCAGATCTGGCCAATTCCCGGCGGATATTAGAGGCTAGACGCGTGCATCAGCGCCAAGTCGTGACGCGCCGACTAGCTGTGAGAAATGGTTCTATCTACTCCGTATATCCATAAGAACGCTACAGACTTGTCGGACTGGCCAAAATGTACAGGGGCCATTTCAGCTGAGAGCGCATAGCCGACAACATGCAGCAGACTAGTGATTTGCTGGAGAACCTGTTTTTGATGATAGTGTTTCGTCATCCTGATATACACTATTCATGCATCAATTCTAGCGAAAGAGCTTGGCATTTAATGAAATATCAGCAAGGGTCACTACAGAAACAAATTTACGATAGATCAAAATTTCAAAAACAATTGTTATTTCTTTTTTTGCAAATGGGTCTTCTACAGCCAATATTAAACAGTATGGCGTAGAGGCTGGCGCTACTGGGTGGTACAACCGACATTTTCAACCCGGGATTTCCCCACCAACATTAGGCCAATTGATAGAGTTTAAATTGCATTGAATAGAGAATTGCTTATTTATTTAATATGAGAGAGTTTCATATTTTAAGAAGCTAGCTGAGTGGTTAAAATTGGGGTTGAAATTGGTGCAAAGTGGTGAAAATTGTATGTATAGCAAGCGGTAGGTTAACCTCTGAAAGTTGTGATATCCAGGCAGACTTGACAAGGTCAAACATGTCGAGAAAGACTTCTGGCCTGGCTATAACAAAGCCGCGAACATACATATCATAAGATCGATGAATTCGCCGTTTTAAAGGTGAAGTCATAGGTCCCGATAAAGGTTCTAGTCCTTTTTTGATCGTAGAACTTATTTTTTAAACTTTTACTCTCGCTACGGAGGTTAAGCCCTATAGCCACGGCCGATCGGATCGCGATACAAAGGATTCTCTATAATCTAGATAAAAATATAAACATTGGTCAGACATCAAATCTCGCAAGAAGATTACGTGTAGAAAACCATACCTATTAACTTAACCAACAGACAGAAGATAGAAGGCGGCTAAACCCTTAACTTAGACCTACTATAGGTTTAGGTGTGAAAGCAACGCCACATTCTCGATGCCGAGTCGCTATGCTCGCGAAAAATATAGCAAATAGCTATCCGCGTCCGGGTAGGGTGGGAAGTCCATCAGCAGCCAGTGTCTCGCTCTAATAGCAAATATTAAATTTAACACCGCTAGCCATCGTTTTCTAGGTCGCACTTTAGGATTCGTATAGAAGGAGTTATACTGTCTGAGAAACGTCGTCATGCTAACGATCGGGAAGGCAGGATGCACTATATGGAAATAGCCGTCGACAAACTGGTTAGCAACGTGTTGAGGAGGGCGTGCCGAAATGTCCACGTCGTCGAGCACGGATATTTCCAAGTCGTCTTAGAAGTAGTTAACCGATGAGATGGAAGGGCGATCGAAACTGTTGCTGGCCGGCGTCGTGCTGTCTTGGTCCAGTTCCCGTTTCCCACTAATCCCATGGCCTGGATTTTCTCACTGCTGTTAAAGTCTTCTTCGGTGTAGTCGATGGCCCCGAGGGTGGAAACCGTGTTCTTGCGGTCGGCGTAGGGGATAGAAGAACCTGAAAGCTGAACACGATTGGATCGTGAGAAGGAATGATAGAGGAGCGAGAAAGCTTGGAATAGAAAACATTCTCATGAACTCATTGAATTGGCTGTGGGCACCATGCAGCGCAGAAAGAATGTAGGGGTGAAGATAGCCCTCTGAACCAATGTATATATATATCATGTGATAACGACCAGACAAAGCCATACTGTAACGCCCACTCAAAAGCATGACCAAAGTTAAATACCAAAATAACACTAGATGAGTTATCGGTTTTTATCACGATTTATACACGTTTTTGGGTATTTTGGGTTGCCCATGGGTATCCGCCAAGAACCCATGGGCGGGTTCATCAAGGCCAAAACCCGCGTGGGTTACCCGTGGGCGGGTAGACTAAAGTGAAAACCCAACCCAAACCCGCGTTTGGCGAGGTCTACCTCCAACCAGTTCTGAGATCACGTGCAGTCCCTGATACCTTGATACACTCCAGGTCTAAGTAGAAAAAACTTCGACTCTGCGAGTCTGTGTCGTATTTGATCTGATCTGGTCAGTTCAGAGCGGGTCGGCCCGGTTACTACAAGATCCATCATGATTCTGGAGTATTCAAACCCACCCCATGCCGTTGAGATTTTGAAATCTTGCTAGAACCTTCTAGGACGTTAGCTGCCCCCAGACTACCCTCCAAAAGCTACTCAAGTGTTACTGTGTAGGGTATGCAAAATGTCCATTCGGTACCGGAACCGGACTCATTTTCTTCATGGGAAATATCATCCTAATAAATAGTTGATTAAATGATCTGCGACAATTTTATGAGCTGCCTTGAGGTGACCTTTGAATCTTTTCAAAATTTACTGTATTGCGTGGAGAAATTGGCGTTTAGCGGTAGGCGAGACTTTAAAATGAGGTACCGCGAGAAGTCTTCTTGCTTGATTTAGTGTAGCAAGCTCCGAGTCCTTGTCAAGCCTAAGAACCAAAATATAGAAGAAGCTAAGGCAAACTGTTTCGATAACTTGCAATGAAGACTGCTTTGTACACAGTGATTCCCTGAACTCCAACGAGATCAGATTCATTTGCTATTACTTTCACTTTTGGTCACAAGCTTGGAACTCAGACAATTTATAGAAGCGATAGAAGAAGCAATGCACAGCATGGCTATAAGTTGTACCGTTAGCAGGTGGAGCAAAGCAGATGGAAAGGACACTTACCGAGAGTACAGCTCATCCAGTAGTAACCAACAGCTTGGGTCAAGGATCCAGAGATCAATGGCCCGATCATTAGCCCCAGGCTAAGTGCTATATCTTGTAACGCAAAGACGCGGTTACTACCCCCATGTTGGCCAAATACCTTAGGGTTTTGAGCTTGAAGTTCATTTAGTACAACTGCAATTCAAAAAACCATTAGTAGGTAGAGTGTATAGGAGATGTAGGATTCTTACTAGAGAGCTGTAGATAGCCGGCTCCACGCACAAGCGGGGTAACCACGCCGAAAGCAATCACAGCAAAAATGAATAACCCCTCTCCATTTGTTGTAGAGCCAAATGGGAATTTGTCTGACCCAGGCACGCCGAGAAGCCACATGATAGGAGCGAACAGAGTCCATCCTATTGCAGTGGGATAACGCAATCCAACCCGATCCCGCAGCCATCCGGCTAAAGAGCCTAAGCATATCGATGGTAGCTGTAGGGATAAAAACATCATCCCTACAGCCATACTTCCCCAACCGAAGGCATCACGTAGGTGAAGAGTAAGTGTCGCGTCAAAGCTAGCTAGGATGGAAGAGCTGAGGATAGTACTCGAAAGACCGCTAATGACACGGGCATCTGAAAGCATGATTCGGTAGAAACCGCCTTTCTGGGTGTGCTCGTCATGTGTCTTAGCAATGTAATCCAATGTGTTGGGTGGATGAGCGAAAGCATCATTAGCCAGTAGAGCGGAAGTCTCTGAATTAGATGCAGTGGTATCCGATGGGTGGAGGGTTGAGGACTCGCGACCAGTGGACGACGACTTGGGGGTTTCAATCATGATAAACCGCATTATGATATCAAGGGCAAGGAGGCCTAAGGCGACAGACCAGGCAGGCCAGTATCCCGCCAACTCCAAGACGGTACCGGCAATTGCAGGACCCGCAACAACGCCGGCACTCACAAAGGACATAGAAAGTCCATAGAGCTTCCCAAGATTACCTACCTCTACATGGTCGGTCATTGTGTCAGATCCTATAATCCATGTAGCAGACCCCGCGATACCCTGTATAATGCGTCCCGCGAAAAGAGCCGGTACTATGTTTCTATGGTTAGTGTGGATCGAGAAGACAGTATCGAGGGTAGCGAATACCTGAAGGAGTCAAACTTAGCAAGACTGTTCCAACAAAACATCCTGCCAGACTTATCAAGAGTGGAAATTTTCGACTCGAAGATTTGTCTGCAAAGTGGGCAATAATGGGGGCGGATATAAGTGCTATAAACCCATGCAAACTAAGCAATGCTGTGGTGATATTTTGAGTTTGGGAAGGATCAATGTGTAGGCGGTCCTCGATCATATAGCTCAATATCGGCACAGGAAAGCTATAGAGAAAGGTTTCTGGGTGGATCATTAGAAAAGAAGAAAGAACAGCTGCTTGGGATCTCACCGCAGAATAGAGCAAGAATCACAACAAATAGAATGAAGATCCTCGAGGAGCGCCAGCGATGGCCTAGGGGCTCACTTTCGAGTACCATATTTGATGGCTAAGGTTGAGATAATGGCCCAGTAATTGATGGAAGTGTCTAGGATAAAGAAAAGAATGACAAGAAACCACAGGACGGGCTAAAAAAAAGCAAAGCAATGTAATTCCCACCGTGTGACGCCATCCTCTAGAGCGTGTCAAAACGAAGTATAATTGGCCTAACAAGACAAATAGCTCAATACTTTGGAGCTCTTAATGCATTGCAGATCTTTCTTAGCACCCTTGCTCACAATGAATGAAACCCAACATCTTACACCAGCAAAAGCAATTACCATCGATATTATTAGGTCTGATCGCAAGACTGGCTGGATTTTCAAAATTTACTACTGACATCCTCATTTTTAGCGACCAATAGTATGAATCGCGCTGAACATGATTATACGACCGAGTGATTCCGTAAATAAGCCCCACCTCTATTCTTTTAATGTCCTAGCTGTCTCCACTAGTTCATGTCGGCACTCTCGGGGCTGATAGATCGTGTAGCGTAGCGGCTCCACTATTTCATACCGCTTTCTGTGGTGTTACGGCCCGTCAGCAAGGTGAAAACACCAGGGGGCTCGACGAAACCCCCCCCGCCTACGAGCCGGGGTCCGGGTCGAGCCTAAGAAGTTCGACCCCCAGCTCGTTGCGGGT